TGAAATGTAGGTCACTCGACGGAAACCAACCCCCGAGGATTCCGGAAAAACAATCGGCCGTATCTTCTCTCGGGCTTGTCGAATCGGTGATTCCATTGGCGCCACTTCGCAACCACCGATCTTTTTCCACTTCCGATCGAGAAAATTGAGAGAACTCGCTTTTAACCGCGAACCACCCCCGGTTCATTCCGAAATGAAGGACGTGTCCAAGCAATTATAGCAAGATATATAAAACACACGCAAATGTATCAATTAAGGTAATACTTAAAAATATTTTAAAATATTCTCAATAACTTCTCTCTGATACATTCTCTCGATACGTAATAAAAATGTTTCATAGTTATTTGCATTCCATTGTGTGAATATTGGTACGTAAAAAAAAGCATTATTAATACGGAAACGAGATGAAAACAGCGGAATCAACATTTAGTTTTTCTCGTTTATTTATTGTTCCATCAATATAACGGTAATTGTTTGTTATATGGTTTTAAAAGGTGGCCCCAGAGAACTTTGCCAGATTATATAGTAAAAAAAGCTTGCGTGTTTTGTGTGTACTATAAAACAAACCGCAGTATCAAATTCTATACCGAATTGTGGTTACACGCCCACGCGTATCTGACCATACAAATATAAAATACATTGAATATAAATAGCGTCCGTACATGTCGATACAAGTCCACTGCAAATTCGTAACTGAAACCAGCAACGTTTTAAAAACTGTATCGTGCAATCGACGCGATCAATTTCAGTTCAATAATTGGAAAAAAAACACCCTTTACAAAAAGGGGTCACTTTTCCAATGGCTAATTCCGTCACAGAAGTTAGGCATTAAATCGAGTCGCGTGTATTTTGGAAATAAATTCATTGATTCGAGATTTCCGGCAAAATTCTGGTCGTGGAAGTGGATTAGAAGGGCGAACGAAAAGCGGTGAAATAACGTGGAACAGTTTCAGATTGTTTCCTGGATAAGGGTGGCCACCCTCGGTTCGGACTTACGGCCGAACACGCAGTTAGCATGCTAAGCAGAATTACACCGTGTTAGTCCAGTTTATATCTCGTAATATTCCTGGTGACTACAGTTGTCGCATAGTGTGGCCTGTTCAGTGGAAAGGACGCGTCGATGAAAACAGAGCTTGCTAGTTGCATACGAAACCGGATTGTACGACGGATGTAACAGGCCTGTCGTCGGATAGTTTGCTATCGGATGAACAACTAGAATATTCTAGGACAATTGTTCATGCTATTTGGAGGTACATTGTGTTCGCGAGCTACAATTGTTTAGTTAAACTAGGACTAGCTTCGTCCAAGGGATGGACGATCATGTAATTGCAAACTTGAATCATAACACGAGATCCGACATTTCTTTCCCTCCAAAATAGAGGAACTTTCCCTAAACAGTTTACCCGAGACTATCCTAGAATTTACGTAGCTGGAAACGTCTTCCACACGAGTTACTCGACAGCTTCGGGCAACGTCAACTTCCGGAAGTTCTGAACAAGCGAGCAATTCTTGAAGATTATCCTCTCGTCATCAAATGTTTTCAAATCTTCACTCAACGGGTGATGAGTTAAAGCTTCTTCGTATTTAGAATATTTTATCTCGCTTTCATCAGAATCCATCAGCAGAGTAAGTGCAAATTGTAAAATGAAGTCATTTTCATGAAACAAGGATTTCAATTGAACGGTTATAAAAGTTTCCGTTGCCAGTGTTGTGCGAGCATCGACGAGTCGAAAAATGTAAACACATTCGCGTGCTCGATCCAGAGCCGACGTTCAGTTGTGTTCGGTTCTTCAAACGCTTCGGTCACACGAACCTCGTCGAACACGTGAATTATTATACATTTACTGACTCGTATCGTTTGATGGACTATAGTGTTTTAGCTGGCCACAAAGGAGTTAAACTTTGAAACGATCGAAACGTAAGAAGGTTCGTCACGTTCGATGCTTTTGGTCGATCGTAAAAAATAAACCCGTCTGTGACGATGGCTGTTCCTCGAGCAACGTGTTACTCGCCCGATAGATGAGCTCGTAAATATGGGTCAGGCTACGTGATCGAGGAAAAGAACACGGAGAAACTCTGTTTTTCTCGGGAATAAGATAACCCGAGTCGTGTATCTCGAGGAAATAGACGATTCGTTGATCTGGACTCGTGTTTCACTGGGGAGGAAAAATAAATGTGGCCTCAGCCCTCATGTAAGTTTGAAGTAACATAGAAAATATTACACCTTATGTTTTTTTTTACTGTGCAATGTTTGCAAAAAGTATACCAGGGAATAATGGAAATTTTGTACTCCCATTTACACCCTGTATTCAAAGAATATTTTTATTTAAGGTTTGATCGTATCTCTCGCATTTTATACACTTCTCACCTCGAGATCTACCTTTCTGAAAAAATATTCTTCAAAATATGTTCAATGTTATCAAAGAACACGATCTCGAGAGAAGTTTATAAGACTTTGAAACGAGATAAAAGAAAGGGTTGTTTCTTTTTGTTTTCTGACGTTTATCAGGAGCAAAATAAAGTGCAGCGTGCAAATAATTTCACGAAAATATTAATTCATCCGGTAGAAAAATGGTGGATGATTATCTTGGAGGAAACGGGAGGGTAAAGACTTTGACTGAAAATAAAGCGATCGAAAGGGGGGTGCAGCCGTACGGTTGTCGTTTACCATCCGCGATCAAAGTGCGGAGCGCGGCTTTATGAATATGTAAAGTCCGTTAGAGGCGTTCCAAGCACACGAAACTGTTTGCACATCGTATCAAATATTGACAGTGCTCCGGCAAATTTATTCACCGGCTGAAATAATGTATCGTGCACGACCGATAAAATCGAATGTCCCACGCGCGCCTTAACTGCGACACCCCTCCACCACCAACCCCCTGTCCGTTAAATTTATCATCGTCGATCGCCGTCTGTCGACCAAACCGAATATTGCGATCGAGTAAATTTGCTCGCCGATTAAAATTCTCCTTCGGGCGTCGATCTTACGCGTGCTTGCGTCTCGCGATAACACTTGGAAGTTTCCTCTTTAAGTTTAGAAGACGGTGTCGAGAAGAAAGATGATGGTGCTGATCAAAGGAAGGAGATTGCGACCTGTTTCCGACAATTTCGCGAGGCACATTTCCTTGGGGTATTTGATGGAGAAGTTGGTGGCTTCTGATAAAGGTTGAATTTTGAATTTATATTAGGAGTTTTAATTTACAAACAATACGAATTGTAACTAACATCCGAGAAAGGGTGGTTTTCTTTTTATTCGAATAGGAACTGAAAGTACCCAACCCGAAAAAGAGAGCTTCCCTCTGTTCCCAATAAAATGGGCGAGATAAAATTACGAGAGGACATATTTCTCGAAAAGCTTCGCAGTTCATTCTACCAGATATTTCGAAAGCGTGGGAGGTTTGAAAGAACAGGGCGCAATAAAGAGATAGGGACAAGGGTCGGTTTTAAAAGGTAAGATAGCGAAAACAGGGGAAAGAAGATCAAAGGAGAGCCGTTCGGAGAAACAATCAAAAGAAAATACACTTGGTGATAAAAAGAGGAAAGAGAATGAAAAGTAGAGAGGAACGAGCATTAAGAACTGTACAGTTACAGATACGGAAGTCGAGTTGTCACAGGGATCTGTATTTCATTAAAAATTCTTATTTACTTGAAAATAATCTTTCACGATGGGATCCCTATTTTTCTTTGCTATTGTACAATATTTTTTTACTCTTCACTCCTTGAGTAATCATCTCTCCAGCATTCTGTTTGAATCGCGTATTTTCGCTGCGAACAATTGACTTTAATACTACTTTCCCTTGGACGATATTTTTCTCCCTCATTAGGGACCCTTTCATTATACGAAGGTATAATTGAGTTTCTTTGTTGAAAATATTTGCTCCTTGTCAGAAGATGAAATGTTTCTTTCGACGATTTCTCGAGGAGAGAACATAATTGGCGTTTATGAAATTTTATTAGAAGTTTATTTGGTCAAAAGGAAACATTCGTTCAGTTTTCATTAAATGAGACAAAGGTACGATATTGTCTTCCATAAGAGTGAATCGGTTAATAAAGAGAGAAGAAGTACTGGAAGGGACCAAATCAAATATTAATTAAATTCTTCTCTACTGGCTTGTCAGATTGAAAATTTTTTAAGAAAATCCTGAACGAAGGTTCTGATTAATTTCGAAATTTCGATTTTCCGACGGAAAGGGGAAGGGAAACCGAAAAGCAACGGTGCGAACCTTGCTGCTCACAACGGACGATAGTGACGCGTGATTTGTTGAATTATGACCGAAGCTGACACTTGCCCCCACGATCATGCTCACATGTGTCCCAGGCCCGGTATTAGCATACTAAATCCGATTGACATACTCGGCTCTCATCCACGAGCCTCTCGTTTTAATTACCTCAAACGCGATACGTCGAGTGTTGAGCTGATAACACGAAGGACTTTACCCAGAAACCGGCTCGTTTGAACATCATCGAGTAATATTAAAATATTAAAAGATTCGACAACAGAAATTCTATGCCAATTAATTTCCCTTCGTGTTCATTATCCCGGGTAAATCTAACGAATAATGGCACTTACTTTCTCGCTTGAAAAGGCTTTTATATTTAAAAAACGCCGACGAAAGCATAGTCGAGCGTCTCGATCTTGAAACCCTGCCTGAGCACCCTTAATGACCAATAGAGGAAGAAGCGCGTTAAAAGACACTCTGGTAAAGAGAAAAATCAAAGAGGCTTAATAACCATTGTCGCAACGTGGCCACTTTACCACTGTCTACAAGGGAGCCGCGAAATATAAATCGACGTCAAAGGTACTGTGTCGATAAATCGACACTCGAACCGACGTGACTGAAGGGTTGAAAAGGGGTGGCTGACGAGGATAGCCTGTTCGCTTGTGAAATATTAATTCTCTTTTATCTACAATACAGTTTATCTCTTGTTTGCTTAACACCAGAGAGATTTCAATGGAATATCGCTGAATTCGATCAACAGGATAATTTTATTGATTACAGCCGGTTCGAGGGACAGCGGGGGTAGGAGATACCCGGTGATCGTTTTCGTCCATGGAGAAAGTTACGAATGGAGCAGTGGCAACCCCTACGACGGCAGCGTCCTCGCCAGTTACGGGGGTGTCGTTGTCGTCACCATAAATTACAGGCTCGGCATTCTGGGTAAGTGATTTCATCTTTCTTCTATCCTTCGATGGCTGCTTTCTGTCATAATATCTCCAACTTTATTATCGAAAACGAACGATAAACAGCTTGATCGAACGTAATTGGTATAATGATTGATAGGATTGAATTTCGAACCATCTTATTTAATTTGTTAACATTTGAAAGGCAACGTTACAATTGTTTCTCCTTGTCGCGCGATAGACAAATACCGATAGAAAGGGGTAACTAGTTTCGCTTTAGATTTCGTGTACTAGTCGCCATGTTAATGACTGCGCTCCGGTCTGATCGAGAAGGGTTGTAACTGGCGTTCGCACCCTTGCCAGACGAACTTCTCCACGCACGTAATTAAGGCGGCGCTTCGAAGCGCTAACGATCGGCTTCTGTGTCGTTGGCCGGATGTTGAATTTCCAGAAACTGGGTGACTAAGTTTAACTCGCTCACGCTCATCAAGGGATCGGAATTAATTCGACCCCGTAGACATTGTCTGTTGCTCGCGCAACGGGGTTGAAATCGAATTTTCTACGGAGACGGTGTTACTCTCTTCCTCCCTCGACACTTGTACGCCTCGTGGAATTCCTCGACGGGAGGGTTGATGAACTTCTGGCTAGAATGAAACCGGCTGTTAGGGAGGTATAATGGGTTTGCTTATTTTGTTGACGGACCAAGAAAACGCGTGAAAATTTAATTACCTCGACGTGGAATTTGATGGAATTTCCTTGAACCATAATCTCAGTACTGAAACAATCTGTAGCAAGAAAATTCGATGATTACTTAAACTCCTCGTGTCGTTGTGCTTCTGAAAATTTGTAAAATATCTGAAATTTATTTGTCAAATAAATAAAATAAAATAAAATAAAATAAAAGTGGAAAAAGATTTTCTCGCGCAGAAGAAGAAGAAATTGAAAGATGCAGGTAGGTTGTCAGGCAACCCGGTCAAGCAAATCTAATAGGAAACTCATTACGACTAGGTCTTCCGTTTCACCAAACTAAATTCTTGAGTCCGCCTCTGCTTCGGTGACAGTGGCGGCCGGTATTCTCGTCTTCGCTTCGGCGATGTACGCTTCTCGTTTCCTCGCGCTATGATATATATTCGAGCGACGTCAGCGCGATTCTTCGACGGTCTGGAGGCAAGAGGACCCTGCCGACGACAGAGCACGTATTCCTGGTGACGAAACGGACGTTTCTACGGAGATTAATCGAGCTTCCACGCGAGCCATCGATCGTCGACGTCGGTTAACTTCTTGCAATTAGACTCACTCGCGTCTCGACCCCGAGAACATGAATAGATTCAAAATATTCGAGAAAGTTTAAATTTTCCCTTTTCGCATAATTAGGCACGAATAGTTTTATTCGAATGAAAGCAATATTTTTGACGAGAGCAACCCTTAAAAAATGCAAAAAGCTTGATGCAATAATTATGGATGGTCGTTTTGAAATATCCTCTGCAATTTGAATATAAATGAAACTTGAACAATCCTTCTGTACAGCAAAATAAATTGCCCCCATTCGAAAACTCATTTCTGTCGTAAAAAACAAAGCTGTGAAACATTACGATATTGCAGAAATGCCTCTATCGAAATAATATCGACTGAAATCGTTTCGAACACATTTTTATCGTTCGCTGGCCGACCAGATTAAATATTTTCATTGCAATTGTAAAGTTGAGAGATATTCAGCTGGTCGAACAAACAGATTCCAGAGGAAAGCAGCAGGCAATCCGTATAAACCCGAATTTTTATGCTTGCCTAGCGTTAATTTTCCATGGAAATGAAGCGGAATTCAGTTTCACGATGTCACCAACACGTTGCTTCCTATTTTTTTTTCGTACCTCTGCGTTTCTCTGGTATTCCTTCGAGTTGCTGCAGTGACGTGACTCTGCGTGTTCCACGCCACATGTGGCATACGTTGTAACAAGGTTCTGTTTCTTAAATTACATTCCAACCGTTTTTGTACATCGCCGGGATTTTATACGTTTAACGTTGAATATTGCGAGCGTTGAAAAGGAATCCGAACCGCGTCGCTGTTTAAATTTTAGGGAAGAAATTGTAAAAAAATATGGGAAGAGGATAATAAAAGCGATACGATTTCGGGCAGGCACAACGATCGATTCAATATTTGGTCCAGGTGACGCCGAAAAGGAGCAGCATTGCATTCTGCGTGTCAGCCATAAAATAAGAAACTTCATACGCGGAAAATATGGCATCGAAATGAAACTCATGCTTTGCATTGCTACGAGTTATGAGAACGAAATTTCATTGGAAATTCAACACACCCTGCGTGGCACATATTGTGCCGGTTACATTCTATTACAACAATTTTCACGAAACTAATAAAAAGGTTTACAAATGAAAGTCAATAATTTTCTCTAGCTCGGCAGGAACTCCATCAGTTACAAAAAGCGTAGGAAAAGCAGATTACTTTTATCTTTTATTAATTAATCTAAGTGGTCGATGCGTTAACCAATAGAAAAACCCAGCCAATACATGTGGTTCGATAAAAAAAAAAATTGGCCTACCGGTCATCAATGAATCGCACTCGGAAGGGATGAAAAAAAAAAAGAAAAATATATGTTATGGGGTGGAGTAAGGGATTGGAGTCCCGTGAAATATCGAAATTTGATTCCATCGTTACTCTGTTCAAACGGAAGGGGGCTCGGTTTCAGGAAGCACACTCCTCTCGCGGTCGCAATTTTCACTGTTCATTTTTCTCGTTTTTCTTCGGCCGGTAAAAGTGACGCGGCGCTTTGTGCCGAATGGGGAACGACGGGAGGGATGAAAAAAGGGGGGCACGCGATATCCAACAGCCGCGGCTATGCACACCCATGTACCGGAAAATTTAAATCAACGAGTAACGTTCAGCAGTTCCATTGTAACGAGAAGAATAGGAGACACGGAAGCGCAGCGCGACAGATACGCCGGAGGTTGAATATCAAATGGGATATGACCAGTGGTTTATTTCTATTCTAGTTTCGCGCGTTTCTCCCACCGTTTCTATATCCACCCCCACCATTCAACCCCTTTAGATAAGCATTGTTACTGTTTTTTTTTTTTTTTTTTTTTTTTTGGCTTAACTGGTATTACAATCTTTTCTCATTTTTTCTTTTTAATCAAAAGTCACTTATAAAAATGTGCTCCCTCTTCTTCCCTTTGTTATTTTCCCTACGGTTCCTCCCTCATTTACATCTTCCCCCATAAGACTTTTTTCAATCCTGTTATTACAATCTTCCCTTATTTTCCTACTTTGAAGACTGAAGATTGGAAAAGACGAAGGTTCATCTGCTCTCCTCTTCAACATTCTCCCCTGTGTTTTTTTTCTTGCGCTTCCTTTATCATGTGTGCCTCTCACTAAGGTTTCCTACTTCTTTTTTAATTCTATTATTTCTTTCGATTTTTTCCTTCATTCTTCTTGCACCCTTCCTTCAAGTCTCTAATCTTTTTTCAACCCCTTTATTATAGTCTGTATTTTTTTTCTTTCCTTTGTGCTGAGAATTGACTGAAGATTGAAAAAGAAGATTTATGAGCCCATTCCTTTGATTTCCCCCCTCTTTATTTCTCTTTTCACCCTTCGAAAATTAACTTACGGTTGAAAAGGGACAGGAATTCATACACCCCTTCGATCTCATCCCTTCTTTCTTGCCTTTCGAACGATGCGTTCGCGTGACAGGCGGTTGGTTTGCGTGCACCAAACGATCCACCTGTGTCACGATACCGCCGGAAGCATTGCGAACACGATTGTATCATTAGTATTTTATGCGTACGAGTGGCTGCAACGATAGTCCCGTGTGTCGGAAGTGTAATTAGGGGTGGCCCAGATCGAGCTGATTGCGAAAGGACCGATCAAAAGGCTCATAATTCGTCGCGTAAGATAGAAAGTGCAACAGTTTAGAAAATGCAATTGCGATTCGACTACAAATTTATTTTTTTCTCCCTTCTGTATTCAAAGGGAGCATGAAATGAGAATTTTAAACCCCCAAAGCATCATCGATCAAATAAAATTCCAGGAAGTTTCGAAGATCGCGATGCAATATATTATCGCGGAAAATTGTGAATCGCGCATGCATATTCAACGCGGATTGTTTAGAACGTAAGCGTTGCTTTATACCTCGTTTTCATCGATCATTTTACAACGGCACGGATTTATCATATACGTCAGAAACATTTGTTAACGTCTCTGTTGTTAACAAATGAACGCTTTCTTTGGTCATTTCTTAAATAACAGTACAATATCGGTTAAGTGATCATCAAAAAGAAATGGAAAAGCATATTTTACCCAAATCATGTAATAAGCCTTAATTGCCATTCGAGTTAAAATTGCTTACGTCTTTTATGAGTTCAGTTTCAACGATCAAACTCATTAAACTCTTTATTGCTCATGCCACAGATGTTATAACATCGTAAGTGTATTATAACTAGAAAAGTTGGTCTCAGTTTTCTGGATTTCATCTCGAAAAAAGACCAGGGGATTTTGTAATAATAGTTTTGACTAAAACTGCGCAGCGTAATTTCGCCGGTACTACTATGAAATATCGTCCACGTTTTCCGAGCGTCCGAAACAAAACATTTTGTTTGCTACGAACGACACCCAAAGCGACATAAAAAATTATATCGACAATAGCATGAGAATGACGCGTTCGTTAATAGTTGCAAAACCATTTCTACCTCGGCAACGGGAAAAATCGCGGGAAAATCCTGGGGACCATCGGGTCCAATTAAACAGCAATGAATCCGGGACGCAACGTTCGTCGATCAAATAATCGAACGATTTATTCGCTGCTACCGTCACAGACGCGGTTCTGTTTTACATATCGTTCGATCGTTAGACGTATCGCGGCCCATTGTAACCGTATTTATGGCGAACGGAAACACGTAGAACGGTGAAGTTCCAGTTACCGGCACGATAATATCTTTCAATAGAAGGCTTAAGATTTCAAATGAAATTGCCTTTGGGCACCGTTTGCTAAGTAACAGGGATAATGTGCTAATATAGGATGGTTCGATTAGAATTAATCGTAATTAGTATGAGGCTGCGGTAATTTCGTCGAGGCTACAAGCTCGTCTCTTCGAACGACAGCAGCCATAAGCGGGCTTGTTTTCATTACAGGCTTTCTAAACGCCAACACGGATTCGCACTTACGGTCGCCAGCGAATTACGGGCTGATGGATCAGATCGCGGCGTTGCACTGGGTGCAAGAGAACATCGCCTACTTTGGTGGAGATCCCAGGAACGTGACGTTGATCGGCCATGGGACCGGTGCCGCTTGCGTCAACTTTCTGATGACCAGTCCCACAGTGCCTGATGGTGAGTAACTTTCGTCTTTCTTCCCTCTCTTCTTCGTTTTTTTATATACCGAACGTGCTCCAGTAGATAATCGCAAAGTGGAAATTTTTCATGAAGAAAATAAGTAAATCATGATCTTGATTTAATTTAGAAAAGCACCGAAGAACATCGACGTACATTTACGGCGTATCGATCGCTATCGACCAGCAACTTTTCCAAGTACTAATTAGAATTTGAAGTTTCCTTACTTCTAGCAGAGTTGAATTGGAAAAGTGAGCCAGTTCTTAATCTCAGAAACAGCTAAACTTCTCTGCTGCACACCCAGTTCACTTAGAAGACCATTAAATCATTCCGGCGTTGATATTTAAAAGTAAAACTTGTCCGCTAATGAAAATTTCTCCTTTCAATCTCCTTTAAACGATCCGTCTTTTGACCACAGTTGTTGTACCATCAAAATTTTTTATTTAATCTGTCATCTGAAAGGTGTGAGAAATTGGAAGAGGCACACCACGTCGAATACTAGTGAAAACAAGGTAGACGAAGGGGTTGGGTTGATCAAAGAATTTCTTCGGTCAAGAAGTCGCGTCTCTTTAATCGAGTTACAGGTAATTCACCCCTCTTGGAGCGTGTCGGTGGCAGGGAGGGTCGTGTATTTTATTTCTGTCGTGCTCTGGGCTCTTGGAATAATTAACGTCGGCACACGCTAACCCTTTTAACATGCCTCGTCTAGAAATAACTGACGGAATATTCAAGATTAAAGCGTTAGATGTAAACGAGGGTGAAGGTGGAGGGGTGGTCAGACGACGACCAGCCATAAAAACTGTCGACAGTTTCCGGTAGACGTTTCGAACACGAGTTACCCTTGCTTGGATTCGTCGACAAAGGGGTTGTTCGTCGAAAATTTGAAAGGTCCTCTTCAAATGTTCATCCCTTTATCTAGATTACTTCACGGTTACCTTCGTGAACACAAACGGGGGTGGTTTTTTGATCGTTTGATTTAACGTGTATACAATTTTCCAACGAAATAATTAACTAAAAATTTAATTTCATAAAATACTACCTACAACACGATATGACAAAGTATCATGCAAGACTTTTATTAACAATTCCTTGCGAGGTAAAAATTGAATAATCTGATTATATCCCTTTCCATGAATAATCTTCCAATTCTTTTTTATTTAATCTTCACCCCTCTATCTCGAAATTCTTGATTTTCCTCGAACACCATCTCGCAGTCCATAAATTTCTTTCGAACACGAGTTACGCAGTTCCGTATCAGGGGCTGAAATTAATAACCAAACCTCTGTGAAAATCATTTCTCAGGTGTTTTCCTCGTAACGGTCGCGTGAGCGGAAAAAAGGGTGGTGGTCAGGGGGTGTTTCAGCGCATGAAAGACAGATCGATCTTCCGTGGACGGAGAAAAACAAAGTAATCTGGCCAACGGTTGCAGCATATCATTAACCCGACCAAACGATAATTCACTACAGCTGGTGGCTGTCAATGAGGGATTAGATCGGTTGGTTCCTCCCCTAATTTATCGCGTACGATAAACCAGCCCGTGCTGTGACTCGAAGGCAAAATTAAATTTTGCTTAATCCAATAAATGCTTAATGGTTCTCCGTCAAAAAGCTTCTCCTGAAACACCGCGTAGTATCCAAGCTCACCGCACAATTTGGTGGGCTCTGGAAATTCATCAGAAACTTACAAGTATCCGAGGTATTCGGTCGCAATTACGAAAATGCCACGATGAAACGCTGTAGCCGTTCGAGCGACCAATTCGAAATCGGGAGCCCACCCCCTACCGGCAGACACCCTCCTTTAACCCGTCGCTACTCTGATGGGATCTAATCCGTCGAATTTAATCTACGCAGAACGACGGATTCGAACGGATAATGCCCGCGGTTAGGAACTCTCTATCAGGTGGCAGATCAAACAGAATCAGTATCAGCTACGACCCGCCAAAGGGGTCTCGTCGTCCTCTTCATTTGAATTCTACATAAATACTCGGTCTGGAAACGCAAGCGTTCGGTTCGCACGGAATTTCTCTGTCCCAAAGCTGATGTTAAGCGTGTAATCGTGAACGTATCCAATTAACAAAGACAATATCGTCAAATTGCTATTGGAAATTTTAAATTGATTCTAACAATTTAAGATTTGATGTTCTGAAGGAAAGGGTTAATCGAGGAACACGAAAACTGGGCCGATAACATCGATCCCCGTGGATCTCATGTTTTATTGAATGCGCTCGTTGGCTTGGCTCGCGAATGTACTACTCTTCAACCCTCTCGAGCTGGTACTCGACCAAGAAAGAAATCATTTGGTCGCCGACGATACGAGGATTCCTCTCACGGTCAGAAGCGCGAAATGACCTCGTTAGGGGAGCGATTTGATCCCCGCCTTTGCCATCATCGTCCGTTCAGGGTGGGCCTTTAATCCGCAGATTCTTTTCTCGCGTCTCGCGTGTCTCTCATTCTCCTCGAAGAGCAAGAGACCACTCGAGTGGCTCAAAGTGCAGACTTTGAAACGCTTTCGACTTCGAACAGTGAATCCCTGCTGTTTAGGAAGTCTTATTTTATTTTTTATTTTAACCGCTTTGGCTATTTAATTCGTAATTATGAAAATATAAAATCAGGTGATGATGATATAAGGTTTCAAGTTTCAAAGATAATCGAGACACGAACTTTCTTGAACGAATTTTCTTCGAGTTGCTGAAAGAATACGGTTTTCAATGGACTTCAGCGCAGCCACGTATTTTCCAATTTACCGGAAGGTGTACGAATGAACTCGTAACAATGTCGTCCTGCTCTCCCGGCCACTAAATTTCAAAGGAAGTTACCAGGGAATTTGCAACTCGATCGGAAAGTTAGATGACATCTGGCCTCATTGCACGCCAACTAACGTTCAACTCTCTACCGGTTGTGAAGCTCGACGTTAACACTCGGAGAAAATAAAATAACAGAACTTTACTTTCAACGAATCGAATCAAAGGGTAGTAAAAATAATTTTTCACATATTTCAATTTTCTTTTGCAACAAAGACGTAAGACGTCCAAGTAGCCCTGATGCTTTTAAGATGGCTGTAATTTGGTTGACGATGAGATCACGTGTTCGGTTGCATTAAATTGAATAACCCTGACGAGGGTCTCCATCAAGATCTCAAACTTTGAAATACTAGATTAGATAATAAAGAGAAAAAAGTCGCGATACTTCAATTGAGCATGTTAATGCCGTTTCGGTGTTAATTTATAGCCCTCGGACAAGAACGTAGAACAGTTAAAACAGTGTGTAGAAGGGGTGAGGAAGAATTAACGACGCGAACGGATAGAAGAGGGTGATCGTTGGGGAAAAAAAAAGTTTCGAGGCGGCATCGCGACGCCTGGCCGCGGGCACTTTGAAAGAGGAAAAGGCAAGAGGATGGAAGACGCAGAGGAAACGACGGATCGATATTGCTTTATAACGTTTGGCTGCCCATTACTGTGCTGCAAAATGACGTATAGCTGCCAGCGAAGCAGCAGACGCGCACCCAGCTACCTGAGTCAACAATCATGTATTGTGGATACGTGCACACGTTGTGTGGATCGATTGCCACACAGTCCGATAGACTCTTTAAGGTCGTCGCTAACGAATCTCTGTTCCTAATGGTTCGCTAGAAGAAAAGTCGACTATAATCCTCTCAACGTGAAGAGTCAGGAAATTTTAAACAAATTCGCGTGCTCGAGGGTAAATTTTTACAAAAGTAACTTGTGGTATACAATCGTTTCCATCTGCTTTGTATTCAGCTACTTTTTTATGTATGTAGATCAATGGTTCGCCATTTTTTGAAAGTATAATAACTTTCTGTCATTATACGATGTTTTTGCATATCGAGTCTTGCCTACCAGAGAATAAATTCTCTGGTATCGTTACTATAGCTCATCGATTAATTCAACACCCTCTCTTAATTATTTCCTTTCCGAAATGTCCCAGAAAAATAATTAAACCGTGCTCCGGATGGTTCGATGTAAAGAGCAAATAAATTCGCTCGTAGAAACAAAAATCTGGGAAATAAGGAAAATCTTTGAGAATCGACATTCGTAAGGGTGGATATTGTATTTGTAGTGACGAGGTAAAAGGAAAAAGGTGTTCGGTCGGACGGTTAATTTAAATATAGACCGCATAAACATTGCAGCGAGAGGGTAAGCCGCTTGCAACTTATGAATATTACTAGCGAGCTTAAGCTTCCACTTCCTCCATTTCCGTTCAACTCCTCTTCCGTTTCCTTCGTCGCGAGCTTCATCGGAAAGGCATTGTCACCTTCTCAAAGCATAGCTACACGAATATTGACAAACTGTCATTGTTGAGAAGTTAATGAACTTTAAAGAAGACGTTCAGAGATATTGAAATTGATCTGACAATGAGTAACTTTTTAAATAATCAACTAATGAAAAATTTTATAATTGAAGACTCTATTCAAGTTTATTTTAACTAAATATTAAAGATTAATTAGCTCAAGTACGCTTGAGCTTTGATAACAGCCTCTGTAAGTGGATTTTCTTCAAACAAGTAGTATAGGTCAATAGTTAGTCAGACGCTATACGCGTTCTCGGACTTTTGCTGCAATTTTTCGGTTAATGATGAATCAATTCGATCGATACGTGTCCGAAAGTGTGATATACTCTTAAGTGACGGATGCAGTACGCCATCTTGCCTGCTACCTAACAGGACACATGCATATTAATGGGTGAGTTGACAGGTTAATTTTCCCATGACTGGATATCGAGCAACTACGGCACGTAACAGCGTCACGACGCGTATTACAGAACGGAATCTTTAGCTACACGGTTAAATGAAAAGCTGTCGAGAACATTTTTCCAAGGTGTTCAGACAGCGTTAGTAATTTTCTCTGTTTAATCGGGAATTACGAGGAAATTGTCGTTTGTGAAAGAAATATCCAATTCCATTTATACCCTTCCGACTCGACACGGTATTGATACTATAAAAATAAATAAATCGTAAGGTAATTAATTATTCTCAATGGAGGTTTAGGGGAACAGTATCAAAACAGAATAGGTAAACATTAGAAACGTGCAGACGACTTAGAGAAACCGTCAGTCACCGTCAGCTATTTGACTGACAGACACTGACGCAGCAAAGGGACATCATCTAAGCTGCTTGAACGTAGACATTGATGATAGCTTAAGCTAATGGGTCAGTGGATCTTGAGTGGCGATAAGTATCATGTTCGAGGAAGATTCTCGAGCTCGTATCGACAGGCTGCATCGATTCCACGAAATCGTTCATACAGGCTCATGTCATCGAGGATCATGATGTTATCCTTGTTACATCAAGATCCTTAGCTATGCCGTTTGATCTGCATACTCCGTCTCTGTGGTGCATTCCGGTTAGATTAGCCTGTTTACCAACTCGCCATTTTCCTCACCTCATTCCATGAAACTTTTACAATCTCTTTTATATCGTGTGGAAAAGTTTATGAATAGACATCCGAGTTGAAATTTTATTTTCGGTACATAACCAGGGTGTTTCTCTTATTTAACTTTTCATTTGCATTTCTCAAACATTATCAACTTTTTCGTTCCTTTCGTGTAACTTTTTTAGCGTTCAAGTTTCTTGGCTTTTCCAACCATCTTACTACTCAAGTTTTTCAACAAAATCAAACATTTATTATTCAAATTATTTTGATAATGAAACGGATGAATATTCTTCTTCTTCTTGAAAGCAAGATGCTCTTGAATTATATATAGAGAATCACTTGAACTGCATTCAAAAGTCTCGTTCATGAATTGATCAAAGCAGGCGCGTATCCAAGCAAGAGTCTTCGCGGCTTGAATCCTTTGACTGCCGGATATGAAGATTAACGACTTCCAAGTTTCCGTTTAAACAACCGTTCAGAGGGGAGAAAACGCTTTTGTTCGTAACAACGTTATCGCGATGGTCTAACGAAGCCAGCCGAAACCACGATAACCGTAGCGAAGCCTGAAAACACTCAAAGCCGTCTATCGAAGCTTCGAAAGAAGGAGAATCATCGGTGGAAGGAGCTCTCGCTCGTTGATAATGATGTATCTTCGGCTAACTGTCGCGATAGGATTACTTCGTGTTCGACGAAACACCATCTTCCCGATGTACGAAGATTAACGATCCCCGAGATTTAAGTAACTCCTGGAAGAAATCCTGGATAGAATGGTTATCGGCTTGCCAACCGGATTCTAGCCTCGTGAAAAATAGTTTCAGATCAGAATTTGTTATTACACCGGTTATGCTGGTAATACTATTTTTCACATTTTTTAAACCTAATATAAATACATTTAAGATCGTCTATTAAAACAATGGTGGGCAACTTTGCAAGGGTAACAGATTGTATTTAGAAATCTGTCCTCCCAACCACGATTTATGATCGTGGAGGCTATTTGGCAAGGAGATCCGAAACCGCGAGGGCTTTTCGCATAACCGTTTAAAATCTTATTCGTAAACTGCGACGTATGCCACCTCCATGCCAAGGAATTCTTGTAAACTGTAAATAGACAACGATACGATGAACTTCCAGTTGGCTCGAGTACTTGATTCTTCTGTGATAATGATCGGTTGGAGGTCGAGCGAGCATCTTTTTCCCTCTGATAATTTATTCTCTCGCGAATCTGAATTTTAATATTAAATTTCAAGTTTAATGCCGGTGTTGTTATAATTCAATGGAATACATTTAACCGTAGCCTTATTACTTTTCGATTGTTTCAGGTCTGCTGTTTCATCGCAGTGTTCTAATGTCTGGCAGTGCGCTTTCTCCATGGGCACTGGTGAGAGGAGCCGCAAATTACGCTCTGCAAGTTGCCAAACACCTAAATTGCTCGTGGGTGAGTACCGCCTGGAGTGCATTACATTAAGGTCTCCAGTTCGGTGACAACTCCGTGGCGAATAAACCGCCGCCAGGCTTCTCCCTGCTAGGGAAACAATTTCCCTGCTACCTTGCTTATACTGCCAACGATATTTCATCGCGCTTCTTTCAACTTTCCCCGAAAACTTCGGCTAGAACAACCCGGGGAGGAAGTTATTGTCGCACTTTTGAAAAGTAATTTAGAAAGTTAACAATCTGAAGTTTCGCTAAAATTAGGATAGAGAGATTGAAATTCGAGAAATTGAAGGGTTGAAAGTTCAGAGACTGAAAAATTGAAAGGCTGAGGAAATAATAGAAGTACCGTCACGCGTCAGACGGTATTATCGTCGATTCCGGTTTAATTCTATACGACAGGAAGATATTTTCGTAGCGTTGTATTAGTCGTGTTAAAACGTGCAGAGGGAGAAATTCCCAACGGTCGAGTAGCGCGATGTCCACGGCGTATATTAGCTTAATTGAAACGCGTTGTTAATATAATTGGTAGTGTACAACTAACAGACGCAAAAACACCGGTCCCATTGGTTTCGTTTGATAGTTTAATTTATGTCTAGCCGGGCTACAATTTTCCCATGTGTATCCAATTCGTAATTCCAACTGTTATTTTAATGATTTGTTTTAAAGAAAGATAAGAGAATTTAATTTTCTCTCGGTAAATGTTTAATTTAATTTCTGTTATCTCAAAAATCATTTCACATAGAATTTATTGAGCTTAATGCACGATGTCTAATTAAAATTCTACGTCTACGAGGAGAATGTCTGCTCCATCGATAGAGATGAAAAATTCTCGTGAACAATTTCTGTCCGCTTCCTATTCTCAGGTTTGTTCAGCAATTTCGCAGCTGAAATTCGACTCTCAGTGTAACATATCGATACGTGTGTATGTAACTGGAAAGAATCGCGATTTTATCGAACGATATCGAGAGGCAATAGCAGCGTGGCACGGATACTTGCAACCACTTCGCTGTTATCCAGGAAACACCGTTCTAGATAGGCGAGCCTAAACAGCCTCTCGATTTTCAGCCGATTGAAAATAACGATTAAACGCGAAATCGGGATAAGCGGCGCCGTGGATTGTTTCCCAGGCCACTCCTCCAACTCTGGCCAACCTCGTCTCTTGTTCCGGGTCGAGTAGAGGAGAAATACACAGAGAAAAAAAATGAATTCACAATGGACGAAATGGAAAACGGGTGCGGGATTATGTTGTGCCAGTCGATACCGATGGCTCGGATCGAATTGATTGAATTTGTCGTTGGGAAAAATGACGAAATTAATTTCCTCGCCGGGATTTCTACGGCAGCTGGTCAACGAAGGTTAGAAAAGGCTTGGAATTCTTGTGAAATCGATGCGTGGGTGATTTTATATTTTCCGCGGGAAATATTAGTACAGCCTTTAGTGAAATCGAACGATTCTCGAGCAAGGAAATTCTAAATAATCTTATCGTAGCAACGAAGCTCGATCGACCGATGGGAAGTGAACCGAAAAATCTGTCGTAACTGAGGCGTTCTCGGGGACGCGTTAGGGAATCAGGTTAAATGGTAGTTAGCGTGACGCAATCGCGTCGTTCGAACGCGACGATTCACTTTAATTCGGCTGCACGCAAATGAATTGCTTTAGCGTCCGCCCTGTAATCGCCTTTGGAAATCCTGCTCGAGGCGGATCGCCGCAATCGAATGTCGGGCCGAGCTGTCGCGTCGAGGAAATTCGTCCGGGAAAACGGTACAGCAGTTCACGGCACGACGCGACATTACCCTCGCTGCGATTGCAACGGTGGCGCGCACGTGTGAGGGATGCAATCGGCCACGCGAGCGATTTGTTCGCTTAACGAATTTAATCGGCGGCTTAATATGGTCGAGCACGCTAGCCGGAAACACCGATTCCGCAGAAGAGTTTCCAATTTTCGATTGAACACTGTTGGTACAGAGGAGAGGAAGGGGGTGAGGCTTGACAATTTCGATGGGGAACATTTTTTTCATTTTTTTTTTTTTGGAGAGGTTGAAGCGGCCTCGTTTCGCGCTTCCCGATTGGTATTCTCTCGCCTGCAGCCCTTGCACAGGCTCTCCAGCAACTAAACCGTTAAATTAGACTTTTGTTGAAGCTCCTTTTTTTTTTGTTTGAATTGCTGGTGCGTTGTTCGTTCTTTTTTTTTTGGTGAGGTATTTTTGTGAGGTGGTTTTTGAACAGTGGGTTATAGTTGGGAATTTGCGGAACTTTCGGTTTTTACAGCCGCGAAAATTGGAGCCCCGGTTTTATTTGCTTTTTTCTGTAACCGAAACCTGGAAAAGAATGCTGCATCGATAATCTTGAATACATAAGTAATCTGATTTTCAGGCCTCGGGTAATCCTCAAGCCCTGCTCATGTGTCTAAGGGAGGTGCCACTGAACGCCCTGGTGTCTGTCCCCGTCAAAGGGTTGGAATTCGCTCCTGCCTTCGGTCCCAGCATCGATGGGGTAGTGATTGATCCTGGAGATCCAGAGGATCAGGACTTCACCCTGCAGGTCGACACGATCAATACATTGAACAACATTCTGCTACGGAAGGACGTCGTGGCCAAGCTCTCGAGGTATTTCCGCACCCTCTTTTCACCGTTTCCACCCTCGTATTTTCTCTCGATCACCGGTTCGTTCCGTTTCGTCGGAGAAACAGCCGAGAACCACCCTTCTTTCGCTGCCAACTTATCGATTTTTCAACTCTGCACACTTCGAGATTCGCAGAGAACCCTAGCTTTTCTTTTCTTAACTTCAATGCATCGACGACCAACTGCATACTTTATACGGTCGTGTAAAAGAAATTGATATCGTTTAGTACCGTTTCCAGTTGTTCTCAATTTTCTTCCGAGACATCGACGTTAGAAAATTACCTTTGCCACTCGGTCTCACCGTCAATCGCACCGCGGAACGCGATAAACGCCTGAATGGAAGGTAAGTTCTTCGTCGAAAAGAAATTCTGAAGTTAAATACGCTCGTACAACTCGCGATATTTCAGCTGTGATTCAAAATTTCGATGAGCCAAAGCTTTTCGAAACTGTGCTCAGCGAATTTTCAACTTAAAGAAGTTGCGAAAGGTTTGACAGAGCAAGGGTATCGGTTTACGCGCCGTGGAAACTCATTACCGGACTTTGGTTAAGGGAGGATTTCAGAGGGGCTGTTCTTTCACGACTGTGATAAATAGAACGTTTTTCGCGAGCGTCACTCTATGGATTTCTTCGTTTCACCCTCGACTTCTCCATTTTCTACTTTGCAACCTGTTCATCCCCCTCCCGCCGCTATTCCACCCCTTCGAATACATTGTCCTTTGGTCTGCTCCTCTTTTTTCTTTCTTTATCTCTGAACTCTTTGTGCTCGCCCCTTGGTCTCGTTTTTCACTCTTCATTTTTCCTATAGATTCCTCGCGAACGCGTTTTATCATTTCCCCCAACGATTACAATTGAATTGTGCCACTATTTTTTTGCTTGCTAAGGTAATTCAACAATCGCATTTGTGCTTAGGAATTCCACGTGAACTCGAGTATTTACCGAGCAGCGTACCGCTAAAGAAAATGTTTTCACTAGCGGGAAAAAAAGCAGGGAACTAGCTCGCATAAAGGTAAACGTAGCTTGTGATGAACATAGAAAGTTAAACACCGTTCGAGATTTAATTTCGCGACTATCTAGTGCAGTTCTCGTGAGAGAAAAGAGTCTGTCTGCTGGTTTCAAATTATTTCACCGCTCGTGAAAACAACAAAGATTTGTTATTTATAAAAATGTATTATTTTATAAATAACGTACTTCTCCGTTCGATGATTCCATCTGAAAATTTTCTACACCCTTACATTTTCACCCTTAAAGAGGTCGAACAGCGAGTTAAATTTTTCATTTTCACGGCAACGAGACGTACGCTTTTAATTCAAAAACGCGGCTGACCAACCCTTGTTTCATCTCCATTGAAAGCGTTAGGATACACAGTGTACGAAAGCACTTAACAAAATGGAATTAAAGAAGCCTTTCAAATTTGCAAAACGGCACCCCCTACGAATCGCGTAAAGTGTCGGCAGACTGGTGAAAAGAACTGGAGAGCGTTAATGTATCTACTTTTCCGAGCAGCATCGAAACGTGTAAATTATTGAAATTAAGCATCGTCCGAGGTAGAATTTGTAGAACGATCCATCGAACGAAAACAACGGTTAGAAAATCTCAACATCGTCAAGTTTTCATCAACGACCATCTTCTTCTGTCGCTTCTCTGTCCCATGGTTATTTTCTCTTCTCCTCTTTGGCTGATCCTTTGTCATGGTAACCCTTTGTTCCTTTGTCATCGCGTTTCTTTTCGATTCTCTCTCGTCCTTTGATTCATTCCCTTCTGTTTCCACGGATCCCGTTCTTCGCTGCACTTTGCAGCCCCTTTGGCCCCGCCTTCCGCGATAAATGAATGCTCCGTTGGGGTTTAACGCGAACCAGACGCGTAACGACGATGTTTAAAGGGAATGGAAATCGTCGGAACGACGAGCATTCTTTGCGCAAACATCCTTGAATGCCTCGCGAATCTCAATTCCCCAGGAACCGATGAATGCAGGATGTTAATTTGTCGCGAATAGACTGTCTACGGTGAATATTTCCTGAAGAATTGCGGGGAAATAGAAAGCTGTACATCCCGCAACCTGCGTGTAATTATGTTGCGAAGTTAATGAAGAAGAGGATCGAGCCCAGCAAAGGGGACACAATACACTTTGATGAGCACCGTGTGTACCTTGTTTCTGTTAAGATATTAAATCTCAAACAAGATTCATTTCATCAACGCCGACCGTGGAATTACGTGTCCCAATTTCTTGTTACATAAAATTAAATCTTTAATTCTGACAAACAGTTTTGTTTGTTTTTCAGGTACGATCTGATGATAGGTGTGGTTCGATCAGAGGCGTATTTCTCTTTGACGGCAGACGATGCGCAATATGGGATCGAAGCCGACAGAAGGACAAAGATTCTAAGGGAATTCGTGCGAAACACCTACACGTATCATCAGGCGGAAATTCTGGCGACGATAATTAACGAATACACGGACTGGGAACGGCCCGTGCAACATCCGGTTAACATAAAGTGAGCGTCGCTCATTCGGGGTAGCACCGTTTCGAAATAATTTCAAGATCATTTGCTCTGAATATTTCTCTTCTATTTCCAGGGATGAAACTCTCGAAGCTTTAGGGGATGCAAACACCGTGGCACCGGCTACAAGAACAGCGGATCTACACAGTCAATCACATCGAAACTCTTACCTGTATGTGTTCGATTATCAAACCAAGTTCGGCGATTATCCTCAGGTAAGTTTGAAGATGAAAAAATTAATTGGAAGGTAGAGCAATATTGCTGGGGAAAGTAGGTGAAAATAATTCGCAATGTAATCAGAGACGGTGTCATTAACCCACATTTCGCATATTTTATTGCTAACGATGATACATTACGCTGTTTCATCGTACATTCACCGCGCACCCTCGTTCATTCAAATTTAAATCCCATTCTTCACCCCGTACATCCGTTTCCACCCTGACGTTTCCTACCTTGGCGAAAGACGTTCTCCATTGTTGGAACGTGAACCATGAAATTAAGGAAAAATTGTCGTATATTGATGGCAGTTCGATCCTTTGAAATTTTTCTTTTTTTCCCTTTTGCTTCGTTGAACATTGGAAACGATGGTGGTGAACGCATTTGTTGGCGAAATATCGTTAGGTTTTGATACAGAAATAATCTGTTTAATTTGTGTATTAATTTGAATATTGCACAAGCAAAGATTTACATTATTTTACATTTTGATATATTCAGCGGGAATTTCATCTAATAATTTAACTCTCATATTTCCACGAAGGGGTTTTCGTACTCGAAGTAATGTAAATTTCACGATAAAGTTTAAATAAGCAGGTGATTTTTTTTCACTTAATAAATCTGTTGGTTGCAGCAGGTATTTTAAAGCAAAAAAATTAACGATATTTTTTAACTAAAGCCAAACTTGTATATTTCGCTGCCCTTTTTCCTCTCAAAAACGTCGACGGATTTTTGTGTTAAAAACCGTAGTAGCGAAGTTTTCAAAAAATTTTCATGCAAAATTTTACCTCCGTGACGTTCTTTATTGTTAAATAAAATTATTACTTTTAATTCATTGCAGAGCTAAATATATTATCTTTAGAAATTTTAAATAAAGGACACCGCTTTTGGTTCCATCGAACCAACTACAATCTGCATGGACAAAAGAGCAACAAAATTAATATTTTGACGTTAGCTCCTATTTTCTCCAAAAATGAAATTCATTAATTTTACACATTTTTTCCCTTTTCATCCCATGGCTTTTGTAAGATTAAACTAAGACGAGAAACCGTTTCTTCCTTTTTTTTTTTTAAACCATCCTTATCAGAAGGGTGAATCCTCCTTAGTGCTGGATGCAGGGTTGATTATTAAGAGCGACACAATTTGTTTGCCTCCTGAGGCAGGTAATTTTGTGGCCGACAGCTCGAAGCCATTTCAAAAATGAGACCAGCAATAGCTGAGGAAAGGTACCGTCTACGGGGGGGTAAGTCGTTCAAGGATTCGTGGCAATTTTCTGAAAGGGTGGCTGCGCCACTTACGCATCCAATATGCCGCCGGGCGTATGTTCTCAACGAAACTGTGACCGCAGAGCAAATTTTTCGCCCAGACACCCTGGATACCTTGGTTATTTTCCGTCTAATTACCTCGTTCCCACGAATAAAGTGGCGCATGGGGGTGTACGGTGAACATTCGACATCCCCGAGCTAATTTTTTCCTCCGTGTAAACTCCAGATATATCTGGCATCAGCAACGAGAAGAAGAACCCCTTTAATTCAACCGATTTCCTAACTGAATATCTTTATAACAAAGATATTCTTATAAAACTGAAAACTTCCCTGACTTCTCCTCTCTCTTCAACAATTCCAAGAAAGTTTCCTATCTAATAATTCAACCTGTTCCGAAACTCTGACGTCGTTGACACACCCCTTACGTATCTGACGTCTGAAACTTACACCCCCCACCGGCGAGAGAGGAACAGTTCCCAACTGGGGGATGAATTTCCGAGAACGATTATTGCTACCCCTCGTACACGCGGTGTACATTACCCGGTAAATCTTGCTCGCGTCGCTTCTCGCGCAGGAAACGGATACGCTAGAGGAAATTGTAAAATTACTAGCAGTATGCAAGAGGGGTGGGGTGAAACGGCAACGTGTAACATGATCGGTTGTGTGTCACGTTAGAACTCCGCGTTTCCGGTTCAAGTCTCGGTTCACCGCGGATGTTGGTTTATCAACGTCGATAACGCGGTTACGATTTTCCTGGGAAACGCGTGCGACCGCATACCACCGTGACAATTAACCGCACAGGAACGGAAGAGATGCCATGTTTAAATAATTAATTTTCACCGAGGAATTTCAGGATTTTAGGTGTTAGAAAAATTTAGCAACGAAAGTGTAAGACTTTTGATAACATTGTCGCGCATTTTTGCGGTGGGAAAATTTCCGTTTAGTCGCGAGGGTTGAATCGTTAAAGAGGCGGTCAAAGCGGAGGCTGTGTAAAGACAGGCTGGAAAACGGAATTTAGATTAAATTTCCGTTCGCCGATTGCGCCTGTACATAAACAGCTTAAAGGGGCTCGGTAATTGAAGGGAAACGCGTTGAAAAATTCTGAGGTTCGCGTGTGTGCGACGTAAATCCGTGTGTTAACGATTACGTTTAACGGAGAGACGTGTAAAAGAACGAAATGGAAAAGGCGGGGAAAAATCGATACTCACATGTGAAAATAATTGTAAAAAAATATAACTCGTTATTTTTCACCCCTTTGAAAGGATTATCTTAAATGTTCTGTTACAAAGATAAATATTGAAAAAGGAAGAAACGAGAAGTTAAGATCCTACTTGGAAGAAAGAAAATCAGACTTTGACTTGTTGGAAGTTTCAAGATTTCCCGGTTTGAAAACGTTTTGTTACCAGAAAGATTTTTATCGTTTTAGTTCCTCCACGGTGAGGATTATTTTTCAAGATTAAAGAGTTTAAAAGGAAAACAGGAAACAGGGGTCGGAGGGATAGGAAGGGAATGAAAATCACGACGATCGAGGACGGGGAAGGGTGGAGATGAATTTAAACTTCTCGAGAAGTTGCCGGCCATTCTCGTTGCGAGCGGTTTGCTATCGAGAAATCTTCTGCTGTTTGATTTCTCTGGCAAGTGTGCTTTAAAGAATTATTTCTAGAGATTAAAGGACTCGATGGTAGCGGAAAGTTGAAAATAGTGGTACGGATAACAGAGGGAACAATCGTGGACGATCGTTTTTAACACTTACACGGTTGAAGTTCGTTATTAATTGATAAAGCGTTAATGAATTTCCGAGGTGAATAATTAATAATCTCGAAAATCCTTCTTATGAATATTGCCATTTGCAGAGCGCCTAACAATTTGCATCTATAATTCGCGATTTCGCGTGTTATCGTGACCGATTAAAATTGCAAAAAAAAGTGACCGGACGCCGCGCTTGTTTCATAGATTATTTAGTAACGATATGCTGATCAATTTTGAAACCGATAAGCAGGATTAAATATTAACAATTCAGTGTTTCGATAATTATTACGAAATTGAACTGTAACGAAAAACAGTAGGACGATTATGAAATCAACGATTCCCTTTTTTTTTCTTTATTACTTGATGTAATTAACACGTAATGAAAACATTTTTAAAGCATTGAATATTAAACACTATTGGCGTATTATAAATTCATGGAACCAGGAATATTTTACGATATGTCGAACTGTTTTTAATTTTAATGGATCTTTTCAGAACGTTTTAAAAAACAAATGAATTTCCAAAACGGAAAGCATAAATCTGAAAATTTTTTAACACAGAATTTTTATTTATTCTCTTTTCCTTCTAACTGAAATTAACTTTAGATAAGGTAAAGCAAATCTTTTACATCACGTGTAGCCTCGGTATAAAAGTTCGAAAACTTAAAAGGGCCCGATGCAGCTGCGGAGTTTGATCGCCTTTCAAAGCGAAACTTTCGTCTCTAAGAACGTTAAAAATAGAAGAAGCAAAAAAAGAACGTAACGTAGAAACCAGGTTTCACGAAAATGAACGATTAAAAACATCCAAGAAAGCTTGTGGAAAAAGGTTTCCCAACGAGTAGGGGATGCGTTTCGCGAAAGCCGCTGAAAGTAACGATAACGAGGACAATAAACTTAATTATCGTAACGACCAGGGGTACAACGCGAAGCATAACGTAATCAGGTAAAAAATTAACAAGTCCTTTTAACGAGGTCGCGGTACACGACCACCTGAAAGTAATCCTTTTAATGCAACTGGACACCATCGCAACACCGTGAATCAAGGATTTTATTTGCACTGCTAAAAAGAAACTCGGCGACACGGTTTACATTCCCAATAAAAATAAAGTATCGCCTTCTTATTTAATTTGAAATACTAGGTATGGTAGATTGAGTCATGAAATCCTGAAAGCTGTAAAGTTGTAAAATTCAAAGATGTTGATTAACGCAGTTGCGATAAACTCTTTCAGCGTAGATTATCTCCTTTTATATGAGGGTGTTAATGCTCTTCTCTATGGTTATTGCTCGAACGCTGGAGGCGGCGTTCAATCGATGATCTAAATTTAAATTTAAACAGGCTCCTGCTCGCCTTTGATGTTCCCTCGTTCTCGTAACACGATCGTCTTTCACGATTTTTTATACCATTTTCCTTTTTCTTCTGCTCTTTTGTCCCTTGCCAAAAAATTTTTATCATTTAGCAACGGTTGATTGTTTGAGACCTCATTATCGAGATCAATTACTTGGACGTTGAAGTTTCTCTGGAAGAGATCTCAATTTTTCTGCATCTTTCTGGGATATTATTTCTCTCGAGCAAAGATAATATGAAATTATATAATACCTCTTCGTTCTAAAATTTAATGAACTTAATTCCGAGAAAAAATAAAGGAAGTGAGGAAATCTTAGGTAACATTAAAATTACCAGAGTAATTTGTATAATAGCATATTGGAAAGGAAATTCTGAGTAGCTCAAGGTATGTCTGACTATGCGTGTATATTTTCACTGTGACAGTCGCAGTTTTAAATGATTATTTTCATAAGTATCGATATGGATGTCGTACGGAAACGTCGATATCCACGATGATCGAAGCATCCTCGCCATTACTGATGTCTCTTGCGGAGTAGCATCTGTTAGAGGCAACTCTGTTCAACTTTCGCGAGCTGTTCGGCCAACTTTCCTCCCCTGACGCGGCTTAAGATCGATCAGCGAGCAGCTTCGAAGCAGGTGTACACACGATCTTCGCGAACCTGGCAATCCGCTAGGACAGATCGAATCTTGTTCCGCATCTCGGTGACATACCACTGTTCTTTTACTTTTCCATTTCTTCCTCGAGGATTATTTTAGAATCCTGACTGATAGGTTGGATGAATCATCCGTCAGCTGAATAATTTTCTATCCTTTCAAAGATACGAAGAATTACGTTCGGAAAACATAAGATATTTTAAAATTCTAGCACCATTTGCAAGCAGCCAAACAATTTCTCCGGCCGTAAAAAGTTGTTTCTTCCTCTCCAGATGGTTGATTCTACCGCGGAAAGGTTTCGCGTTATTAAATAATCTTACGTACCCTTTCTTCGCCGGCTTTCACGGGCCGGTTGCTTAATTATATTTCGCGAAACAGGCCAGTTCTTCTATTTACCTTGGAGCTTTCATCCACGCTCGCCACTCTGTATTTCTTCGTCCGTTTTAATTACGAATCGCCATTGTTTACCTCGGCCCGAGCTTTACCAGATTAAATTTATTCTTCGGCTCACCTGACCCGCTAGACTATTTGCTTGCCACCAGCTAACATTGTACCCTTCGTCCGTGAAGATTCGATTCTCATCTTTTAAGAGGTTGTTTCTACCCCTTCAGAAATCTTCTCTTTTTACCTCTTCTAAAAGATTTTATTTTACAGAGACCGGGCTGCATCCATGGCGAGGATCTACCATATTTTTTTGGAGCACCCTTGGTAGGCGGTTTGTCCCATTGGCCGAAAAATTACACGAGGGCAGAGATAGCGCTGTCCGAGAGCGTAATTCTCTATTTAACCAACTTCGCACGCACCGGGTGAGTGGTCGAACAGGAATTTTACCGCTCGAAATTGGGAGCTGCTGCTTCGATAAGAAATTAACGATCGTCCGCGGTGTCTCGACAGGAATCCAAACGAGGGTACACCGGATATCGGACCGCTCAGACCCGAGAGAACGAAGTTCAAGAACATCGATTGGGTCGCTTACGAAGCGGTGCACAAGAAGTACCTAAGTATAGGTGAGTACTTAAGAGAGAACTTTAAAATAACGAGCAATAATAATTTTCTTTTTTCAAATCTTTCGATGGTATCTGATCCGAGCTAATAAACTTGTGCTGTAAACTTCGAACTTAACGTCGTAAGTCTTTAAAAGCTCTTTAGCTAAAGATATCGAGTTTTACCTGAGAAAGCCAAAGCTTGATAAGTGGTTATATTCATAATTTATGCACCAAACACGTTGCCGCATTCACTTTGCGCGAACTCAAGCTTCTATAACTCGTGGTACTCTAAATTTCGATTCCCATGCTGCCCTTCCGGTCTCCACAGTTTCCAACTTCCTCCATTTCAGAAGTGTACGATATATCGGTTCAAAGTGGAAACTGTAAACGTCGTAATCTTTCAGAAGACATAATGCATTCACGGTAAGAACTATTACGACATGAAAATTGATCAGGTGGATAAAGTAGAGAAAAATTTGCTTCGACGTACGAAGGAAACAAAGAAAAAGACGATTTCCCGGGTAGCTTCCGTTTAGCTCGCTCGAGGATCTTGCGAGGGTTTGAACCGGAAGCGGGAATTATGATTTAATCCGATTATCGTCTAAAGTGTGTATAATGAAGGTAGTCTCAGGTATAGGGGCACGCACTTGGTATATGTGTAACTAAGAGGATCAACGATGATTTATTTGCATAATTCTCGTTCTCGACGAGAGGAACGAGAATGGCAGTTCGTCAGTAACAAGCGTCGAGTACCCAGGAAGTTCACTTTCGGGCTCTGACTGAGTTTCACGCTCCTCTTCAAATTGTATCCATAACTTTGGAATGAAAAGGCAACGATCCAACGTCACCTGTGTTCCCGCTAGATTTCTCGTAACCTTTCGCCAATCTAAACCCTTCCTCTCTTATCCAGACCTCCATTTCCGCTATGGAAGTCCTGTTGAACGATCGTTAGAGAGGTTTCGCAGGATATTGCCCTTTAAAATCGAATGCTACGTAGCTCGGAATGTGCACAAACTATATATTGGTGGCAAGATTTTTCGATTACCCTTGCCAGAAGGGACGCAGTTAGCGTTGAACATTTTCACGAGTTTTCCTGCTCGTTCGCCATCTGCGTGAAAATCGCGTGTGTCGCTTAGCGGGAAGAAGAGAGAACGGAAAGTCTGGTAGGAGAATCAGCAAGCCGAGAGAAATAACGTCGGTTGCATGGAAGTTGGCCGATGCTCGAGCTCAGTGCGGCTCAAACTATGCCACGGTGTGACCGCAAGTAGAAAAGTCGACGCAAAGCCAGCCGGATAGGGAAGGAGGGTAACCAGTGTGCCTTCTCTAAGCTTGTCTGCTTCCCTCGCGTACAGAGTCGACAGTTTCGAACTTTGAGGCGCACTGGCTAACGAAGCTGCCTTCTGTACGAGATTACCACGCGACAATAATTAATTACCCCGTCTGTTAATATGAAAGGGCTCCGCTTGGCAAAGCGGCTTTTCCAGGTTACCGTGCGACCAGGTTGACCCGGTACGGTTTGCTGGCACGGTTCCCTCGAAGAAAAGAGACGTTTCCTCTCCTTTCCCACTTCTCTGGTTCCGCTTCTTTCCTTGAAATCCAATTGAGACTCTTCCATTCGTGCTTACAGAGCTCAAGTCGAAGCTGAAGAACCACTATAGGGCGCACAGACTCTCGTTTTGGCTGAATCTTGTGCCCGATCTACACAAACCTGGCTCGGACGATGTTCCCAGATCCCATCATCTTCTCGACACTGAACAGGTAGATCAGAGAATGCATTGTTTCGTTTCGCACGTGGAAATTAGTTCCTAGTTGCACATTGTTGTTAACATCACTTCGCTGAAGATTTCCGGAGACGTGCTTTTGAAGTTGAAAGCAGTTAGTTCCGTCAGTGTGTCTTCAGTGCTTTAATGAAGGTAGCTGCGATGCTGACAAAACGTCGGAACTAAGCTCCACAAAGACGCGGTTCATACCCGGAAACCTTCAGTAAATATTACCTCCACTATGCTAATATTAACCTTCAGTTGTCCACCTGCCATAACTCGGTTGTAACGTGAGCTTCCTACACCCAAGTGTCAAGGTAATTACTTTTGTACTAATTAAGCATCGTTGTTTCAGGTACCACCCCGGTTCATCCAGAGGATACCAACGACAACTAGGATGACCACGGCGGAAGTGACGTTGACGGAACGGCCTCAAAACGTGACGACTGCGATACCAAGCGAGCTGGCCTTCGAGGACTCCACTGCCCAACCGGAGGACGGCTTCGCAGCTTACTCGACGGCGCTCAGCGTGACGATCGCGATTGGCTGTAGCCTTCTGATCCTGAACGTGTTGATTTTCGCCGGGGTTTATTATCAGCGTGACAAGAGCAACCAGCACAATTGCTCGAAGAAGCGACAGGAGAACGGACAGATGCCCAACAACATTTGCGGCGACCTGGACACAAAAACTGCCGAGAGACACCACATCCAACACATCCCCCCGCCAGAATTCGCCGATCTGCAGAACAACAGCTGTCACGTGCCGATGCCACCACCACCGCCGAAGAACACGAAGCCTGGAAAGCCTGGACAGAACCTGATCATCAGCCCGAATCAGCTTCAACAGGAGAGCCTGGCGATGACTGGCACAGGGACCCTGAAGAAGGGCCATAATCATCAGCAGCAGGTGATGGACGAACTGAGGGTCTGACTCTACGAGTACCTCGTAGTTGGTGCCCCATCATCGTGGACTGTCGATGATTTTAGTGTAAGACTGATCAGAGTACTGCGTGAATCTTTAAGTGCATCGTTTTGATCGTGTACACCAGATCGACCGTGACTTTCAGTAGCTGAATGACGAACCTTTGTCGTGAACTTCTTGGCAGCTGTGGTATCAGGTGAATAATTAAAGATCTAAATACTTGTTTTCCAGCGGAATCATTGAACGAATGAAATTTATTCGGGAGGAATTTGAAAGGGTGTCGAGGCTAATTTATTTTTCTTTCTATAGAATCGTCGTTGAAATTGATGTTGTATTTAATATAATTATTTACGAGTGTGCTGTCAACGAGACACGAAGCCAATGTGTTCATTCACGACAAGGAGAATATTCGATCGTATTCTTGACGATTCTCGATGATTATCGAAAAAATCCTTGAAAGTCATCAAGAATGTATCCCTGGAATTAAACCGATAGAAATCCCTTGGTGAACCGACGAGATTCACTTACGAGAAGTGAAAGTGCCGCCTAATTTGTCAGACCTTATCGTTTTCTACTCATCGCGATAAATATACAGTATAGGAAAAAGCACATGCGACCAACTGCCGACAAATCGCGTAATCTTCGACGTGTTGTAGCAACATTTAAGTAGAACCTTCTCAAGATAACACAGAATATATTTTCCAACGATCGCCTAATCGATTTGCCAATAGTGTCGTTTTTTCAAAAGAGCGGAAGTCAAATACTCGAGACTGCACCCTTCGTGGTACCCTCGTGGTCCAATGAAGTTTTCTCCCCTTTCTCGTGTTTAAGTTAATTACAAAAGTCTATTTAATACGTTGGGTATAAACGTGTTGAACGTTTGAAGCAAAGCGATTGATCATTTAACGTGTTAAATATAAAAACATCATTGCGTTTTTAGAATAAAGTTACGTAAGGGTCGGTCTTCAACGACCCTTGATTCTTGAAGAGATTAGATCCACTTCAAGTGATTTACGAAAGTGTTCTATTTTCAACAAGTCTATTCCTGTATATTTGTTCAATCGTTAACGGTTCTTTCAGAGAAAATGCTCAATAAATAAATAAAAAAAACACACACACACGAACGAAGAAATGAATGAGATTTCGAATCGAGTAACACCGGGTACTTTTTTTTTACCCCAGGGGAAAAAAAGGTGAAAAATAGAATAAAACAGCGAGGTCAGTTTGCGATTTATCATTACAAAATAAACAACATATACTGCCAAACGAATGGAACGGACACTTTTAGCTGACTATGTAAATCAATACGAAGCAGCGTGACTACTTCGACGGCGAGAATCGATTATTCGATTACGTGTATAGGTTGTGGTTCAAAAGAGTGGATGAAGGGGTAACGAATGAGTCGTTTTTAGAAAAGGTTTGTTTTTTTTCTAAGGGTGAAACGATCGAGAGAAAGAGAGAGCGATCAACTCTTGACTGAAGAATGAGTTTAGACTGTAAATAATGAATAATTTAAACTTAGTGGTTCGTCGAGTCGCTGGTATTGAAAGAAGAAGCAGGGGAGAATGGAAAATCCGATTGTAACTGCACTTGTCGAGTAACGTGATGGTGTGACAGCGTAGAAGCACTGGACGTAATTTTAAATTTGTATATAATTGACATTACAATAAACCATGTAAACAATTACTATCAGCCACGGTGTTTCAGATGCCTGATCTTCAAGAAAAATCTTACATCCTTTTTAATTTACAAATTTTCAAGTATTTCCTGACCTATAAGCTTCAGAGATCTCAAACGTTTAAAATTATTAGAATAATTATTAGAATAAATATTTGGCAAACATATATTTTGAGAAGAACGCATAAAATTAAGTATTTTTAAATTGTGACTACAGCGCCATCTATACAAGAGCGGCGGAAACTACTCAACAAATTACCGACTTATCGACTCAATTTCGACAGTCGGTAATCGACTGAATTTCGACAGTCGGTAATTGATTGAATTTCGACAGTCGGTAATCGACCCTTCGGCAGTCGGTAAGTTAACGGGGTCTCAAGAACCCCGATGCATCTGTAGCGCTCTACATACCGACCGGGTGTCAGGGACCCCAATACATCGTTGGTACTCTTTATGTATTGATTTGATATCATTTGGGCTCCTAAGGACCCCGTTTGCACTCTGCATACATCCCTGATATCATCTGGGACAGTAAGGACCCCATTTGCATTCTGCACACATCCCTGATATCATTTGGGTTCCTAAGAACCCCATTTGCACTCTGTATACATCCCTGATATCATCTGGGATCCTAAGAACCCCATTTGCACTCTGTATACATCCCTGATATCACCTGGGATCCTAAGGACCCCATTTGCACTCTGCACACATCCCTGATATCATCTGGGTTCCTAAGAACCCTATTTGCACTCTGCACACATCCCTGATATCATCTGGGTTCCTAAGAACCCCATTTGCACTCTGTATACATCCCTGATATCATCTGGGATCCTAAGGACCCCATTTGCACTTTCCATACCGAATAGGTGTCATCTGGGATCCTAAGGACCCCATTTGCCTTTGCATACCGACCTGATATCATTTGGGATCTTAAGGACCCCATTTACACTCTGTATACCGAACTGGTATCATCTGGGTTCCTAAGGACCCCATTTGCACTCTGTATACCAAACTGATATCATCTGGGTTCCTAAGGACCCCATTTGCACTTTGCATGCCGACCTGATATCATTTGGGATCCTAAGGACCCCATTTGCACTTTGCATACCGACCTGATATCATTTGGGATCCTAAGGACCCCATTTGCACTCTGTATACCGAACTGATATCATCTGGGTTCCTAAGGACCCCATTTGCCTTTGCATACCGACCTGATATCATTTGGGATCTTAAGGACCCCATTTACACTCTGCATACCGACCTGATATCATTTGGGATCCTAAGGACCCCATTTACACTCTGTATACCGATCTGGTATCATCTGGGTTCCTAAGGACCCCATTTGCACTCTATACCGAACTGATATCATCTGGGTTCCTAAGGACCCCATTTGCACTCTGCATAGCGACCTGATATCATCTTGGGATCCTAACGACCCCATTCGCTCTCTGGATGCCGAGCTAATATCATCTGGGATCTTAAGGACCCCATGCGCTCTCTGCAACACAACAGTTTTGAGCTAGTTTCAACGAGATCTTTTTAACGACATGTTAGAGATGTTTAATTTCTTTTATTTTGTCATGAAAATTTTTAATTTTGTTTAAGTGATCGGGACAGTAGAATGAATCAATAGATAGTGAGACAATGGAATAGGATCGGGTATAGATTCACAAATAAACCAAAGTTCGGATGTTTGTTTTCATTTTCAATTATATTTCTGCAAGATCTCGTTTGATCACGTTAAACAAAAGCGTACATTAGTTCCTATTTTATTATAATGTATCGGAAACTTAAAGCCTTGGTACTTAACCCTTCGAGCCGGGAATTCCTTCGTCCAATCGAAAGACGATAAACGAGACACCGCGCCACAGAAACGATACGAATAATCGTTGTATAAAAAGTGAGAAAATGAACACATAAGAGAATACTGTAAAGCTTGTCTTTCCCAATGTATTTTAAAGCTACTTAATAAGTTATGAAACCGGGGTGGTTATATACGATAAAAATCGTGGAATTTCGAAGAGTCGAAGGGTTAACGTTTACAATCAATAAATATCGCACCCTACTGCTACGTTAAGTTTGACAATTGAATTGCAAAAAGACGATACAGCGAATACCTCTATTTAACTAAGAAACATCAGCTACGATAAATTTAGCCACTTAACGCGGCTGCCTTGCAAATTACATTCACAAGAATCCTTTGAAATTCTACAAATCATCGGTCGCTACACGACTATCGAATCTCCGTTAACCCTTTCGCCACGAAGAAACATTTTTCCTCGCGAATCGACTAAACGAAATTTATTGCTCTTTCTTTAAGCATAACTTATTATTAACACCGCTAAGTATCTTCCTATAAATATAACTAAATAATATCTGGTTCACAGATTTCTGAAATTCCTCTAATTCTTTATCACTGCGATCTCTGTTCGATCAGTTAATTATCGTTAACAGAAAATTAAGGTGTCAATTATAATCCAAATCTCCTCTACCCACTCTACCGTGGCGAAAGGGTGAAACTTGAAACCGAAAGACCGTCAATCTCATTGCGCCCCTGAAAGCAAGCAACCGTGGATCAGCGAACGATCGACGCGTCGATCGTTTCCACTAGATCAGCGTATTTTTATCTATTCTATCTTCGCTAGAACGGAGAAGGTACTGCTCGCATCTTGGAAGATGAAAGGTGATTCTTGTTTAGGCGTGAGCTTTGCAATTATTGAAATATGATGAAAGATCGCAGGTCACTATTATAGCAGTACGCGAACGAGTATCTTCTCCGCTCGTGAAGTCGAATCAAAGAAAAATATACGCTTCGTATATACGTTTAAAACTCGTTAACAAAACGCGAGGACTTTGGACGTCATATGATACGGGTCAACTGGATTCTAGACTTCTCAGCTTTCGAGTTAACTTATTGTTAGTACTCTATTCTACTCTAGACTCGTATCATTTAACTTCCGGCGTCCTCGGGTGCTGCACACGATACATTATGGTGCGAATCAACGCTTCACGACACGTTTTACAGAATGGGTTGCGCTAGAGAGACAGTAGAACGTTGAGAAAATGGTGCTAGGGCACGTAGAGCTTGCATTAAGCACGGCGGATTAATGAGTTACAACGCACGACTCAACTTCTATTCCGTTTTTCTCGAGAAAAAAGAAGCCTTATCACATCAAATGTACAACGACGACACCGAAGAAACTTGCGCTCGCCAACGTCGACGAGCGAAGCTTTCTCGTCCTCGCGTTACTCTCTCCTTCCCACGCGTCTACGAATTTTTCATTTTCTAAGTTCTAACATAGCAGGTGCAAAAATTGGCCCGCTTCTCTCGTGGCACTCTCAAACATCGCGACTCAACCTTCTCACCCCCGTTTTCACAACTCTATCCCGCTCGATTCGTCGGGTTTTTAAAAAAGGCGTTCGCTCGTTGTACCTAGCGATAGTTTTATAATTACGCTCGCATTTTCTGCTACCGCATTCCGAATTTCAATCGGTGTTTCGGTATTCTCGTAGAAAGAAGACGCGTCCAACTTCTAACATATTTCTTCTATTAATCGTTTACAAAAATGCACGCCAGCGAACGAAAGTGTGCCAAGCTCGTAGAAAATTAAATTCGCTAGATTTACACATAAGAAATTTACTCAATCCGATACAATAAACGATCGAGCACAGTCTCCTTTTGGAAAGTAAGTCGCGTTACTTTCTAACACGCGTCTTCTTTCTCGATTCATACGCGTTGTCGAGTCGGTCGCTTAATTTTAATCGAGAGATATCGAAAAACGTCTATAAATGTTGTTTAATTACGATTACGATATCATACATCCGTCGAACGAAACACGTTCTACATGAATTACAATATTACATGATTCGCAACTGATCAGAAATAGGTCGTTCGATCGTGTTTTCATTCCTCGACTACCGGTGGTCTACTAAACACGTTTTTACTTTCAGTCGTTTCACGTTTATACCTAGATTCTCGTGTGTGTACCTAAAGAATCTCGTCTAAAGCATTTCTCGGTGTCTTGTGCGTGTCGGATAGAGATTTTTCGCTTGGTAAATGTTCCCGAATCAAACGAACGATGATAGGATGATATTAAAATGTATGAATGCTCGAGGAATTCGGAGATCGTGATATGTCGAAAAGCTTTTGCATATTGCTTCGATCGCTTGAGAACACGGTACAAAGGTGTCTTGCTGAAAGAAAGGCCACCCTATCATCGTGACATTGAATTTCACATCGATGCGTGTCGATTTCCGGTTCGCACAGTTAATGAGAGGAAAAATCGCTAACTCTCGTCGAAGAGCGTTTCTGGCAGATTATAAGAACGTAACTATACGCACTATATGAAACGCACGAAGCTGTTCCTTATCTTTTAATAACAATGATTAAGGGATTCCAGGGACAGTAGTCGGTGAGAAACGGTGTCGATGAGACGTGTGTGTTCGTGTCCTTCGTCTTGCGCGTAACTTATTTGGGCCACGATGTAGACATCAGAAGAAGCCAGCATCTCGTTAAGAGTACTTGTGATGAATTTCTTTTATGTTTTTTCTTTTTTTTTCTCTCTCCCTCCTTTTCTTTTTGGTTCGTATCTGAGAATGTCTCAAGAAGTTTAGCATTATTTTAGCTGCACACTGATTATAAACCACCTTCCTAGCAAATACAGCCGCTCTCTCCCTCCGACTCGGAGCCGTTCTGCATCGGTGATTGATTCTGCAAATCGACAGCTGCTTTCGTGTGTTAAGGCGTTATCACAGTAACCATTTTTAATCGTACACGAAGGATTCGCGGTATGAAATAGCGGTTACATCTTCCAACAAAGTTCTCACTAATCAGGCTTCGTTCAAACATTCGTTGCATCGAACAATATGGCTGGATTTTAGACTTGAACCCGTAATATCAATGGACAATTCGTTAACATTACAATGCATGTAATAGTAAGAAGAATGTATTAGGCCTTTAAAATTGTCACATAATTCGAAGATCGTTATATAAATGATGGTTCGGGATATACGCGATACTACTTCTTAAGTGTAATTAATTATAAATTTAGTCCCATTAGGATTTGAGTAGAAAATAAGTACGATTTTCATGTTCTTTCTTTATTCTTTCTCGACTCTTTCGAAGCTAGAATAGCTGTGTAATTAAAAATGCGTATAAAATTTAAACAGTTCAAAAAACGGGACGGACGGTTCACTCGTGTTTAATTGTAAGTGAAATTTTTACAGCCACGAAGCACCTTAATTAAAATTACACAACGAGTGCTGTCTGTCACATTCATACAATATGATACAGAGTATTGTATATGTATAAATCTTAGTTAAAAAATTATTACACGGACGAAATGAAATCTTGAAATTATTCATGAAACCAGGAAACACGTGTAACGAGGACGAATGCCAAGAAACTAAAAGAACTTATGATTTTCACGAAAAATCAATATAAAAAAATTATAAAATGATATTCAAGATTTTTTTATATAAATTAAAATATTACAATAATTATTAACAAAAATGTCATAATATTAGGTATAATAGCATTCTGTCTATCCATATCCCAAAATTTTAAGTTAATATATACAGATCAAATTTTTTAATCGTTTTTTTTTTTCTTTTGCTGATCTACTTGCTCTATCTATATGATTTTGTTTTTCTTTACGAATAAAGAAATCACTTCGAAATGTATAAATAATACTTCCACAGGAAATGCAATATGTTAATTTATGCAATGGTCGTTCCAAATTCTGGAAAACCTTGATACCGTGAGCAATATATAGATTCTTAAAGTAATTTTGTAAATTGGACAACGTTAGCTGCTTATTTTGCATTGCGATTCTGTGTTCTTTTTTATGTAATTAGCACGCGCACATGTACAGTGCTCTGTGCTCGATACTGCACATTTCGTACCAATTAAAATTTCAATTGTAATCGACGTAGAAAATTCTTATTGCTCGTAATTGCGATCAGTTCAAATGAATAAAGAATTATAGTTGACTGATGTTTTGACTGCATTTACGCAATACGTAATTCCACGTATCTTGGTAATCTGACGGTTTATATCGTCGCAACTTATATACATGACTATAAATATATATAAGTGCACCATATCATGCAATTGCAGCACTGATCATGCATAGGACTAGTATCTCGATCGAAGTATATTTTTCTTTTTTAAAATGCAAAACACAGAGAGTTTCATTACTTGAAGTAAGTACACGCGGTAAATGATGAACGTCTTATTTTACAATTAATAAAAGAAGGAAAATCATAGCACTATCTAGAATGATAATCCATTAGCCATTGACACGTTTAAAAGCAAGCAGCTTTGATGCAATTTGCAAGATTATAAATAATTCATATTATGTTGATGCTGTAATGTACTAATACATATAAACACGTTATTGTGTAAAAGCAGTCTGCTTATACTACCATGTGATATTTATTTCTCATAAACAAAAAGGAAATTATAGCTATTCGAATACAGTGCTGATACTTTCTCACATTGTAAGTTGTGGAAAAGGCACGGACTGTACGTCACTGTCCTAGCATTGAGAGTTTAATTTATAATTTAACTTAAATCAGTGTCTTATCTACCGTTAGGCTGATCGGTGGTTTAACATGCACAACTGCTCTCCGATGCTTTCAGTTCAATTGGTGTATCCTTGAGAACTACTTCTTGCACTACAGGTTTAGCAACACATTAAGGAAAACACAAAAAGATAACGGAAACAACTGAAGTTGTTAATAATGTTAAATAATAATATCCAAAAATAACATATTCGAAATGATTTCAAAAGATGAATAACGACTATGAAAAACTTTATGAACGTACGAAAGTGATAATATCGTAATACATTTAATTATGATTTTGCGATAAGAAAAATTGAAAAATTAATTATCAATAACACTTTCTAGAAGATGTATGATAAATAAGTGCGATAAGCTGAATTGAGGATATGTAGGAACTGGTTCTTATTGTTACTTTTGAAGAAAGAAAATCTCCTGAAATATGATTCTGTATATATATAACATGCAAAAGTGTGCATTATGTATCTTACTGAAAGGATACTGTCTTCAGGAGGTTTATTTTCAGTGGAATCCATGCCTGGTAAAGCTGCTGCTACTCTTCTAAACAGCTAAGGTAACAAAATATGGTTAATATTAGCTTAAGATATATTTAAGAAGTGATTACTTCTAGAACATACCTGTTTCACATTATATCCAGCTTTAGCACTAGTTTCAATAAACATTACATTTAATTCTTTAGCTTTTCGTTCTCCTTCTTCCATAGATACTTGTCTTTTATCACTCAAATCTGTCTTATTACCGACTAACATAATAATTACATCACTTCCTCTTTCAGTCCGTACATCATCAATCCATTTTGATGTTTGATGAAATGAATTTGGATCTGTGTAAACATTTTCTCTGAGCTTTCCATAATTATCAGATAACACAATGCTTCCATTTCAAATGAAACTTACTAGTAATATCATATACAACAACTGCTACTGTGGAATCTCTGATATAACTAGGTATCAAAGATCTAAACCGTTCTTGGCCAGCAGTGTCCCACAGCTGTAATCTTACAGTTCTATCCTCCAGATACATAGTTTTGCTTAAAAAATCTATACCTATTGTAGCCTGCAACAAATAACAGTGTGCCTCATTGCTCCTTTGTGCATGAAACATACTCTGTATGTTGAGGATTATTTAATAAAGCCTAATTTAACATCCCTGATAGATAAATATAAGAAATACTACTATTAAAAAAAAAAATGAAATAATAAAAATTTAATTGATATCCTCAAATAATTCTACAATGTTGTTTCTCTGGTTCTACCTATTAGGAAAAGTCAATATCTTGACCTCTCTACTGTCTCTTCTACTAGCATTTGCCTTAAACATTTGATATTGACCAATTTACATAATAAAATTATATTTTACATCAAAGTATTATTAAACTTAAATAGAGTAGATAGAATAACATAAAACTAAGAACTTGCTATGTCTTTATAAGGATATTGGAAAGTGTGTCATCAAATTATGGATGATGTCAGAAATTAAGAGTGTGGGTTTAGTGCATAATAAAGGAGATAAATAACAAGCTGTTGTAGTTAATTTTTTATGAGAAAACAAATTATAAGAAAATGGTAACATATATTATTAATAAGATGCCTAACTTAAACTTAGCTAAAAACAAACTTATGCTTTTAAGTTATGTATACATATATGTGTATATCACGAAACCATTAGTTTCATACCTGATAAGTGTTGTCAAAGCTGTCATACATAAACCGTGTGATAAGAGACGTTTTTCCAACTGCAACATCAAATCACACGATTAATGCAAAAGATTTACCAGATACTAAAGGTTTAAGAAAAAAATTAAAATCAAAATTATACAAAATTTGATCGAATATAAATTCGTAATGAAACCATTGTTTCCTCCTAAATGTGTAAGTTAAATTAAATTATTCGGTCTAGTTCCGCGGTCTTTTGAAAACGGGAAACAAATGTAACAGAGACAGACGTACGAAGGTAGGTGCATAAATTATGAATTTTAATGGTTAATAAATATTTTAATGAATACTGATGAAAAAAAGATAGATTTCTACAACGAAATGTGGAGAAAATTACAGAAATTAGTAGAATTGAATACAACAATAGGATGGTGACAACAAGAACGACGCCGAATTCGATCGCACCGATAAAGTTGCACAGTGACCAGAAATATTGATCTAGAACCTGGAATGGTTATCGGAACTGATACATGTCATTAAAATTCTCTTGTTCAATGCAAGAGAAATCATCGTTAGGGCAATACCAACAACATATAACTCCGATATTGATCCAGAATCAGCGGAGGTATGTGCGGTAAAATACTCACCGCTCTGTTCACCGAGAAAGACAAGCTTGAATTTACGCAACGGGTTTCCAAAATCACCCGAAGACGACATTTTTCGTGTCTTACAGAACTACTGCACGATAAGTTATCAATAACAAGCACACGGCAACAATTTAATTAATACGACGAGTCATTAATTTTCACAAAGAAATCACTTAATTTGACAGATCGCAAAGCCACTCCTTCGTTCACTCGCAAGGCAGCCACGTTTAACTGGGAAGTGACGTCATTGGTTAGTTGCTAGTCTTCGGAGTTTCTGATAGTGTTCCTCTAGATGGCGCTTGAAAATTTCAAATAGATTATGTATGTATGTACCACACATGAAACACAGAATACAGACTCCTCATATAATGCATTTTTATGTCACGACTACAGATGTAGGGCTCTAAAAACCTAACCTGACCTCCTTACCATTTTGGTATCACATCCTACCATATCGGTTAGGAGTAGAATCATATTATAGCGCTACTAGTGGTAGAATTTAAGATTAAAGAACGCTTTTCGCGCGTAAATCTAAATCTCAAGCGAAAGCCAATGGCGTCTGGATTGGGGGCTCCAAAAATGGAAAATTTTCGAACTCCAGGCATCTTTGTACACGGCTCGAGGAGAAGCCGGTACCGGGTACGACTCAGTCTTATAGCGACCGCCGAGGGATGCGGATGTATCTATGTACCTGTCAAACATACCTATACCCTTATTTTATTTTGTGTATTTATTTAATTTGATGTATTTATCTTCTTAGCTTATTGAATAAACTTATTAAAGGGATGAATGTGTTGATATTATTACTCCTGTGTGCCTATTATTTTATCCTTTTATTTATTATTTTACCTCTATTTCAGGACATCACTTCCATTACATTCCTGCATCCCTTACATCACTGCATTCTTCACATCCCTGCATTCCTCACATCCCTGCATCCTTTATAGCTCTGTAACCCTTACATTCTTGCATCCCTTACATCACTGCATTCTTCACATCCCTACTTTCTTTACATCCCTGCATTTCTCACATCCCTGCATTCCTCACATACCTGCATTCCTCACATCCCTGCATACCTCACATCCCTGCATTCCTCACATACCTGCATTCCTCACATCCCTGCATACCTCACATCCCTGCATTCCTCACATCCCTGCATTCCTCACATCCCAGTATTCCTCACATCCCTGCATTCCTCACATCCCTGCATTCCTTACATTCCTGCATCCCTTACATCCTTGCATCTCTTTTGTAAGCATCCCATTATAGCGCCTCCTGGCGATAAAAAAAGGAACTAAAGCTTGCCGAAATTTTGGCCCTCTAGCGGGAAAAATTTGAACTAAAATTTCGATGTCGAATCAGCGCCATCTGGTTTCAGAAAAAGGAACTAAAGCATGCCCAAATTTTGGCCCTCTAGCGGGAAAAATTTGAACTAAAATTTCGATGTCGAATCAGCGCCATCTGGTTTCAGAAAAAGGAACTAAAGCTTGCCCAAATTTTGGCCCTCTAGCGGGAAAAATTTGAACTAAAATTTCAATGTTGAATCAGTGCCATCTGGTTTTAGAAAAAGGAACTAAATCAAGCAAAGTTTTTGGCCCTCTGGCGGCAAAAATGTGAACTAAAATCTCGACGCAGAGTCAGCGCCCTCTGGTGGCAGAAAAAGGAACTAAATTTGAATTGGAAAAAAACTTTACTTACCTTTACTTACCTTTGCTCGAACCAGCAAATATTATTATATTTATTATATTTATTGCAAGGGTTGCAGGGATGTAAAGGATGTAGGCATGGAAGGGATGTAGAGATGGAAGGGATGTAGGCATGGAAGGGATATAGAGATGGAAGGGATGTAGAGAAGGAAGGGATGTAGAGATGTAAAGGATGTAAATGATGTAGGTGCGGAAGGGATGGAAGGGATGTAGAGATGTAAAGGATGAAGAATAGTAAAGCATGCAAGGATATAAAAAATTCAGGGATGTAAAGGATACGGAGATGTAAGGAAGGCAGTGATGTGAGGGATGCAGTTCCATAAGGATACTGGGAAACATGGGAAAATAAAAAGAATGAAGAAGTAAATATCTGCCTTGGTCTATAAAGAGAAGTAGGACAATAAATAGTTAGGAAGCGTGGTCTTGGCCTATAAGGAAGGATAAAATAATTAACAACTGAAAAGGGTGGGCTATGGCCTATAAAGAGGGATAGAATTAAATAAATAACTGGAAAAAGTGAAATGAAAGGCGTCAATAAGTTATAAAATGATTTATTAATAACTGCAACAGTTGGAATTTGTACAATCCTTGTCAGTTTCATAATAGCTAAGTGTTCGATTTTAAGCAGCCTCTAAATATTTGAGTAATGTTCCATAGTACATTGTTACAGATACAAATTATTATTTAGAAAAATACTTTGTAACATTGGTATATTTAATTTAAACATCTATGTATGTACATATAATAATAGACGCTCTCGCAAACATACAACATATATAACTTAGACTCAGTTCATTTTTTTCTGAGTTTATGTAACAGACATTTACTGTTGATGGAGTCTATTATTATTTAAATTTCTGTAGGGGTCTTCTACCACGATAGAATTGCAAATAAGATCATAAACGGTCCTATTAAATCTAAAGAAATATAATGCAAAGCACAGTGGAAATAAAAATGCTAGGATCATATTTTTTACCACCGATCGGCCAAACGCAAGTGGCAAGCCTAAATCTGTTCCTGGTGAAACAATTACAACATCAGGATCATCAGGTCGATCAACGGGTGTAACACTTCGGCACTGAACAACTCGTAATCCCATCATAGACTTTCCTGGTGTTGTACCACCGATACGGCCATTCACGCCATGCTGGAGCCAGAATGCCTGAAACATTTCTCCATCAATATAAGATGAACATCCATCTTATGTTTATCATTAATGCACTTACCTCGAAAATACACACGATCAAACGATGAATTATGTCTAATATTAATATTCCATATGTCATTTCTAAAGCCATTTTGTAATCAATACGAAAATTTGCTCTTACCAAATCTAGTTCATCTATATCTCTGGAATAAAAAAACAAAAACAGTAATAAATGTAGAAACTAAAAATATGTTAAAGATTGCTGATTTTACATACATGAAATCAAAAACATCAATTGCAATAAAAGTAATGCATAATTTTAACAGAAACAGCATTGTCGAATCTATAAGCTCTGCAGCAAATCTTTTCCATATTGGAGGTATACGATATTCAAAACCTAAAAAAATTATTTCTTTACATTTCAATAAATAAAATAACTGGTAAATCAGATGATAATGGTGAAAATGTATATTTCAAAATTATTGCATTTATAAAATCTGATTCAAGAATATGGACAAATCAGTTGAATACTGATATGATAATCTTATTAAATGCAATAGTTTTGTATCAGAAGCACATATAGTACTAATTGAACCTCTCTTGGAATGTGATGAACACAGGAGTTAGCGTTATGACCTTCTACCTTCAGCTCCAGGAGGTTGGAATGGAGGTCCTACAGTATCTTGGGCTCTTCTTTGCCTGAGTTGATCATTCTCCTGACTGTTTGTATCAATGATTAACCTATGCGGATTTGTCACATTTGGTATTTGTGATGGGAATGGTGGTACACCTATAATTATTCTATTTTATAGAATGATTTTGTAACACTAAGAAAATGCAATGAACAATGTAAATTAAGTACGATGTATTAAGGAACATCTGTATTAATTGTCTGAAATAAAGAATATAATGAAACACAATTCTTACCAGATGTTGGGTTTATTATTTGACCAGACATTAAGTAGTATGGAAACATTGCAGCTACGCTCTGCCAAGCATAAGCTTCATGTAACCATTTCTCTAGATTTTTAAAATATTCCGACCGTTCTTCTGCAGCTGTCATTTTTGACTGATTCTCATCCTCGTTGGATTTTTCAACTTTTGTATCATCGTTTTTATCATTCACCATATTGCTGTTTCTAAAAATCAAAAATTTAAAAGATTAATTTATTTAAGATTTAAAATAGCAACAATTTATATCCGAAATATAAATTAAATGAACATTATTATTTACAAATAATAAACGAAACAATCGTACAATTCACGTAATGATTTCTCTTCGTATAAAACAGTACTTAAACTTAAAATATTTTCCGCTTGCTTAAAACTGACGTGTACCGCGACAAACAGATACTCATTAATTTTCTATGATTTTCACCAAAAGTATTGAACAAAATCTATTGCAACAATTTTGTATTACTTTTCTCAAAGCTATAGAAAACATACTGAACAAAAATATGCCATTGGCTAATATTTATCCGATTAAATCACGGAGGATTAATAACAAATTACATTTGAATGATAGTTAAAAGATTCAAGTATAACTTTATACTTTATCGTTTATATAACAAAGTAGAATAAGTTTACAAATATATAAAATAGATAAAATGGTTCTATTTTGTTTGAAAATGCAGCTTTAGATAAACAATTCTTGGAAGATCCATAAACGCTTCGCCTAAAATTTGAAAGAAAGAGACACTCGTGAACGCAGTGAGATCTATCGACGCGTGAATTAAAAAATACAATAAATTAAAAGAAATACCAACACGTCGATCAAGGAGATTGACACAAAAGCGTAGAAGAAGCGTACGAAACCTAAACAAAAAAGTTACCGTGCATGTTAGGTTAGATTTTAACAGTAACAAAATAAAACCCTAGCTCATCTTCTATAACCAGGTGGCAGCGTGCGGTAGTTCACGCTGCGGCGCTAGTTTCTCAGGACATGACGTACTCGAGGCATTCGTGTAGTAATCACAGTCGGAGGACGTTTCTGACCACTCGTCTCTACGTACTTTTCGCGTTTTCGTAATAAATAGAAGCAAAGCTGTAGGTGTGGTGAAGCAGTGTGTCGTGCCGCGAATCCGTGTGCGATCGTAGGCGCTTAGAGTGACAGTTGGTCTAGTCTTGAAAAGGGTGTGGGCCACGACGCCAGAAGAAACATTAGGTAAGATCTTTATTGCTCCGATCGTGTAATAACATTTTCGTTAATTACATCCTGGACAGTTTGATCGAAAGATGATACTTTCGACAAGATAGACTACAGTTTCATTCGACTAGCAGCGATTTTTACGCGCGAAAATCCGACCGCAAGGTTCTTTCGGACGCGCGTCAATCCGATGGAATGTCGCGTTAGAATTCTGAGAATACCAATGGGTCCGTTGCGTTTAAAAATCGAATCTCCCTCTTTTGCCAACATCGTAAACAATTGCTCGGATATCGATACATCTGTCTGATTTTGCGATGAACACGCGTCTGTTCGATTTTCGATTAGATATCCACCGACGACGATTCTCGACGAGTTCAATTAGTGCGCGAAATCGGAAGCACGATTTTCTCTGTGATTCATGAACTTAGGTTAAGTTCATTTCTTTCATTCAAAACAATCTTTCTCTACTTTCTTTTATACACGTATATCACGTTACGAACACGCCTTTGCGACTGATCGAAACGGAGAACTCGATACGTGTCAAGTTAAACGATATACGAACAATATACATGATTGAATCGAGACGTACGATTATACGAACAGCGATTTCGCGGTCCACGTGTCGTCGAGATATACAGGGTGGTCCATACAATTGGGCCAAGCTGTACTTTTCAAATAATAAACGATAGGGAAAAAATGGCATTAGGAAAAATGAAATGGAGTCGAATGGAGCACCGCATGATTCATATATCGGCTCCGGAAGTAGAGACCTCCCAAGATTTCACTTGACTTACTTTTTCAAAATAGAATTTGGTACTTTGTTATACATCAATCGAAGCGTATTTTAATTCTCTATAAAAAAGTATTACGATACTTGGGTCGAAAATTGATTAGTTCAAAAGATATCTTAGGGAGAGACAGGTTTTCCGAATTTGAAAATTTTTTTTGGGAATTTTGCACTTCGCTTTATGTCATTTGCTGCGTATTTTAATTCTCTACAAAAATATATAAGGGTACTTGGGTCGAAAATTGCTTAGTTAAAAAGATATCCCAGGGAGAGACCGCTAATTTCTCCCGGTCTCTCCCTAAGATATCTTTTGAACTAAGCAATTTTCGACCCAAGTGCCTTTATATATTTTTGTAGAGAATTAAAATACGCAGCAAATGACATAAAGAAAAGTACAAAATTCCAAAAAAAATTTCGAACGAAATTGCACATCTTTGTTACTACCCTAATACTTATGGACGTCCGTGTATAAGGTGTACGTTCTTTAAAGAACAAATAAAAATTGTTTGTCAACGCTGATCCATCGGGTGGCACATGGATACGTGTGTGACGTAGCGTCAACGTTTCGAGGGAAAATTGCTCGAACGAGATTTAGCCAGCGTTGTTGAGGATCACTTAAATCCCCTTGCGAGTTGAAACGAACGCACGCATGGTCTACCATAGCGATTGATCCGCTTCTCGTACCCCGATATCTGTGAGAATCTCGACGACTAATGCGAGAGCGTGCTCCGACTGACCGATTCATCTCGCGTGAAAAAAGCACGAAAGAGAGAGATATGTAACGGTGGGCAAATAGTAATTAACAATAACCATTCGATACTCTCTGCCACGAATATTCAAGCAATTCAATCGGTATAGAATTTCGAATCGCGTTTGATATTATTCGACGCGAAACAGTATCAGTTAAAGAGGATAGAACTTATCTGTTAGAGATAAGAATTACAAAAGATATACTACAATGTTTTTTTTTTTCTCGCGATATTAATGAGATGCAAAAGACGTTTATGAATGAAACGAATGAATGGTTCCCGTCGAATCAATGAAGTTACGTTGGCCTCTGATTAGCTATCGGATGGATAAATAGAAAGCCGTGAAGAGAAATAATGTAAAGATGAAAAAATGGTGCATTCATAGTGATTACTATGGTTTTTGTCACTAGTAGCCGGTGAAAGAGGAGGTTCGGTAGAATGCGTACGAATAAAAGCTAAGCTTTCCCCCAAATCGGGTAGAAGGTGAATGGCCGCGACCATACAGAGTCCCATTCACGCGTTGTACAAACGGTGCTCTACGTTTTTCGAACCGGTTGCACGAAATCTATGGGAAAATGGCCGAGCACCGTGGGAGCCTCCGCGTATCGCGTGGCTTTCCACAGACGACTGTTCTCTTTCTTGTTCCCTTAATTTGACGTGGTCGAACGCGGACGTCGCGGCGCACCGCGTCGCATACTAATCGAGACGAATTAAATGCATCCCTACACGCGAAACATTTCTACTTCCGTTGATTATCGATGCTAACCACGATTTCCAGTTCAGAAAACCCTATAGATTTCTTTTCATTTTCATCTTCATATTTTTCTTATCGAGAAAAATATTTCTCCCTTCGAGATTGTTGAGCAAGCAGGATAAGTGTTCTTCGTAGATGGTCGTAATTCATCCGACATTACCTTGGTATTAGTTTTCAGGTATCCGAGTAAACGAGTTCAGCCATGATATCTTTTAGGAGGGGGGGAAATTTTTCATCCTGGATACCGATATATCCTCCTCCCTACCTCTTATTACGGAACAACGATCATCCTTAATCCTGAACTGGAGATGTTCCTCTCATTTTTTTTACCTATCCTTTATCTGGTAGAACATCGATATACGTAAATCGAAATTTCCAAATGCTATCGTATTATCGTGGCACGGATGGAACTGAACGATTATTTGCAATCGTCGATTATTAATAACCGGTCGGAACGACGGAGTGACAGTAGCCGTTATAACCGGCCAATTCAATCACAAATTAATACTTCCATCGTTCTGCTCGATTTGCAGACAGACGCTTCTCGTTTCGATAATAAACTCTGCGCCCGTAATTCATTCGCCTCGCTTGTTGAGCAGTCGTGCAAATCGACGGTTCCATGCGAAAATCAAAATCACCCGGTGATTGCACATTTTATACGAGGAATAATAAACAGAGTGATTTTCGAATCAGGGAAATGAGATCCGTACGAACAGGTGGACATTTTACAAAATACATTCATATTTTCACCATAGGAAAAGTTCGGTTTCCGAACGGATCCGTCCTCGACTTTATCGATGACGAGATATCGCGATGGTACAATAGCATCGTGAATGCATTGTGTGCGTAATCGGCGATCCGTGGATCCTTGGAGATGCGTCGATCTCGAGATACTGTTCAGCTGACGCAAGGGACGGCGATCTGCATCGCGAAGCGTGTGATTCATTCGCTAATTGACAGGCATTTCAAGAATGTCGACCTCTCGGAACAAAAAGAAAATACTGCCATCCGACTCGGCGTAACGAAGAAGAGCCTCGTTAAAAAGTGAACGTTCATTAGCAACGAAAATTCATCTCCGACAATTGCTGATTAACTGAACCAAAAAGGAAGAAAAAAAAAATTGAACTTATGAACCACACTACTAATTATTGATAATTGAAATGGTTTCGAGGAACGGTCATCGATTTTCGATTACGAAATCGCAGTGTTTATCGACGATGACGTCGATGGTGGCCTCTTGAACCACGAAATTTTCTGTTTAACTTTGTTTATCGTCGTTTACGCAATGTCTGACGTTGTTGTTACGATGAAAACGATGAACGCTCGACCACAACGGCGAACAAAGGAGTCGAAAAATGTTGGTAAAATGATTCATCGAGATCGAACGGACAGGTGACGAGGTAGTTTCGCGACTTAATCGAATCATGACGTCGAGCGTCATTATCTGCTGTATTTGCTCAATCGATATATCGTATTGCAAAGCTTCTGTTTCCGAAACAAATACCCAGAGAAACGATGACACACAAAGCGGGGACTTTGGATTTATATTTTAAAAAATCACGTGTACAAAGGAACAATAAATCCGAAAGTGGAAGAGGCGTCATTGATTTATCGGCAATCGTATTGTATCAAAGAATTTCTAAAGAACAAAAGGCAGATATTGGAGAACGTAGAAAAAAGTGTAACTTTCTGCTCGTGCAGGTGTAATATGCGGAGAAATATTTCCTTCGTGCGTTAAAATGCAAATTTCATCGTGTTGTTTTATTGATCGTAAACCAAAGGAAAATTCTGTTTTGCGAAACGGAAGCACTTTTACGAGATGATGGTAGTAGACATTTTTCATATTCAACGATGCTATTCCTGCTTATCGCAAGAAAAATAAGTTCTTGTTTATTCGAATACAAGAACAATTTCAGTTACAAAAATATTCCACTCGAATGATCGAATGATGTTTGAATTTCGAATTATTTGGATAAAGATCGAGGTGTAAGAAAACGATTCACGATGTTCCATCGACGATCGAGAAGCACCGAGAGTGTCGATGCCGAAATCGACTACTGAAAATGGAGTATCCGTGAAATTCCTTGGAGAAATGAGCCGAGCTGGCTTCCCTTTGTTGCTGGAAACTGGAAACGACGCGGCTGGAAGGTTTCTGTTAGCTCACCATCATCGGCAGAGGCAAAATTCCCTGCTCGTTTATTGCAACGCAGTGTCTGCAGTCTACGAGTTTGCTTCTGACAGCAGTCATAGAACAAAGTAAATAGGAATTCGTGAAATAAACTGCGGGTTAAAAGTTTCGAATCGTTGAATGGTGAATAACAACGAATGGTTATTGATAAATATCTCCAACTTCCTTTGCATCGAAATTCGGAGATTCTTGGTTGATCGATTTAAAATTCTGACGAAGTTGAAAGAGAGTAAATCGAGATCCTGATGGATCGAATCGATGGAAAGCTCTGCCACCCTCGAGGGTGGTTGTAGTTTGTTTTTCGAGGATCCTTCGAAAGGGGATGATGTTCGAGCGGAACACGCGTGCGCGCTTAGTTTCACGGAACGTATCGCAAAACTGGGGCAGATAACGAGGCGGTGCTGTTATCGTGCCACAGCCTGAAGGCGCCTAGTTCCAGATAAAGCTCATTCATTGGTTCCCGTTACGTTTCACGGCATTCGCGGATCGTACGATTCGCCGATAGTATCGCGAATCGCGATTTATGAATTGCTTATTCAGCCTGGATTTACTATCGAAGGATCGATCGATCTTCCTGGGATTGCTTTTTCCCGATACCACCGCGATCAGGGTAAGGAAACAGCTTCCTTTTCTATCCGAGTTTATTCAACTCCGAACGGCGAACAGATTTTTCATTTTTATATAATATCGAGGAAAGTTTTCTTCCACGGAAAGACGGTGACTTTTGTCGAGGAAAAGTGGAAACTTTAATCAAGCCTCGGTGCGTGTTGAAGGACAACGAAAGGAAAGTTTCTTTTTTTTTCCCCCCCGCACGTGAAGAATATTCTACGGATATTACGTTGTTCTTCGGTCGGTGTCGTAAAGTTTTAATGAAAAGTCCGAGGGTTGAGACACCCTTGAGCCGCGATTCGGTGGAAACGACGTCACCGCTTCTATATTCCCTGAATGATGCTGGAAAACGAGCTGTCCTCTTTTACGACTGTTACGCTTCGTTTCCCGCTTGAAATTCACGAAAAACCTAAGTTCCTGCAGTCAGTTTTAATGGTCGCCTCAAGTTGCCAGTGATTAAAGTAAATGTTTTGTCCTCTCTGAACAATCAACGCGTTAAGTAGAAAGAGAGAATTTCAACCAGAAATGTTAAACAATGGATCAAGATTCAATCAGATCAATTTATGATTATCACACAAGAGAAACCGGCACGAATGGGGCTTAAAGTAAGCGAAACTGTTTTTTCTATTCCCCTCAATCGTTGCACGGCTCGACAGAATAATTTCATCCTAATTAATTGCACCGCCTTTCACGTTCCCCTTCCGGTGCTGATGAACCTTCCGGTCAGATTGACGATCGCCTCTCGGTCTACTGACTCCTTGAATAAAGAGCAGACCGAGAGGCACGGAAACAGGTGGTGTTCCGTCAGAGGATGATGAACGATACGCAACCAACTGTGGCCCGAGAAGCAGCAGCGCGAAAATTCATCTCGAATCCACCAGAGACACGAGATATCCCACGGTTATCGGTTGTTTGATCCTTTCCGAGTTACGTGTATCAAGAAAAAAAAGCATCGATTTCATGGCTGCTTAATTTTGCGATCGAATTTTCATTTAGAAAGGAACAGAAATTAATTAATTAGCCTAGCAAGTGGAAAGCTTTAATAGAGAACCGAATGAAAACATAGAAAAATCCTTCGTAACCGGGTCAGTTTATTTGCAATGCAAAGCATACCGATTTGTTGATCGCCATAGAAACGACCCGTGATTTTAACACGCCTCAACTGAAACGCACGCGATTTCTTCGATCGTCGCATTATCCTTTTTGCATAAAACGTTTCCTCCCGCGAGATTGTCGTTAAGAAGGTTTATCGGCGATTGATCGATCGGTTCGATCGGCGAGGAACAAGATTCAAGTGGAAATAAGCACTAGATGCGAGTTTCTGTTCTATTTCAGCGTCGTCTAGACCTAGAATAGCTTAGACACCAAGTACTCTCAACGGAGACAAGCTGTCTCTCCTAGTCACCTCCTCGCTTGGAGGCTAGAATCTTGGCAAACTCTTGTTTCGAAGTTCAAGCAGCGTGATACAACACGCTACAACTCTATTAATATTCTTTTTTTTCCAGTGAAAAACACTGAATTTTTCTTTTTTTTTTCCGCGAACAAGAAGATTCTTTTTCATTATTCTTGAAAACGATGCTACTTACATAACAAAGAAACTTGTTGAACAAATTTGAAAGTAACAAAGGAGGAAATGAATGAATATTTATTCCTGTTGAAATTGAAAATTGAAAATTGAAACTGAAATTTAATAACGGAGCTACGGAGGGCAACAAAGTGCCGTTCGAGTTCAAAGGGTTAATTATGAATGACAATGTGTCGGGTGGAAAAATAGGCGGTTGTTCAGAGGACAAGTATGCACCCTAAAGTATTCATCGTTGTCGAACGAACTGTTCCAATCCCTCCCTTTGGAAGGCCAACTTCTGAACACGTTAGCGAGTGAAAATTTTAATAGCGAACCGAAAATAACCCCGGCATAACGAGCCGGTATTCGAACCGCCGCGTGTTTAACGTTCAAATCTGCCGTTAAGATTCTTGGAAGTATTCCTGCTATGAATATAACAGGCGTACCGTTCATAATTCAAGTACCTTCGTGCGAAAGACGGTGATCTAACGTTTAAATCATTGCATCGTGACAATATCCAATAGTTTTCACAGAAATATTATAAAAAATTTACCATTTATCCGGATACACGCGCAAGTCAGTCATCGAATAGCCGCTAATTCAAGGCCGGTCAGTTCGCAAAGGCAGCGGTCCTTGATCGATTTTGCAACTTTCTCGTATCCGCGAAAGTGAATTTTTCGGTCATCGAGGGTCCGATGATTCACGATTCCCTCGTCGGACCTACAAAATTTAAATAATATTAGAGTTGATAAAAACAACGATTTAATTAAAGCGAGACGCGTCTGATTGTTTTCTTATCAAAGTCTGTTGCTTAATCAGACGAATGCTATCGATCAAAATGATCAACTTAATTATTGTCCGTAGTCCATTGATTATTATTGTTGTGTCTTTATTGTGTCATTAAATCATTGTGAAATAAGGAAACGAAATTGCAATGAAAACAATGAAATTGCGTATTCTTGTCCTCTTCCATTGCACTCGATGCAAGTTAAATTACACAGCATATTTTAGCTGGTTCTTACAGCAAAAGAATGCTCTTCCACGAATTCGAAGGTTTCGTTTAATTATATGCACAAACGATCTTTGTTCTCGCGATTAAATGCTTAATTACGTTCCAGCGAGCCCATGTGCGCACGCGAAAACTTGCATGCACTTTTTTGCACGCAATGTTGCATGCGATAGTTTCTTTATTAATTAGCGTGGAAAAGTAAAAACGAAGGAATAAATATATCTCTACTGTCATTGCTGTTATACACGTGTTCTTTTCGAAATTTTCACACCGAGGGAATATCAGACATCAGACGACAAACTCATCTTGTCTGGAAATGAATTTATCCAGCCGCGTTTTCAATCGACACGGGTCAAGGCAAACAACCGAGCTTATTAGTTATAAACGTGCCTTTTTATACGTTACTTGAACTTCAACTTGCTGTGAACTTTTCTATAAGTAGAGTGGGTGGTGAAATTATATCTGCAAATCACGTTTCAAACGAAGGATAAACGAAATTCTTCTACAAATTGAAGAATTTATCTTAGCGACCATTTCATCGAGATACTTTGTTGAACAAGCGAACCGTAATTACAATTTTCCTTCTGTTATTTAATTGTTTCGCCATACACCCACGCGATTTCTTCCCGTTCCTTTCCCTTTCGTTTTCTCTCATTCGGTTCGAACAATTGTTCGCGTCACGGTTTTGTTGCATGAAAATAGCTCGTTTAAACATTTACAGTGGGGAAGTTGATTAAAGTCCATGATGAAAATAACGGGATTTTTTGGAACGACGTTGGTCAACCCCACGGAGGGTTAGTAATTTAAATTTCGATTTTAGCCACTTTTTCAGATCGCTTTTCAACGTGTGAAAACTCGGAATATTGTTTGCTAATTGCTTTCGTGGGTTTTTAATTCACTTGGTTTGAAACGAAACTTTGGTAACTCTTTGATCGTTCGCTTCTTTGCTCGTCATTTTTGTTAGCTGTTTTTGCTCAGTAAAGTGGAAGAGCTCAGTGAAAATTAAAGGTCACAAGTTGAAAGTTTGACACTTGATAGACAGATCATCCATATAATGGAATATTTCGTTGCTGGATTAAAAAAGAATTTCACTTGTAACACCTTCAAAATAAGTGAAAACGAGCCTCCTTTTTGTATTTTGATAAACGGAATAAAAGGAAAATTTATAAAGGAAATGAATAATGGTCAGAACCATCGAGCAATTCCATCTGAAATCGCGTCGTTCCACGAACAGTGCGTGCAAGCTCGTGCATATTCCCGACAATAACTAATAAATTTTGCAATTTACTACAGTGGGACGTCTATTACCTCTGCACCCTCGTTCGGTGCACGTGCACAAAGTGTCGTCGTGTAATCGTCGTGTAAAACGTTAACCGTATCAAAGCACCGGAAAATAAACGTTCCTTTCCAAGGAAAATTGCAACCATTTTCCTATTACGGATAGTTCTTGATATAGGGATCAGGATTCTTAAAATCCAGCAATTTCATTTTCAAAACCGAAGGATTATTTTTAAACCCTGCCTCGAGTGCATTTTACGTGGAATTTGCAACTAAGAATAGATTGTCGTTTTTGTCGTCAACGAGTTTTCCGGGAAAATCGCGCTGGCCTTCGATATTTGTGCATTCACGAGAAAATGTCAAAGGAGAATGTTAAATGTTTACCAATTTGTATTATTATATAGAATTTTCCCGCGATCTTCTCGCCGCTAATCCGATTTCAGCTCGATTCCAGAGCAACTTTCATCTCCTGTGGCTTCTTACCTTCGCGTTCAGCGAAAACGTCATTTCTCGCGGAATAATTTGCCGTTCCTAGTGACGCAACGGTGGAAAATTTCAGAAATCGATAAAACCTTGCGAACAAGAACGGGAGAGTGTCTGTTCCTGAGAGAATCGAGGCTGAGATTGAACCTGAGAGGTAATAATAATGGTAATACTGTTGTGACGAAACGTGACAAGCAGAGGCGACGTTTAAATCAAATCCAACATATTGGATAAGCAAAAGGAAGAAGAATGAGTTCCCAGAACAAACGAAAAGTGGATGAATACCGTGTTCGAGGTGAAAGAATTTTCATCGATTTTCTGATCTCGATTGAACACGCAATATTCAATCTCGAAACAGTGGTCTTTAGACCACTCACGTGTTGCAGAATGTGTTCGAATCAACGGTCGTTTAATCCTAGCCGGCTTTAAATCTATTGTACCATTGTGCCGTAATAGTCCTCTGGAGAATCGCTTGAAAGTACCATTGGAACTTGAAAGACATATACACGTTATGGTCGTCGAGAATGGTTTATCTCTTTGCAAGCTTTACGTACGTTCGTTTCTATATTTCTCCAAGATCCATTTAATCCCTGATAGGGTAAAAAACATCCTGTATCATATTTACAAAAAAGGTAATCGGGCGATGGAACTCACGGTGGAACTCTACTTACAAATTCTAAGAGCCGGTTTGAAAACTGCATCTTCGCAGGGGTGCATTATTCGTTGACCTAGTGCAAGAGGACAGGTATGCAGGCAATGCAGGTTTGCATCATTCGCGTGTCCCAGAATGTCTGCACGAGGAGCAGGTGTGTACCGATGGGTCGTTGCGCAAACGACCGATTGATAAATAGATTAATATGAATTTCCAATCCAAATACGAATTTTCAGTTCATTCAATCAGTGGACGTTATTTGCAATGAGAGTCGCGTTGCGATCTGCAACATACCCGGAACCTGCCCGCACGCTCGCATGCTTCAACGAGCAGAAATCATTCCGTAGATCGTATTAAGAATTACACACCAGCGTCGATTGAAATTGACATCCATTTGTCAAGGCCCGTCTAGTCGGTGCTCGACATTCGTCTGGATTGTACCTCTCGTTATCTAACGTTCTCTAATCAAATTTTCCAAAGATCCGTGATCGAAGAAGTAATAGGAACGATTCGATTTCTTCGAAGGATTCGAGTGATTGTTCGTATTCGATGGTAGAATCAAAAGGTGTTGACGGTGTTAAGCAATCGCGAATTCACGGAACGTGGAATCAACGAAGAACCTTTCTGATAATCGGATTATCCAACGGGCTTCAACGAGGTTTGCGTTTTTAAAACGCGATTACGTGGCCGCTTTCTTCCGATTAGATTATTTATCGCGCCGGCGAAGCGGATTCTTTGTGGTTTCAAGAGGGAAAGCATCGAATTCGAGCATGACGAAGGTGAAAACCAGTAGAAGAATATTTTAACAAACAGAAATCATTTCAAGCGCACCTCGAAATTTCAACCACGTATTCTACAATCTTGACTATTGTCTGCGAAAAGAATGAAACTCTCGATATGTCCGACAGAAGAAAACTTTGCGTCAAAGTGCACGGTCGGGGTGCTGGAAAATGTAAGCTGGAATATACCCTCGCCGAAACGAAGTGCTTTGGCAAAGCCTGGTGAGAAGGGAACGAAATAAATGTATCGAAATATATGGTTGACGACGTTTCCTCTCGACGCGTCGTCGTTCTCTTTGCCTGTTCTTTGACGCAGTCTCGATCAAAGGGCCGTTTTACGCGCGAATACGTGCGTCGAGAACGATGATGCATGTCCTTTTTGGCGGGCATTACGTTTTACGGTATGCATCGGTTGGCTTTGTTGATTCACAATGCGTACGTGGTGCGTGGCCGAGCGGAGAGGAATGCCAATGGTGTGGCAACGTCAGACGAAACGCGAAAAACGTGGCCATATTTCGCTGGAAAGTTTTGCCAGCCGAAACGCGTCTCCCCGCGTTTCAACTTTCCTTCTTCTCTCTACTTCCGTTTCATTTCGTCGCGTGAGCTGTGGATTAGTAACGAGAAAATTATTTTCATTATTTTCTGCAGTGGGACAGTTCGGAATCCGAGTGCTCAGAGGCTGAAGACTCAAATGAGTTAGGGGCCATAGTCAGCCCCGAGATTTGCGCGATGGACACTGTGGACAGTACCAGCAAACGTTCTGGAGGCCACAGCGGCCACAAGACAGTTTCAGCTACCCGAGTATTCAAGAAATCCAGCCTAAATGGAAAGATCACGGTATACCTTGGGAAAAGAGATTTCGTCGATCACATAACCCACGTTGACCCCATTGGTAAGTACCATTTTGGTATCTTCAACAATCGCGTACCTAAGTGATCCTTGATATTCTGCTGTAATTACCACCATTAAATCACTTATAAAGTTTCCATCGTCGTTGCCATATTCGTTTCAAGATTAATCCTCAACTTCAGTACCCATAATGTTCCAAACTTTACTTTGATGTTTATGACGTTAACCATTATATCGTTTAGAGTTCTGTTTCGAGTGCAAATTGCGATACCCATTTGAAGATTAATTCTTAACATCAACGTAACGATCTAAAGTTCATTTTGACGTTCGTGAAACTAACCATTAGAAACTTTAAGTGTCGGGAGCTTCAGCGATCCTCAATCTTCCTGAGTAATTAACTTCATTAAGCCATTTGTAAAGTTTCTAACGTCCTGGGAGTTGATTTCAAACGTGAATTTCGATACCCCTTTTGGAGATTAATCCTTAAAATCCACTTTGATGTGTATGAAACTAACGATTACAGCTGTTCAACTAGTACCTATCAAACTTATCCCAAGTGATCGGGTATCTAATTATCTTTAATAGCCTAACAGCAAAGTTTCCGATAGCCTGAAAGCCAGCCTCTATTCAAAAGTTAATCCCCCTCCGATAGCAGTGTAACATTCCGAGGTTGTTAACAGGCTGGTACGATTGGAAAATTCGATTTACTTAACGATTCTAGTTAATCTGAAGCGTCAGGGCTACTTAAAGGCTCACCGATCGCCGTTCAATCGTTACAGACGGGGTCGTGCTGATTGACCCGAACTACGTGAAGGATCGCAAGGTCTTCGGGCACGTTCTAGCGGTTTTCAAGTACGGCAGAGAGGATCTCGACGTTCTTGGTCTAACGTTTCGCAAGGATCTTTACCTGGCTGCCGAGCAGATATATCCCGTGGTACCTGGTTCCCAGCATCGAGAACTGACGCGACTGCAGGAGAGGCTGATCAAGAAGCTAGGGAACAACGCTTATCCGTTCTACTTCGAGCTACCGCCTCATTGTCCTGCTTCGGTGACGCTGCAACCGGCGCCCGGTGACACGGGCAAACCATGCGGCGTCGACTACGAATTGAAAGCGTTCGTAGGCGAAACGCAGGACGACAAGCCTCACAAACGGTATAAAACTAACCTTGAACGAAAGGGTTTGCATTTTTGGATCAACTTTGATAACGATGAATCGTACGTTGCAGGGATTCCGTCAGGCTGGCGATACGAAAAATTATGTACGCCCCCTCGAAACAGGGCGAACAACCGTCCGTCGAAGTGAGCAAAGAGTTCGTGATGTCGCCGAACAAGCTGCACCTGGAGGCGTCCCTCGACAAGGAGCTCTACCATCACGGCGAGAACATCGCTGTGAACGTGCACATCGCGAACAATAGCAACCGGACTGTGAAAAAGATCAAAGTGTCCGTGAGGCAGTTCGCGGACATTTGTTTGTTCTCCACCGCACAGTACAAGTGTACGGTAGCCGAAGCAGAAAGCGAGTGAGTACCATTCAATGCACGCTATTCCGCCAGAATTTCCATGTGTCGGTTGCTATGAACGCGTGGTCGCAAATGGATTCTGAAGAATGTCACACGAATCGTACGAATACCAATAACATCGGTTTGGTAATCGATGAAAGTCGCGCGTACCTGGTCGAATTTCTAGAATATTTTAGGACGACGATTCGAAACAATTGATTATTATCAGGGAATCCATTTGTCGCCGATCGTTCATTGTACGAAACGCGTCACGAAATTCGATTTATCAAAGTGGACAAGATTTTTTTTCGCGTTGAATAACGGACAGCCACGCGTTTGGTCACGGTTTCCCCATTGATGTGGAAGACCTTCTTTGACCTAGAAATTGTTCGTTCCATCTTGCGAACTGACATCCCTAAATAACAGGCGGATACTTTATACGCCGTTGCGTTGCTTACGGAAAATTTACGAGTAACAGATTCTCCAACGTGACCAGACACGGGACTGCTCGAGATCTATCGACTGTAGCACAGGAAGGCATAAATTGCAACATGCTGTAATAAATTTCAATCTTACCCGGAGAAAATTTGCATCGAGCCGAATTAATCCGTATAAAGGATCATTTGCATTGGTTCACGCGCGTCCCTTGTTCGAATAAAAATCAGATAAATAAAATTAAATGAACACGCCGATGAAAAATCGACGAGCGTTCGAGTTTTCGTATTTTCATGAATTTTTCATGTCTCTTAAGTTTCTGATTAACATATCGACGGCCTGACGGCTCTACAGACTTTATGAATCTTTTTATGCTTGAGCCGACTTTGCTGATATAATTGTATTTAAGTGACTCCATTAACGTAAGCTATAAATTTACAAATTACCATTCATAATTACTATACTATAAATGAATAATAAATGAACCCAGGAGACTTGTATTATTTTTTCTAAAGGGTTAAATATCGAATTCTTGCGAGCCGAGTAGATGATAAAATTTAATTTCTAACAAATTTTTTGATCCTCCTTTAAAAATGAAAGTACGAATATCGAATGGTCTCGAACGCTCGCTCAAAAAAATACAATTACAACGTTGAAGAAAGGAGACGCACTACATGAGACTGTCCCGATTAGTATTAACGCTAGGTGTACAATGATATGAACGCGATACATGCCGAATGGAATTGTGACATGACGAAACGGAAAATAAGATGATTGCACTGGCAGTATAGGGGTAGCGCCAGGATTCACCCTGAGCAAGGTCTTTTCTCTAAGGCCAACGCTTGCCGACAACAAAGACAAGCGAGGTCTTGCTCTAGATGGTCAGCTTAAACACGAGGACACCAATCTAGCATCTAGCACAATGTGAGTGCTCAAACCATTGGTCGCGTGCTATTTTCTTTTTTCTCTTTGATTTTCTTTATATTTCGTTCGAGGATGAAGACTGGAAACGGAGCCAAACGATTTTATTGAAAATTTTCAAGAACGGTTAGAGCGCAATTCTGGAATATCCATGTTAGAATCGAACGATTTTTTAACCCTTTATTCCAGACAAACAATGAACCCTCTTACTATCGGATCTCGCTATTTTCCTCCGATTTCAAGATTATTCTATGAGAAACGAAGCCAGTCGATTTATCGAAGGCCCGTTTGCAGTCTTCGAGGTACGAGCGTGTTGTTGAAAACGAAGTACGATATTGTATGGGAACAACGTTCCAAAGTGGAATGCCAGTATTTTCCTTGATGGCCTTTTTTTGCTGGGGACTTTTATGGATATGGAATTTCATCGGTGGTGGTCACGTCCCACACAGGTCACGTCCATCTCTTTCTAACCCTCCCTCCACCCTTTCTTCACTTTATTTTCTGTTATATTCCACGGGTGGTTATTTTTTTTTTTTTTTTTCGTCTTTTCACAATTGATATATGCTGATCGATGAAACAACACCCCCTCGTTCATCCCTCTTTCTCTATTCCCTCCTCGTGTATAGCCTGTATCGCAGTGTGACGCACAAGCTAAAGTTTCATGTACATAATACATAAATCTATCCAAGTTTCAATGCAACTAGTCAAATTATGAATAAGAGAAAAAAAAAATAAAGACCTTATCAAATTTTCCCGTACAGTACCGAGCATGGTAGAATCAACTGTACAGTTACCCAAAAATTATTCGGGAATCTCGAGTACCTGATACAAGTGAATAACCGAAAATCATAGCTCGTGTCATTCAATTCGAAATTTTCGCGAGTATCTCTCTCGTTTCGCGGGTTCTTTGAAAAGGGATGATTTTATCAGGCGGATGCCACGCATCACCGGGAAGTCAGCTGAGCTATTTTCGCGATATTTCGAAGCACATTTGATTCGCGTACGTAGCCGGGGTTTCGTTTCATTTTATTTCGTTCTCTGGTTCGAGGGAAACCGTGCGCTGTGTATAGCGACGAACCATGGTTGTCGTTTATTTGAGAATAATATTTGCTCGATTCCACGATTGCTCTCGAGTGGCTCTCTTTGGTGAAAATAAACGACGAGCTTTTGGTTTATTCGAAGGAAATAAAATTCATATCGAGTGCTGTCTTTTTCACTCGAAAACAGGCGTCGAAGGAGTACCCATTTATAAATGGAAAATAAAATTAGAAAATTGATTAATTTCTAACAGGTTACGATTGTCGTTCTCGTTAGGTATATTCCTGACGTTTAATTTCGCAAAATTTGAAACGGGTTTACCAAACGACCTGTTCGCATGCCTCGAGCAGACGCCAGAGATCTGCTGTCGATCAAATTTCAGTTTCAAATGTAATTTCAAGTGGCAAGCGAAAACGAGACTTCGAAGCACATCGCGAGCAACGTAAGATTGTCTAATTTTATAAATAAAGTATTGTATCGTGACGGTTCTCGAGGCCGACGGTGTCCGGATGTATTAAGGTGGTTGGCCACGTTTACCCTCACACTTTTGCTACGTGTTTATCAGGGAAGGGTGCCCAGTGGGGCCAGGTTTCACGCTGAGCAAAGTGTTCTCTCTGACACCGCTTCTCGCCAACAACAAATATAAATGGGGTCTTGCCCTCGATGGCCAGATCAAAGACGAGGACACAAATCTGGCGTCCAGCACCCTGTAAGAATATCGCCGCTGCTTGTCTCATGGAATTCGATAATGGATGTGTTAAGCTCAAATTCGGAAAACGATCAGCGAATGAAAATAAATGACCAGAAATCGGTGGCTTCAATTTTTTTGCGACTAATGGTCGCATTGAGCTTAACAGATACATAGAAAACGGGGATATCTAAAGTTTGGGTGCTTTTTTCGTTAATATATTTTTATCTAAGCCAATCGACGTGTTAATTGAAATATCGAGACACTGAAATTGCACCCAAACTTTCGATGAGAAACCACGTACGTGCCTATGTTTCTCTTTCTCTTTCTATCCTCTCTCTATGTTTATACACGAGCATCAAACGGCTGATCACGCGTGCAATCACGACTTCTCTCTGTTTGCGAAGCTGCGTCTGTACGAAAATTGTGGTCACGTGCGTCATAGAACCTGTGGATTTGTGAAATAGGGTCTGTTTCGGTGTTATCGATCGATCGTCGGGCTGTCGAGGGTTGTTTCACTTGTCTACCCCCTTTAACGTCCGATCACTGTTGACGTTTCAATGTTTGCTCGAAGAATAATGTACTTACACATAGAGGAAGCAATATTTTATCGTCAAAGTTTGATTTGAACAATGCAAACTTTTCCTTTTATCTCTGGTACCTTTAAATCCGATGCGATCACCAAAGATTTCTTAAATTATTTTCAAAACGAAATAACTGAGTTTCAACTATCCCATTTTCTTTTTTAAGAAACATGCTTGTTCTCTACGTAAACCATGTTCGTCATTTATAAAGCAACGTCTCACGATTCGTTGCAGTCAGTTTCATTGATGTCAGAGAAGGCATTGATGGTGATTAACGTTTGTAAACGTTGGCAGAGCACGAGATTCCGTGAAACTGATAGCTGTTTTCATCTTTCGGAAACGTTCCGTTCAGAAACAGCTGACCATTCTTACGGATGACCAAAGTTCTCGGGCACACGCACGCTTCCGCGATATTGATCTTACGCAAGCCAAGATTTTCTCCTACGAAAGTAGCAATAGTACCGGCAAACGCGATTCTACGATTATTTTGAACCGGCTGTTTTGCCGGATCGAAAATAGCCATACACTGGCTGCCTTATCGTCGGCTCTTCCGTTTGCACAAGTTATATTCAGAGCGCGCGTTTTCTTTCGTTTTCCCCGTACGAATTCTACCGTGAAATTATAAGCGAGAAGTCGTGAAAACACCAACGATGCTCTGTACTTTCGACGATTATCACCTCGACGAATATGGCTGGACTGACGATGGTAGCGGACTGGCACGTTTTCTTTTTTAAGTATTATTCACGAAACGAAACTTAGGTAACCACGTTAGCTGCTTCGTAGAACATTAGTGCGATATTTCTTGTACACTGCGGCGGGCAGAATGTTTTAGAAATTCGAATAGTTCTCGCGGATCACGCGATGCGTTTAGAGAAATCAAATCTGCGTCGTCGACACCGCTGCGAATCCCGAACACCCGTTTATACGCGAGGACACCTGGCGAAAAAGAAGCGAGAATGTGCGATTGGAAAGCAGAGGATTGTCAAATATTTCCATCGTAATTTCTTTGAATCGAGTATAGGGTATCCCGCAAGCAGACAAAATTTTCTCTAAGGTAATTGAAAAAAATCAACAATCATTTCCCTGATCCAACGTTCACGAGAATTGTCGATACTTTCATCCAAGTTCTCTTCTATCGAATAATTTCAAGAAGACAATAAATTTGATCCGTTTATTTGACACTCCCCTATTACCTGCATTCCTCGCTTTTAACTCGTACGGATTCCAAGCGTGTTGTAAAGCAACGATGCTTAAACAAAATCGATACCTTACTTCCTTTGCTTCTTGAATGGCTAACGCTTTGCACTTGTTGCTTCTGAATTGCACGTTACGAACCTACTTCATCATTTTTTTCTTTTCCTATTTCGAGAACATTATAATTCTACCACTGCCTGTTTGTCCGCGTATGACAAGCTTTTGGTGTTTGTTGAATGTCTATCGCTCGTGCTAAAAAGACTTCCCGGTGAAAATACCGTCTAAGTGTATATTTGTATGCGTGCGTGGGTGTTGTTCTAACGGTGCATGCACGGCTTGGTAATTAGAAGGTAAGAAGAGAACCGGAAATCGATGGTGATTATGTTGTTTCGCAGCGTGGCGGATCCCTCGCAACGTGAGAACCTGGGAATTATCGTTCAGTACAAGGTGAAAGTGAAACTTTGCCTCGGTGCACTTGGAGGGTAAGTTTGCATCGTTTGCAGTCACGTTGGAGGAATATTATTGAAATTTAACCCTTTCCCTATGAGCCACGCGTATCGAAGAAACGAAGATGAATTTTAAATGAAATTTCACATCAAACAGCACCGATTAACTAATCAAGGGTTAATTAGATTTTATATTTCTCCGAACTGATGGTGGCAGAGTTGATGAAAGGGTACGAAGAGACGAGTTTAAAAATTGAATTTCCTGCTGACACAGAGAATTGGTCGCGGAGCTGCCATTCATCCTGATGCACCCGAAACCGGAAGAAGAGGAACCGGCGCCACCCACCGCGCGGCCCAGTCCGACGCAGAAAGCGGACAGCGGTGAAATACCGCTCGACACGAACCTCATTCAGTTGGACACGTACGTGGTCAATATTTAAGTACACGCCGGTTTCGTGCTATTTCCGTCGGGCGAGAATAGTCGGATCCGTTTCGACGAAATTCGCGTGCGTCAATGTTTCTTATTTCATATTTATTCAGCTACTGTGCGGATAGAAAGATAATCGTGTTTAATTATTCCGTGATTCGCGGCGTCAAGACCAACCTGTTATCGTTTCAGGGAGGCTGACGGCGACGACGACATAATCTTCGAGGACTTTGCCCGTCTAAGGCTGAAGGGTGAAACGGATGCCTGACCACGTTGTTCGCACACCGTCGACCTGTACGACACAGCGAAACGTCCGATATACGAGAATGTCGTCGCGACACCGACGAAAAATGCGAGCCAGTTGATTCTGTAATCAGGTTCGACGGACCTTTTTGTAAGAATAAAAGAAGAAAAGAAAAAAAAAAATAAATAAAAGAAAACGCGAACCACCGAGCGAAGCGTTGAGAAACGAACGACTCGAGCCACATGAGATTTCACGAGTTTTCGCGTTGTTCTTCGACGACTCCGATCATCGAAACGATGTTTCCATTCCTCTCGAGATGTATTTACTGTCCGATATGAAGAAAAATGGACACGGAATGGTACTAACTTGCTGCATAGAGAATCAAAGATGCACACTAAGAAGATCACAGGAGGACAGACGAACGAGTCGTCGAGAAAGGATTGTGAATTACGTTTATGGGAATGATTGAAGAAGTTTTCACGACGAGACATCAATGGATGAAAGAAACCCAATCTTTAGCCAATGTATTTATCGATATATCGACGAGAAAGGGATGCGATTTTTTTTTTCTTTGTTTTTTTTTTACTGGAGACGATAAGTCTCTTCATCAAGACTATAAAACTGAACAGATTTCTTTTCTGTAAACTTAGTCACATGGCCAGTATGTAATGCAGTCAGTGTGTTACACGTTGATTCGCGCAAAATTTATAGGTGTAACGTTTGCGTCTGTTCTTATGGCACACCTTTGTTAATTCAATACATTTTTTTTTACAACTGAAATTAAAATGAAAAGATGTCAAAAGATTTCTCGAATGTGAAATTAAAGCACTTTGTACGGAGAACTATTGGTGTGCTACGAGATTAAGAATGTTTGTTTTCGGTGTAATCGAACAAGATAAATTGAGATTTTCTTAATGAAAGCATCGCAACAAATTCAACGAATCCTATTTAACCCTTGTGTTAATAACGAAAATGTTCACGGTTGTTATAACCAGGTATTTGGAACGATATTAAAATTTTGCGATAGGAACACGATGAATTCTTGAATGTCAATGTGAGAATGAGTAGCTGGGTACCCAGTTATTGACACAAGAGTCGAATCTTACAAATATATAGGTAATAATATAAATATGTATACACGTACGAGGAAAGTTTTAACCCTTTCGCTATAACAGCGATTGTATATTAAACGACGGAGTCTGCGATATCAATAAAATTTAATTTGCTATAGGAAATATTTTTTTCAATTGTTCTTTGGAAAATTTCTGAAAGTAGCGAAAGGGTTAACGATCAAATTAAACGACAGTTTGAAACAAGCATTAGAAGAATTTCAACGTTTTAGCTTTTACACGTTTTATATTGAGATCGAGAAGGTATTTGGATTTTTTGCGAATCGAACGAAAAACCACCTAATCGTACGATTTTCTATTCCTTTTTTTACGCGACACGTTTTTTACCGAACGAAATATCACACGTATAGTGCCATCCTGATCACGCCCGTCGAAGATTCTTGTTACATTATTCGTTTTTTAAAAATGGAAGAAAAGATTCACGCGAACGAAGATCGATTCAATTTTATTATCGTTCATCAGACGTATCGAAGACTGTTTTTTGCGAAATCGTACCAGCTGTTCCTACAAGGCATCGATTTCGAGATAACGAGTCTCTCGTTGGATCCTTTGGCGAATTTCAACGCTCATCGTTGATTCTCTTAGAATGAGAGGAATTCAAGAACGAACTGGAAGAATTCCAAACGCGATCGAGAGAATGGGGATCATTCCAGGTGCACGTGATTAATCTCAACTCCTTCAGGAGGGAATATAACGAGTATTCTCTAAGTGGCGGATTGAAACGAGTGCAGCGTCTTTGAATCCATGAAAGTTTACACCGTCATTTTAATCAAACCTCAAGCTTCGATATATCACAAGTGCTGTTTCCGTCAGGAAAATTTCCAGATCAAGAAACGTTGGATTCGAGATCGCTGTTCTTTCGTATCTGCGACTTAGGAGACAACATCGTTGCGTGTATGCGTGCGTGTGTGTGTTAAGTTAGCACGATTGGAACATTAAGGCGTCCGCTGTCAATTAATCTAATTTACTTCGTTCGACGTCGATGGTGTTCACGAAGGCGCCGCGAGGACAGCGAGCGCGTTAATTTTAATTCAACCTCTCCGTGTCGGGGAGAGTGTAATTTGCGTGTAAAATAAATGAAGAAAAAAAAAAAAAAAAAGAATAAATAAATAAATAAATAAAGTTAGCGTTCAAATTCGATGTCTCAAGTCGGTGATTCAAAACTGAAGAAACCAAGCCTGCTATTTCGACGAATAGTTAATTAACATCGTTCGATCTTCCACGAATAAAGTAGAAAACGATAACGAACACGTACGAAGTCAATTTCGAAAAAGGTTGATTAGAAACGGCAGACGATGGATTATCTTCGATTCTGAACCACGAGCAACACTTTGGGCCCAGTGAAACGTCGATCGTGCTACTGGCCTTTTGTAATCGTGCACACGTTCTATGTATATAAGATGCAAGGAGAAATAGTATTTTTTATCGATTTAGCATTTACAGAGTGTATTTAGGAGAGACTACCGATTATACCAAAGCCAGCATCTCTCTATCTCTCTCTATCTCTCTGTTCAGTGTTTCGCTTCTCGGTGAACCGAGGAACACTGTTTACCTCTAGAGAAATTATCCGACGAAGCAATTATCGAGCCCGTATAAGTAATTTGTAAATGTCGAGTTAATGTTTCAGCTATCTAAGAGTAATCGAATGTACCGGTCATAAGTTTGGGGTCACTGTTCCGAACGATGATTCTTCAGGATCGAGAAGCGTTTAAAATTTTATTTCATCACTTTTACAGAATTCACGCACAAAGACTTGTTAATTGAAAATTTAATATTCGAATCGTTGGATTGAAAGATTTTCGACCCCAAGCTTGTGCGCGCAAGAAAAACCAAGAAACTAGAGAAACGACGAAGGAACGCAGGCTTGTACAATACGCGCGAGAGTATATTTTGTATCGGAGCGCGCGGGTGCGCGTCAGTATTTTTTGTATCATATTGAAAATCAGACATCACTGTATTAAACGAGCGCAAGTTGGCCCACCAGGGGATGGAAGGAATCGTTACGTTACAGAGATAATGGCAATGCAACGCTATGCATCCACAGTCAATAAAGAAGAAAAATGGGCATTGTTTACCCAACACCTGTGTCGCGTCTGCCAGGTATCGATGAACGTATGTCGTCGCGTGTTAACCCTTTCGCGATCGATATTATTTTTCATTAGAACACGAAACTTAAAGAACCTTGTAAAATATCCGTTACATACCTGTAGAGCTTTGACTCGGAATAAACGAATGTTCAGGAATGATATAATCGCAAAGGGTTAAAGAGTTCAAGCAGGATAGGGTACTTGCAACAAACGGATACTTTAGATCACACAGGGAATAATTAGTTAGCGATTAAGTTAAGCGACGAGTTAAGTAAAGGAAAATGTCCAGGTCTTAGCAGCTACATTAAGAGATTACACGTAATCGTGATAATTCGATCTCCTGTGCGCTTAGGTGCAGCGTGGGTTTCTTTTTTAATTAAGAGAAAATGAAGGAGTATCCCATTAATCTCGAAATCAATGGCGAGTAATGGAACACTCCACCTCCGACCCTTAACCAAAAGAATCCCTCGTTGCGGCAGAGTGTACAGCTTGCGACGAAAGGGGTGAGAATTAGGACACGGATGACGGTATTGTCGCGTGTAAATTGCGTTTTCAGTGGTTTAATTTATTCATCGTAGGAAAACGTTTCGTTTAGTAGATGTATGGATCACGCGAGTAGAAAAGAGATTAATTGGTAGAGTGTGTATAAAAAGAGAAGAGAAATGGAAGAGGAGAGTAAATAGCGAGATACGTAATATATAATAATGTACATGTAAAAATTGTGTATTCTCATATAATAATAGCTGTAATAATTTAATAAATCTTGTATATCGGATTTATCTTTTTCTTCTCAATCTTTTATAATATTTCACCACCCATTTATGCCACCAGAAATTAATTTTCAAAGTTTCCTATTAATTAGCGACTAAATTAATTTTTTTTAATTTTCGCTAATTACACGTGACATTTGCGTAACTCCGCTTGTTAACTTGTTACAATATATTTTGACGATATTCAGAGTCACTGAATTTCACTGGAAATAATAACCCAACAATATTAATGAAGGTACTGTTTATTAATTAAACACCATCTGGACATGATCTCCCTGATTTTTCAATTAACTTCATGATTAATGAAAATACGGATGACTCCAATTATTCATTTGTTTACGCGTTCCATAAAAATAAGCTTCTTAAGACACCATCAATTATAAATGCCAATTCAACATTGGATGTAATTTTTCGTTGTACCAAACATCACGAGTATTTAATCACTTCTAATTGTTTGAACAGTCTTCAGCTTCTTTCTTTTTTTACAACTGAATTATTCATTTTTTAAACCACCAAAGCCCTTCTTCCTCTAGCTGGAAATGTTTAATTAAACCGGTCGTTCGAACAATAGGAAGTGCATCAAGGTTTCATCCCACGGACAAAGGAACAAAAGGTGAATCTTTTCCGCGAAATTGTAAGTTGTGGCACGCAGAACATCGTCGTTTATCATCGGAGATAGAAATTCTCGACACGACTAATGAGTTTCTCACAATTATTTGGTTTCTCACGAAAATTTATTTCTCAACGCAACTCTATAAGTGGAATGTTTTTTTATACAAATTTGTCACGAATCGCGTTGAATAAAAAATGCAAGTTCAAAGGGTAAAAAATGTTTTGGCGCGCATCTACCCCCTCCCCTCTATAAGGACAAAACATCGCGACCGGTCTTCAGTATGGACCACGCGGCCGAACCGCGCGGATGTATCCAAAGGGAGGGTGTACATCGCGCGTGTTTTTATAAATAACATTTGCCATGATTAAACTCAAATAATTTTCAATTAAATATGAAAATACACAAATTTCATCTGTCGTGAGATTATTTATGCAGAATTGATTGAATTAGGTGAATTTATTAAATGAATGTTTCAGCTTTCAAAGCTTTTTCTAATTTATGATGATACATATTTTAATGACAATAAATACTGTGACCCGTTAAGTGCATCAACGCGAGGAAAATGTAATCTGAAACCACTGAGAATTTGCGATTACCTCTGATGATTAATTTCGCGCGCGAACCCGTAGAATTACTCCCTTCTAAAAGATTCGAATCGTTCCATTTTTCTATCATGTAAAAATTTACAAATCGCCTCCGGGCATGGTTATTTTTTAAACTATCGATCATCGTTCGATCAAAGGTTTCGCGGTAAAAATTAAACGGTGCAGTGAGACAAGAAACGGTGAAAGAAGAAATGAAGTTCCAGAATCAGGGATGAAAAGGAAGACGCTGGAAAATGGGAAAATGTTCAGGTTAGTTTCGACAAATAAAAAAAAGAAAATATTGATACATGAATCATGAATGGAATTATTCTTCTGTTTGCAAGGCTTTTAAAGAAGCTTTGTATGCGTGAATTGATGCTTTTAAATCGACGCGAGATAAATTGGCCCAACTAGTATTGCGTGAAACGTGTTATTTTTTCGTTAAGTGCTAAATAAAGTCTCCCTTTTTTCCACGCAGTGATATACGAAACGATTGTACTGTAAAATGTACGAGTCTATTTATTTTGATTGCGTTTAAAAAAAGAAAAATATTTTTTTAGGTGTATGGTTATTGAAGTATCTTTGAAAATTCATGGAGAAGAGATGGTACAAGTTGTTCATTAAGTAGCAGTGTCCTTTTTATAAAGAACTGAATTAATTTAAATTTCAATTGAAATTCTATGCAATTTAAAGTACATCTCAAGTATCTTTTCATTTAATTTAAAGTCCATTTGAAGTATCTTTTTATGCACTGTTCCATAATAGTGTAGATTCTATCATAACGAAGTGCAGCGTCGTGAAAACGAATCTGTTGCCCCTTTATAACCCAATCTGGCCCGGAAGTACAAGCAATTTATACCATCCCGTCGTTTATTCCTTTTTTGTACTCTAGTTATCGATGGAAATGCATCCTCCCGAGTATCATGCATCTCCTAGGCAATTTTCTGAAAATCGTGTTTTAATTACCCCTCTTAATTTCTTTTCTATCGCGAGAGAAGCCTCTGCCTTAATTGAAATACGATTGGAGACTCTGAAGAGAATTTTCCAAATTCTCATTGGAACTCCTTTCGAGATTATTAAGTGAATTATTCAGAAATTGAATGAATTTTTACGATACAAACTTTCAAGTCATAATAGATGTTATTAACCATCGAACGACGAGGCTGGGTCAATCGTGACCCAGATCTTTGAAAGCTATCATAAAGGAGTGTTTTAAATGAAATTGGAATCATACGTTCGGTCAACAAAGTCCGAGCTCTGCTGTTCCGATTAAGAAATAAAAAATTGTGGTTTACGATAGATCTTTTATTCTTATTTCTATATTATTTCGTATTCGAAAGTGCTCGAGCTGCAATGATCGGTGCATTGCTTTTGAAATAAAGTTTGATCGGTTGACAGCTCACTGTACTGAATAAATGGATCGCAAGAGATTAATGGAGAAAAGAAACTCGATTATACAATAGAGCTTCTTAAATGTTGAACTGATCAATTTTTCATTTCCTCTGAATTTTCACGTGCGCAGACTTTTCGTATATCAGAGAATCTCCAGCTAAATTTTCAACCAGAAATCATTACTTTCGTTAATTAATTTTTTCCTCGGAAAGACTAATCACGAGCAACCCTTATTCGGAAGAAAAATGATTTTGGTCTGAAAAAGATTTAATACGAAATGAATTATTTTCGCAAAATCTTCTAAACGACCGTTTTAATAATTATTGGTGTACAAATACTGCGGTTAGCGGAGATAAAATATCCCTGCAAGAATTGAAGGTAAAATGAGGAGGTCGTTTGTGGTAAATGAACTTCAAAGCCAATTTTTTTCCTATGGCCAAGAGGGCAGTGTAAAAAAGAAAAAGAGTGGTTGAGTTCGTTAAAAGTACTGCGTTCTTTTCGGGTCATCGCGGAAATTAAAACCGCAAATTTGTGTATTCACTTTTTAAACAACCCATCCTGGAGAAAGGCTCGTTCTTAATTTTAGATTATTAATTAATTATGGATACGATGGAGGAACAATTGAGAATTGAATTTCTCTATACGAAAGGCTGTCATTGGCCTTAGCAAACCTGTTCCCTCTGTGTCATATCTTGTTATATCGGGTCGTATTATTTTCCATGTAGGCCCGTTAACAAATTACATCCGTATCTCGTTCCCATCGGTCGATGTCCAATCAACTAAATCCAAGCTTTACCCCACCATTGTACCGAACGGCCGATGCACTTTGACCGTGATTATGTATGTTCCAAACGAATATTCCATATAGAATAGTCTAATAACAAAATGAGAAAAAGTGACGAGGGTTGTAAACGAGCCTATCGTATTGGTTATCCCTGAAATTTCCAAGGTAAAAAGATCCTATCTTAAAATGGATGATGTCCCTACAAACTAGAACGATTTGTCGTCGCTAGCAGACCGTAATTCTTCCGACGTTTGTCCGGGGTATTACCCGGAAATGAAAAATGGCGTGAATGTAGAGAGAATAGGGAAAAGAAGGCGGAACACAATGTACTCTTCCGGTGATATCGATAAGACGAGGAACGAAGGCCGTAAAGTTCAGATCGTTCCTTTCTAAAGAACCATTCTTTTGGCTTTAAAGACAACAATCTCCTCTGATTCCGTTCGCCCTTTCAGCCCTGAAATTATCTGATCCAACATCCAACAAGTTCGAAAAGTATTTTCAATGAATGAAAAAAAGATAGTCAATTTTTTCCAATTTAATCGTGTATTAACACCCAGGTCGAACGGCTGATTATTTCGTACGCCAATCAAGTTCTGTAATCCTATAAACACGATTTTACGACGATACAGATCCGTGCGGATTGCAAGGCAGCTCCCGTTGAATCTGATCGCATTAATTATCAGAGGATGCAACAGATTACTAATTTACGTAATGAAATGAAGCAGCGATATGCTGAATAGAGGCGAACGAGGAGAGCTGAATAGACTGGTTCATGAATGAATGAATAAATAGAAGATTCTCTTCTCGCATGCTTCGTTAAATTTGCTCACTAAAAATATTCGAAACGATTAAAAGAAAAATTTGATTTACCCTTTGAACAATACGTCGGAGATTGCGATGTTTCAAAGGGTTGAGATTAATGTCTGATTCGAGTTAATCGGAATTTTATTCCTCGATTATACCAGTGACTGATGCCAGAGGGTTGAGCTAAGTATCTGTCAGGAGAAACTATTAATCATTTGATGATACAAGGAAGTAAGGATGACACACCCTTGACGAGTTTCATTATCCAAGTGACTAGCATCAACAATGAAGGAAGCTTGTACGTGTCAGCTGAAGACATCACGGAGAAGAGAATCCGTGCCTTCTTACCGAAGAGATTATCACCTTGTTACAGAAAAAGAAAGTTCATTTCTTTCGTACTTGAAATTGAGAAATGAAGTATTTATGGGTCACTTGTGCCTTGTCATCCTTCTATCGTTATGAAACTTCATACCGAAGACATTTGAAGAATGCAAAAGGGTATTCTGACAATTCTACCAAGTTATTTGTCATTTCGATGGGACCTTTGACGTAATCTCTTACGTCAATGGGTTGTTTATGGCGTGTCTACAAAAGGAATCGACAGAATCGTGGGCGAAGGAAAAGGGATCCTTTACGAATGGCTTTTTTATGCTTTTTAGTAAATTCAATTAGTTTCCCCGAACAGTGATTATTACGCCCTTTAGACGAATATTACAACGAGCATTAATTAGAAACTGTTCACGCGCTATGGTTGATTCACCGTGAATGCAATATCCTAAAGTTAGGGGTTCTGTTGCTTTTAACGAAGTTCAGGGACTTGCTGTTATTCCTGCACGATCCACGTTTACCTCGTGTCAATGTTAGACATCGAGGGTTAAATAAATTTTGCAAAAAGGGAATCTTTCCTTTTACCGTATTTAGTCACGATTCGTCGAAATCCATAAATAGGGTGATTTTTTGTCTGCCTATCGTCGTACCCCCAGAGCGACCGTGATTTATCGAGATTCTTTGGGGTGTTATACGTCGACAGTGATGTCACCTTAAGCTCGCCTTACTTTCTGATCGATGCAATATTATTATATCTATCTCGAATTCATCGTTGACGCGTGTTGAATAAAATATATCCTATTCCCTTTCTGTTTTTAGATTTCATAGGAAATGCCGTTTCAGTATCGGCAGTAAATGTAAGAAAATCCTATAGCCACCCCCGCAAAAAGTAGGATTACAGAAAGTTTGCAAAAGAAATGTCTCCTTAAATCGGTGCCAGTATACATACTGGATGATCTGCGAGGTAATTCAATTCCTTCTGAAGTATCCTATATGTTCGAATCAAAGTTCCCTTACAGCACATCAAGAAAATAAAAGAACCATTCGAAACGGCATTGAAATGAAAAAGAAAAAGAAACATCCAATTTAAAAGTATCTTAGTTTTTCGAGACGACAAGGATCGTCAGCGTGTTCCCAGCGGATCAATGTCGAGAAACTGTATTCCAGTTTTCTCTCGAAAACGATCCCCGATCTAATCTTTCCTCTTGGTCGAATATTTTTTTACAGTTTCGCCGGTTTCGGAGTCTCGTCTGGTTAGAAGATGACGAGGAGGTTCTCCGGCGGAAAACGAGAGGGGCTAATAATGCCCTCACGCAATAAATCGATCCCCCCCAAGGGAGAAGTTGAAACTGTCATCGTTTGTTCCAGATGGAGAAGAAGAGGTGGTCGTTGTCTGAACCGGAGGCAGCCGCTCGTAAAGTCGAAACCGAGGAATCCATAAACCGGTACGAGGAACCGGGATACCCTTCTGATGTCGTAGGCCGCCATCGAATTAAACTCCACCCTTCTTATCCTGATCGACCGAGTCGCCCCGGGTTTCCTGGTCTCTCGATTCGGAAACAATGCCTGGAATCGGACCCTTTTACGAGCCATCGTGCTCCCAGTTACTCGACTATTCGTTACACCACCTACCTTTCATCGCCAATTTGCCTACCGAGGAAACACCTTCGACCCGGCATCGTTTCCTTCCACCTGCTGTATCCACCTCGGCTCGATGACTATGCGGGATAAAATACAAGTGTATTCGTTCCTGGAGAAAGTGCCGTAGGTTGATTCTTGGAACCATGGATGGAAATTTGACGAACGTTTGGACGGGGAACCTGACTGCGATGCTGCATCAGCTACCCTGCAACGACAGCTTAATTAGTTGCGTGGATCAATGCGCGATCGACTTGGACTTTGATCATCTGTGCACCATCGACAAGGTCACCCTTTCCTCCTCGATGACCCTGTTCTGCAGACCGTGCGATTATTCCGATTGCGACGTGAATGTTTCATTGGTGGTCGGTGGTTTGGAGAGCATCGAGGGGTTGTTCTTGTCGAGGATACCGAGGTTCAGGGAATGCAACGGGACGAATCTGGAAGATCAGGTGAATACATAAATTTTATTAGCGTGTTCGATCTGATTGTTAAATAAAAATTCTTCTTTTTATAGATCCTCGAGTGCACTCCGTCGGAGAACTCGACGACGGAGGATCTCTCGGTCTCTTGCACCCATCGCTCGAAATGGAGTTCGACAAATAGGAGTCGCCGTTTCGACTGGGGCTTCCTGTTCGTCGCGGTGTTCATCGTGGCGGGTGGTTTGGGGAATATCCTCGTCTGCCTGGCCGTAGGTCTGGACAGAAGATTGCACAACGTTACCAATTACTTCCTTCTGTCGTTGGCTGTTGCTGATCTGCTCGTCAGCCTGTTCGTGATGCCTCTGGGCGCCATACCGGGATTCTTAGGTAAGTTTCAATTACTCTATAATGGCGTTGGAAAGCACGTCGCGTGGAAGATAACTGTGCTTTGGAAATAGGAATTCGTGACGATAAAGAAAATTTATCGAATACCGCAGTGATCCACATTTCGTGAAAATGTTGTTTCCCCGTTTAAAAGATTCACTGTGGTCAATAAAATAGTAGCACAATCGAAAATTCGTGTCGCAAATACCTGATAATGGTACACGATTGCGCCATTTCATCTTTTCACTACCTTCCTTTCGGCGAACGATGGGCAGTGATGGTTTGGAATAATGCCAGTCCGTCGAAAACAAAAGGAATACGATTGCTTGATTAAATCCGACTAATTAGAGAGTTCTGACATAGTTACGTAACGATTCGGTGAATTCATTGGCCACGAAATTTCCTCAATTTCTGCCGATAAAGGTCCTTCGATTTTATTTAGTAAAAAAAAATGATTTTTAAATGGCTGCTTCTTTAATACGATGCATATCATGCAAAGAAGCTGAGATTTCTTGGAAAAATTAATTATCTTTCCACTTTTGAAGAGTATAGATTGCATTTCAAGTATCTGGAATTGAAAAATTTAATGTGATTCCGCGATCGAAGGAACTCGAGGTTCGCAGAAGTGGTGGCGAAATTTGTCCGACCACTCGGAAGTTTGTCGCGTTAAGAGAAACGCGAGGGGTGAGTTTGCGAGAAGAAGGGAAATTATAAAGCGACAGAAACGTGTGGCTCGAAGGGTGGACAGGGAAACCAGACGATAAAGTTCGGGAAGAAAATTCAATGCGGTCGCGAACTTTCCGCATTTTCTTCGCGAAACCATTCGACGGTGCATGGTATCGTTTCCGTTTTAGCAACCTATTTCCTATAATCGCGATCGCACATATTTGCGGCTTCTTCAAACTTTCTGTGAAAAAGGAACCGTCTTAAAATCAAGAAAAGAGAAAAAATTCCTTTATGCTCGTCGAAATGAAAGATTGATTACCGTTTCACTTTGCTCCGAGGAAATTGCATTTCCATCTCTGATTCGTTTGTCAGCAGTTTGAGAAGCAGAAGGTGATCAGGAATTCATCGACTCGCCTTTGATTTCCTTTATAAAATTATCTCTCTTTTCTAAATAAATCAGCGACAAACGAGCCGGGTCGACTTTTTAATTCTAAATGAGCCACGAAAGTTGGGGGTGTAAAGGTGGCAATGAAAAATTCAAGTCACTCCCGAGGATGATCTGTCGTCGAAACGTATCCGGTATAGTTTGTCGCGGGTTGTCCAAATAAATTTACTTGAAGGAAGAGCAGGGATAACGCGTGAGTTATACGTTTCCCCAAGGTATTTGTACTTTTGTGAGAAACGGCGAAAAGTTCCCATAGCCGGGGGCCTCGATAAACGTTGGAACGAATAGGTACAGTTCGCTACGGGTTACGGCTCCTATATGGTGTTGTTCCTTATGATTGAATGGCTCGCCAGAAATACGAAAGAAATCCAGCTTGAGAAATAACCAAAGGAAGGAAGTTTACCAAGTGAACTTTAAATGGGACACACACAAGCGAACTGAACGTAACTCGGCAACGCGATGGTGTTAACGTTGGGCACGAATGGGGGTGGTATTAGAGGGGTGGTATTGTGTCTGCGTCGATTTACCGTGGAATTTACTTCATTCTCGATTTGTTTGTTTAATTTAACGTTCGCTAGAGTTTCGAGTTGGTATGCTGCAGTGAAATTATGGGTTGAGTCATAGCTGCCTGGGGAAATTCAGGATGGATGGTGTTTTAGATTCTACCAATTGCTTTTATTTTCGACGAATGGCTTTTGTATGTTAAACAGTTTGTCAACTTAGCATTGAAACTATCGAAGATATTAATTATTTTCTGTTTAATTCAACGTTGGAAGAGAAAATCTTATACGGATGAAATGGAAAATTAATTTTGATGGTGTGTTAAGGAACTTTTTCAGTATGATGGATATTTTGATTTCGAACGCAATATGGGACACTATTTTGCAGCAATTTCTAAACGTTAATTAACACCCACTGTTGCTCGCCCGCTCGTAAACACTCTAATGTCCTGTCCCCATAAACTTTCCTAGTTTCCCTGTGCAAAGCGATTTCGCATAGTTTCTCGATGGAACACCATAACGAGCGAGTCTAGAATAAATATTGCTTGGAAATTCAGCTTAGAGTGCTTTGGGTCACCTGAACTATATTGCAATTAAGCACGTGCACGTTTCATAAATTCTAATCTCTTTTTTCTCACGCTGGCAATCGAGCAGATGAGATTAAGGGTGGCAAACGTGTGCCGAAAATTAATTTCTTATCATTTTCATCAGTGAAAACGAGCCAAAGTGTTGAAAATTTAAATATTAATTCTCCATTAGTGTATGGTTTTGCAATTACAGTAATTGTTTCCGGAAATTCGTGGATCCACGAACAGGCCCGTCGAAACTTGATAAATGGGAATGAGAAAAAAAAAAAGTGGAAAAAGATTACACCATGACAGAGGCGACAGCTGCGTTCGCCGCAATTGAGATATATTTCGTTTTTATAGGGCGGACAGTCGGCCGATACAGCGAGGTTCGGTTTTTGTGCTTGTCAAAAATGGAAATTCGTTTTGGCCATCCGGTAAAAAAACGCGGTTCAGCTTTACGGTGGATCCGTGCGGACTTGATAATTAATTTTTTCACGGTGTATGCTCCCTCGACTGTCGAGCTTCGTTTCGTTAGCTGACTTCGGGGAACGTTTCCCGAAAATTGTGAAAAATATATCTCCCCACGGTTGGAAATGTTTTCGATGGATGAATAAGTTAAATCGTCTGTATGATTTTGCTTTGAACATCAACGACCAGCCGAACAATGTTCTCAAGCGTGAATTTCGACCACTTGGAACGCATTAATGTGCAATTTCGTGATAGACAGCTGTCACTTGCTTTCACTCGAGATATTCGATTGTCATCGTCTATATTGAATGCCCTATGTTTGACGAGAGTATCTATGTATACTTCCCCTTTGGCCAATTTCAGTTTCGAATGAAAGCTCGTCAGGAATATTGAATATTAGTTATCGATATAACATCGGTAATTATCGAGTAATAAACCCTTCTTCGAATAATTTCCAGGGTACTTCTAAAAAGGCTTACTGAATTTAAGATAATGCCATCGTTACGTGTTTCAAACGCAATACCTCTGTAGACTTTGTTTCAACTTTGTTTCAACAGCACAGTTCGCGGTACGATTAAATGACCCAGTTCGATAAAAAGTTTTGTTACTGCACTTCCAACGAAACACTCCCACAATAACGATACATTTCGTGTGCTTCGTTATTTACAAACGTGTATTCTTTTATTTATAAATCGAGCAATTAACGAAGTTAAACGAATTTAAGAAACGAAATCGCAGCGAATGTAAATCCCAGAATTACAATGCAGTTGTTTGTATTTGTTCGGCTATCAAATTCTACATGAAAAATCGGAGAGCGTGACGGAAACGCAATCCTACAATCGATTGTAAATATAGAGAGAAAACAGGTGTACAATACACCTTTTGTACGAATCAGAAAAGAGACGATCTCCCATTCTATGAAAGAAAATAGAAGAAAGTTTAAGATAGAAGCCAGTTTCGGATGAGAAAAAATGATTTTTATAGTTAGATGAATAATAGATTGTTCGACTAGTTTGTTTCAGTTTTATTCAATTAAAAATTTCGTTGAATTATGTGGGTGGAAAGTACGACGAAATCGTGGGAAGGATTCCAATAAACGGGCTATAGAACTTTTCCGGGAATATTTATTTCAGGGATCGCTAATTAGAACCATTTAACAAGTTCAATAATTAGAGGTGTATTTGTGACGGAAAAAAGATAATCGATCGAGCTACTTTTGGATATGGTTGAATTTGGGAAAATTCGATTCCCTTATAAATTTTAAACATTCAACGTGCGAATTATATCTTAATTAACGATTGAACCCGAGTTTCCTACCTCCTAGCTCAAAAATTCATGCAGCTTTTGGATTTTAAAAGTTTCCAGGGTTCCTTGTTAGAAACTTCGAGCTGAATAATCATATATCTTTACTTGAAACTTCGAGGAATATTTTTTCCTTACACAAACGAGCATATTCTTACGATTTACTAACTTAAAAAAAAAAAAGAAGAAAATTTGATGAATTGCGGTTTCGAACCCTAGACACTCGTTAAATAAAATTCGAGCCAGATTGTTTTTCCCCAAAATCCATCGTTCTCATTTTTTTAGTTAACAAACTCTCAAATGGAGAAGTCAATACCGAATACTGTACCTTTAAATTCTAAAAGGTTGCTGGAAATCAGCGTCGCTCGTTAAAAAATCGAGTGGCGACAAGTGGGGGCGTGTTGACGATGGTTGAACCATTTCAACCATTCCAACGAATAGAGTTTTAAAACGTTCCTTGCCTCTTTCAGCAAACTCGTCCTGGCACTTACCGAGACTTTTCTCGAATGTAGCGACAGTATAGAGCAACGAAGTATAATGGGCACGTTTAATGGGGTCTGCAAAGGAAGGATGGCACGGGGTTGATTGGAATCGTGTCACCTTTGAGAGGTCGTAACTTTTTAAACACGAAAACTCTCCACTTGTTTTTTAATACTTTGACGGGGATCAAGTTTGTCGAGGAAAAATTACGAGATTTATTTTCGATGAAACCCTATTTCATTTTTTTTTTTTTATTGCTAACGAGCAGTGTTAAGTTTTTTTTTCTTCGTTGGACACTCCAAGCACGAAATAACTCTCAAGAGGTTTCTTGATGTTTATTGCGTTCGCCTGAAAGTTATTGCTTACGCGAGAATATTTTATTCGTTTCCACCTTTAAATTCTTTATAAGATGTTTAAATTTTAAAATTTCGCGTGGAAGATTTTAGTGGATAGCAGCTCTAATCTTGAAGATTGAAAATCAAATTGTTCTAATTTTCAATAATTAAAATAAGATCGAGCGATTAATTTTCTTTATCGATGAACCATCTTCCAATACACTTGTCCTTTGTAATCAACCTTTTTAAACATCTCCATTCACTCACCCTGTTCCGGATCCTCTTCAGGATGTTCTTCAAGGAGCTCAGGTTCGAGGACTTGCCTACAAAAGATATTGGGGTAGTTTCAATTTCAGTGTTCGCTGACGCAAGCAGAAGGGCAGTAATCGGTGATAAGATGATTCTTAAGGTGATTTCTTGATTAAAAATTCCACTCCCGTCGAGAAATACTCGAATGAGTGTTGTCCCTGAACGAAGAGAAGTCTTAGGGTGGATAATTTTCTGCAAATTATGATCATCGAGGGTCAAAACGTTCGAGGGCTGATATTATTGTAGCTTCATTCGCAGAAAAAAATCATTCTATTCTCACCATCTTCCCCTCCTTTCCAGATAGAACGTACGATTTCTGTTTTCTAAGATGCTTTGATATCAAATACAAGATTCTTCTGGTCCGAATGATCTCCGAGATTGCTTTTCCTCTGTGAAAAGTTATTTATTTTGTACATCGAATGTTGGACTTTGAAGTCTGTTCATTTTATTATTTCAAGAAGAATTTTTATTGACTCATTTTCGACGGACGGCTGAAAAATTTAACGAGTTCTTTTGTATTTAAATTTTTATCGCGTTAAATGCTGTGACAGGTGGAATTGAAATTCTATTGGATCCATTAAATAGGTCGTTATCTTCTGAATAATAGAGAGGTGAAATATTTTTCCGTCATTTCGTTCGTTTATAGAAAAGCGAAGAAAACTTTTGGATAACGTTAATGCCGACCCTCTGAGACAGCAATTATTCAAATTTCATTTTCATCGTCTAACTTTCGTATTGCTCATTTAGATATACAATATTAGCTTTTCAATATACCAAAGTGTTTCGTTTCAAAATTGACTGTTTAATTTAAATCGAGGCACCGGCTGGGTCGCCATTGATCCGCCACCACCGAGGGTTAATATCAAAGGGGTAGCAAATTGAAAGCTCGAATCGGTATTATAAATCGTTATTATAATACGGCTTGCTAGGTAGAAACGTTTAACCGCGCCAGCGAACGGTCTGAATCCTCTTGTCTGACCACATACGGACTAATACTACTTACTCCGCAAGACGACGCCTATTTGTCTTGCCTATTTCCGTGAAATTACTTCGTAAAATACTTCCGCGTTCGAAGCGGAGCAAATGTGACTGGAATACACATAAAATACGATTTCTTAGGAATATTTGTCATTCCAGTTTCATATTTAAAAATTCCGATTATTCGATTATATTAACTCGTCCACTCGGAAGATTTAATAATCCAAAGAATACAGCGTATCTTTCAACCTGAATTTAAAAACAGCAGGGAAAAGAATGTTCTCCCTTCTTTAGAACATTGTTTACCATCCATCCAATAAACCGAGAAGACTTTCAGTGTCGAAGAGAAAACAAACAGCTTGTTTGAAAATCAGAAAGAAATGCATCCTTAGTCGATTTACAGGGATGCTTGTCGCGTTATCCTGAAGGATCATTTTTTATGCGAAACGATGATCTCTCTGGTGGATTTATAAATAATTCATGGGAGAATTTATAATCGCAAAGAATTGTAAATGTAGAGGAGACTCTTCGATCGTCTGAGGGATCAGAGAAGAGGGATGAGATAGCTGAACGAATCCGTGAAAATTTCTTTCGATTAACGAGATTCCCATCGAATTCCGCTGGGTTAGTTTACAATCGAACAAAGTAGAACGAGTAGTTGCAACCTCACGGTTTTTATTGAAGCCGAACAAACGGCTTTGTACATCAGGATTCGTAAAGTTTCGGGGAAATCGTGGAAATTTAATCTTTCCCCGGTGCGAGGATACGAATTTTGGTAATCAGGATCAGGTTGGCTAATGGAACATAGTTTTCGGTTCGTTTCGATGGAATTCCGAGTGAAGGCAAGTTTCACGGCCGAAGTTTTCCCTGAGAGGTACTTGAAATTTATTGCACTAACTTGTTTTAATAAATCATCCTATTAAGATGTAATGATAATCATTGATCGAAGTTCGAAACTTGAAGGCTCTAGGGAAGTGTACTTCATGCAAATTGGAGATGAACAAGTTTGAAAAAGATTGCAACTTGTGCCATTCTAACAAAGCTCTCCTATGTTGCAATTTCATGTACAGAGATATTTTATCGTCGTTTATTAATGCTGCACGCGTCATTTCATCGTAATTTACATAATCAAATTATCAGATCAAGTTGCGATAATCTAGCAAATTGAATTTCATTCATTCGGATAGAAATGCGGTGAAACGATCGCATTCAGAGGCGAATCAGTGTAAACAGACGGTCGTAACGTTGACGTTCTTTGATCTCCTGCCTTTTCATACGGCTCATAGCGCGAGTTAAATTGACGGATTTCCGTGTTACGTTTCGAAACCGCCTAAATTCACGAGATAGATCGAACGAGCGGACTGTTTACAGGAGAACAGCAGGAAACGAAGGCAATCGATCATATCGATTACTTATAAATCGGGATGTATTGTTACTGAAAATAACGAAGCACCGAAACGTTCTGGGTTTCTAGTCGTTCCACGTGTACCGAGAAATAACATTGTGGCATTGATCTAAATTGATCTAATAGAAACCTTGTTTCCCTATGCGTTGGACTTGAATGCTTTGCATTTTGTCCTATTGAAATTATTTCACGCTGCTATTGAAAAGAATAATTGCGATTGCATCGGGATCTATGCGTTTGCAAGTTGAAACACTTGCAAATTTCAGCGTTTGTAAATTTCAACAGTTGCAAATTTCATCGTCTACGAATGTAAACGCTTGCAAATCTAAATATCTTACAAGTCCAAGAATCGAAATAGCTGGCAACCTCGAATCTGCTCTTCTTCGAATGCCGTTTTCTAAATTTTCAAACGTATAGCCCGCGGTAAAGAAAATCCATTCGTCCTTCGAACGATCCTGGAAAATTCAGCACCGACCTTCCGTCGAACCATCCGTAAACGAATTCGATCGAACCGAGACACAGAAATGGTAGAGGCGAAACTTGGTATTCGGTTGAACGCATTCGGACCGTGTTATTTCAAGATACCGTCAAGCTATTCAAACTAATCCGGTTAATAATAGGTTCACTTTGAAATGAGGAGTTTCGTAACGAACAGGTCAGACAGGTCGGCTGATATCATAACGAATGAGTCGAGCGAATCAAGCTTCAAGGTGGAAAGAGTTTCTTCGGTGTCATTTAATTAAACGTTTTCACAAATTCTTGCTCTTTACGGCACCACCCTATTCTCCATATAGGGATTCTACTGAATTTTCAATGGAACTCCTTTTATGGATTTAATAGCTGAATTTTACGATATTATTTCATCTTACCATTTTTCAGGATCCCTTAAAATCCTCAATTTTCATTTCTCTCTAAAAATTTTGCAATTTAAATTTTCCCTCCTCGGTCTTACAGCGTACAATGAAATCTGTTCCGGTATCCTTTGGAAATTTATCAAAGTATCGAGAAATGAACGAGCCTCCTGTTCTCCGTTTCAGGGTACTGGCCATTCGGGGTGCTTTGGTGCAACGTTTACGTGACTTGCGACGTGTTAGCGTGTTCAGCGAGCATCATGCACATGTGTTTCATCTCGCTGGGTCGTTATTTGGGCATCCGGAACCCGCTGAGAACACGGCACACCTCGACCAAACGAATGGTCGGTTTCAAGATCGCGGCTGTTTGGCTGCTCGCCATGTTGGTCTCCAGTTCCATTACGGTATTAGGTAAGAAATATTTTGCCCTGTCATAGGAAATTAACCGGAATACTTTGTCATTTAGGAGGTTCGTTATTATCGAGATTGTGAGTAAACGATTGGCAAACTTTTTACCTTGCAATCGTCTTGGCATGGAAAAGAACCTCGAAACTTACGATAGGACACTTTCAGAAACTCGGCTCAGGATTAGCCGTTTCGTAAGCGAAGGAATTGATTTCCGGAGTAGGAATAGCGTTTTTTTTTTTTTGCGCTACTTCCGGTCCAGCGACAGGGTAAACGGAAAAGTTGCACGAAATCAGCCTTCTTGCCTTCGATATTCGAAACTATTTCCGATACTGCGACCCAGGTCGATAAGCGATTACGTTTTTGCACGAGCCCGCCGGTTGTCTGCGCTCGTTTCTGCAATCAAATAATCGGAGAATAGTAAAAAAAAAATCAACTGCGACGTGATCGTGCTGGGATTTCTATATCTCCTCTTCAATACTTGCGAAAACATTTTAGCAGAGAATTTTGTAATTCTTTCTGTACACAGGTATAATCAATCCGTTGAATATAATGCCACGACCTGGTACGTGCGTGATCAACAACAGAGCTTTCTTCGTGTTCGGTTCCCTGATCGCCTTCTACATCCCCATGATCGTGATGGTAGCCACGTATGTGCTGACGGTGCAACTTTTGCGACAGAAAGCTCGTTTCGTCGCGGAACACCCTGAAAGAGATCAATTCCGAAGACTAGGTGGTAGATACTCCTCGACCAAGACGTCGACAACCGGAACCACCACTACAGCCTCGTTATCCACTCGACACGCGTGGAGGACTTCCGGTACCGGTCTTGGAAGTGAAAGGTACCTTATAGAAATTTAATTTTTTCAATTTTCTTCCGAGGAATCGTGCAATTGATTAATTATTTATCTTACCACGCGCCCGGCTCCTTGTTCCAATTCGATCGGTTCAAGATCCATCTGTTATTAATCAACGACGAGGCCGCGTGTCGCAATTCGTGGTGCATCGAGCGGATAACTTGTTTGCGCGAAGCATCGCTCGGTTTAACATAGTTACAGTCTAGCCTTGCTGTAAATATCACAGATGCAAGGGTGCAAGAACGGGCAAGCAGCAACCGCAGTTGAATTTCACTGTGAACGGGGCGGGCAGCCCGACCGGAAGCACCGTCGGGACGAAACAGGGCTCGAAAGTGGATCAGGCCACTCAAACGCCGGAGAACATTGCCCGGGAAACAAGAAACTTCACTCTAAGAGCTTTGAAGCTGCAATTGAACGTCACGCCTACCACCCTCAATCTCAGGTGAATTTTTTCGTCGGCTCCTTTGCTCCATTCACCATTACCGTCTTTGATTTCAACGGACAAATAAAAGGCTGGGGTGGTTTTCTATTTGAGACAGCCTTGGGAATGATTTCAACCCTTAAACTTAAATATCTCCAGATTAAAAAAGCACTTGGCTTTTATTTTTCATTGTTCCATCATTCTGCAAAGTTTCATCAAAATCGACATGTCTGATTCATTATTAGAAGAGCGGTATTTGATTTAAGTAGTATAAGTCAATGTAAAGTCAGACGCGTCCAATATCCGCATCAATATCGATGGATGGGTTTGATTGTTATTAAATTTGTTCCTGCCACATCATCACGAACAGTGTCCAAAATTCGTGCCACAGTACTGAACGTGTTAATCGTTAATCAACAGGCGAACGCAACGTATGAAACCAAATTACCTTCGATCGTGTTCGTCTACCAAAGTTAACGCGGTTGGTGGTCGGTGGTGGTCATAGAAAACCCTCGATTTTCCTCCTGGTTCTTGTCGCGAGTAGATTGATTTTCTGTCAATGTTAACCAACGACGAATTACACGCGAGCGGATAAACCGCTCGCGTGTGAAAACCCATTTGTGAATGCAAATAACGCAGCTTGTTTTCCCCCCGCGAGGATTCGACAATGATTGGAAACGATTTCACCAGGTTTCTGGCTGGGAGAACCAAGAGAAGATCCATGGCCGCGAATGCCGTGGCCACGGAACAGAAAGCCAGTAAAGTTTTGGGTTTGGTTTTCTTCACGTTCGTCTTGTGTTGGGCACCGTTCTTCCTTTTGAACATCTTCTTCGCCGCTTGTCCCGAGTGCTCGGTGCCGGTCCACGTGGTCGACACGTGCCTCTGGCTCGGTTACGTGTCATCCACCATCAATCCAGTCATTTACACCATCTTCAACAAGACCTTCAGGGCTGCGTTTATTCGATTGCTGAAATGCAAGTGTTCCAGGTGAGTGAAACTTGGTTTAGAAAGATTGATAATTTTTGAAAGGGTTATTTTGAATTCTATGTATTTTATACTTGCTCCAGATCAGCAAGACCGACTAGATATCGTTCGGTGACAGAAGGTGGGCGCAACACTATGAGTCTGTGCACGCCAACAGCGCTTCCACTGGCCATTAGTCTTCAGGGTACACCGTTGTTGACCCCGACGTCGAATCCTTCGGCTACACCGGCTTCAGGAAGCTCGTACATGACGATGATGCATCGCACACCCAGCTCCCTATACCGTGACACCTTCCATCAAGTCGAGCATGATCAGAATTGTTGAAGAGTCCTCAGCTCCTGTGAACAAACATTACTGAAGTATTAGTTATGGAGAAATGTAAATGAACATATTCCTGGTTCAATGTTAAATTTGGTTTTGGTAGTCGTGCAAACGTTTGGCTACTTTTAAATAGAAAAAAAAGTGGAGAGATGTTGGAGTAATGGTAATTATAATAAGCGTACTGTTTCTGTTCTTGCCAGCGAAAAAAGAAAACACCTGTAGTCCCGAATTGCAGAAAGAAAATTTTTATAGTTTAATGAACTATAAACCAAAGATTATCGTTAAGCCGAAACCGCGATCCTGTAGCAAAGTGACTGTTATAAAAAAGAAGAAACTTAGACGTAAAAGTTTGCGATTGCATGAAATAAAAACCAAAGAATAGCGGATACTATTTCCCATCGTGAAATCATGTTGAACTTTCCTCGCTAACCATCCGAAATGTACTATTGTCTGTGATATCGACGAAACAATCCCCTGCGTTTATTAACGATTGTCTGTCATGGTGTAAATTATTAAACAATCATACAACATTATACAGAAAAATAACACGCGTTGATACATACAGTATATGAAATAAAATAGTAATTTAAAGATATAATTGCAAACGATGGCCTATTCCTACCCCTTAAATCAATTATAAATGAAAATTGCAGTGTTCTATTACATGTTACATGAAAATAATTGAATTATTTCAAACTTTTTAAAAAATGATCCTACTAGGGATGATCGATAGAACTAAGAAAATGAAAAATTGCTTTTTTTCGAAAAATATGCAACTTTTAAGATTCATTGCCGTCAGTAAAGTATTCTATGATGAAAATGCAATCTAAATAATTGCCCTACATTTATCTGGAAGCCTTAAAATTGCTAATTGAAAATTAGCGCGATTCATGGACCGTAAAAACCCTAGCCATCTAGCGGTGGAACGGTGGAACTAAAAAAATAGAAAATTGCTTTTTTTCGAAAAATAAGAAACTTTTGGGCTTCATTGGCGCCAGAAAAGTGTTCTATGATCAAAATGCGATCTAAATAATGGTCTCACATCGCTCCAGAAGCCTTAAAACCGATAAATAAAAATTAGCGCGATTCATGGACAGTAAAAAGCCTATCCATCTAGCGGTGGAACGGTGGAACTAAAAAAATAGAAAATTGCTTTTTTTCGAAAAATTAGCAACTTTTGGGCTATATTGGGGCCAGAAAAGTGTTCTATGATCAAAATGCGACCTAAATAGTGGTCCCACGTTGCTCTAGAAGCCTTAAAACTGATAATTAAAAATTAGCGCGATTCATGGACAGTAAAAAGCCTATCCATCTAGCGGAGAGCTGGTGGAACTAAAATATTTTAAATATTCAAAAGCTATCGCTTTCCGCAATCAATAAGGGTCTTTTAATTTTAATTTTATTACTTCTATTGTAATGAATACCTTGTAATGCTTTTGCCAGAAACATGTGCGAACAATAAACTATTTATTACTACTAATTACTGTATATTTATTTAGAATGTTAGCTTTAAAGAGTAAGTCGTAACTTACCTTGACTTAAAGTCTTTAGATAATCGAGAAGTAGAAGCAAACATTCTATTTCACCTTCATTTGTACTAACTTTTATTTGACAAATAAAAAGTATCCATTACAAATAATTGTAAACTGTATATCTTATATAATACACACATCGTGATACGAGCGAGATTGTGTGTCTCTTTATTTCAATCAGCCATATATTTTCATTTCACACGTACACATACACACCGATCCTTTCTTTCTCCTTTTTCCCATATTTAATCTTTCACGGATTAAAATTACAAACAATCTCTACCTCCCACCTATTTTTTTCTTCTTTCATGCACGCATGCATTCAAAAAAACGGCACCTATTTATCTCTCACGCATTTCGTGTGTGTATAATATGTATGTATGCATGTATGTATCTCTGTTTTACATGTTTCTCGTGTAATCCTTATTGCGTAAATTGGTGTTGCAATTGTTGCAAAACACCTGGTTCCTCTTTCAGTGTACACCGGAAGAGGAAGAAGATCATTTTCCAACAACCTCCACACCACAAAAGACGGTACGATCGTGAGTCGAACGGAAATGCACGCGCTTTTCTCTATTTCCGAGATCACGCGCGGACGTCGAAATTCCCTTTTTTCTTTTAATTGATCATGGAATAAACACAGCGTAGTGGGAATAGACCGTCAGAAAGAGGAAGAGAATGGTTCTCCTTTTGTTAAATCTAAAAGAAAAGGGTTGGTGAACGCCTTCGTTCGATCGAGATGCATTAAAAGGAAAAAAAATAAAGAAAAATGCCCTTTGTAAATTATCGACCCTGACGACTGTAGGATCCCTGGTTCTATGGTTCTTTGTTTCCGTTTTTAAACCATTTTAGAGACTGAGACTTTAATATCAGGGGACAAAGAAGAAGGAGAATGTAAGGGTGCCGTGAAATTTATCCTCTGGATACACGATGTTGGTCTTGAGGAAAGGGAAAGTGGACGAGTTTGGACTTCAGGATGGTTTTCATCCACGCGGTTAATCTGTTTGTTATATTTGCAAGCTTCTTTCCGTGAAACGATCCCTAAAAGAGAACACCAGCTACTATTATTATTTTTTTTTTTTTTAACATGTATAAAGATTGAAGAGACTCAAGAAACTTATGGTGCTCCCTTTCAGAAGACGTTCAGAATTTGATATTCGATGTCAGACCACATTAAACTTTAATAACACTGAATGCACACGCTCTCGAGAGGTAACAAAAATGATCTCACTCCTGTTGTTTCGTCATCAATGATCGTTTCATAAGATACAAACAGATTTTGTACGCGAATATAGTATATTATTATATATATATCTATATATATATATATAGGTTCACTGTTCTTAAAGTTTAACATTCTCCCAAATGGCTTCAATTATATACTTTCTAAACACAATGTATGCATCAGACTTCGTTGCAAGTTTCTTTTGATTCCACGTGTCGTGACCCTCTCTTCTTTCACTCACACATATTTATCTTAACAATCTATACCGCGAGAAAAGAAAAATGATCAGGGACACCCGTGGATTTACACGCTCGATCCACGAAACTGAGTGTTTACGTTTTCCTTGTATCATTAGTACAAAAGACTCTCAGGTGTATTGGGGATTACAATTAATGCAAAAATTACTCTTATTAATAATCGTACAATAGTGATAATAATAGTAATTAGAATAATAATAATAGTAATAATAATAAATGATGCAGCAGCAGAAACGTGGTTTACGTGGCAATTAAGGAAAGGGAAGTGATACTTTCAATGATTTCTCTTCTCCTATTTTCATTTTTCCTTGCTTCTTACACACGTGTATGTACAAATTTCGATTCTGTAAAGTTATTATCACCGCTACATTTTCCACCGATTCTTCAGCTCATCGAAACCGTCCAGAGAAATGAATTCATTTGCGAAATTATCAAAGATCATCGTTCCTCTACATCATCGATCCCGGGGGTTTTTACTTAAAGTCTCACGAATCGTCATGGTGCAGACATTTCCTCTAAGAAAAGAAAGGGAAATCACGTTCCAGGAAGATTTCTGCAGCGACAAGAACGAAAAAAAGAAAGATACAGGCAACGTGTGCGCTTCGAAAATTGGTACCCGGAAGGATCATCCAGTTAAGAATAGACGGGAAGGTAAAGGGGGGAAAAATATATATATTTATATATGATCTTATCAAAGTTGGTCCGTGACAAAAAAGCACGCGATACAAAACGATTAAAAAACGCAGAAAAATATACTAATAATAAGGCAGGGGAAAAAATGCGCGAAGATCGAGAACGACCTCAAAACTATGCTTTCTCTTTGGCCTTTCTTCAGCACGAGGAACACGCTGCTCCTCGACGTCTCTAGTGCCAATTCGAGTTTTGGAATTCTCGAATGAGTCGAATGAATCGAATGGAAACGTGTCGCTTCGTATTGAAAGAGGATTTCGTTCTTTATCTCATTCTATTACGTACAAGGAGAGAAAACGGGTGTGCTGTTCGCAGCTTGCAACCCTCGGAATAGGCCATCGCAACCGTAGGGCACAGGATATTAACAAATTTTCGGGGTCTCTTGGATTACAAATAGCGGTGTTCTGGGACTGGTCTGCAATTTAGGCGAGTGTATTATTTGCAACTCAGTTCCTCCACACAAACTACCCTTTCCTAAACTTTATTACAATCCTGTTCACTGGTCAGAGTGTAGAAATTGAAAACGGGATCTCTACTCACACAAACAGCAATCAGCAAGCACGAGACCTTGGGAAAGGTCTCGTGGATCTCCTCGAAAAGAAGATGACCCCCTAACCGCGTGTGGCGATAGCGTGGAATAGAGAATAGAAACTGTGTGTAACAAGGAGTTCTTTGAATTGCTCCAACTAGCCTTTTTTCACGTACAAGTTAAGAAGTTAATGCGAAAGAGCAGCAGTGTGTCTGAGGCTGCTTTGAAAAATGACTGCGTGCTTTCTTTTTTTTTTATTATTTTTGCTTCTGAACGCGTGTGTGTGTGTGGTTCCTTGGATGCGGCGGCTGAAGAGTTCGTCGTATCATCGAAGGTTTCGGTTTTCCACTTTTTCGCACGAATGTCTGTCCATTTGCGGAGAAGTATCCTTAAAAAAATTACAAACGCATCTTTGGCTCCCCCTGAATGCTTCCTCTACCACGTCCTAATAATGGTCTGCATTCTCGTGCACGCTGTAACAAAAAATAAATAAACTCCAATTGTATTTCATCTAGTAATTTCATACTCGTTCGTTCGGGCAGGATGTCCAATACATTTTCGTAATACACGCATCTTCACCTTACTTTCTAGCTCTTATTTTTTATACATAACATAGAAACAAGCGACAGTAGAAGAGTTTCGAATTCGTTAAGACGCAAGAATCGCACGCGCAACAAAGTAGTAGCAGAGAATTGATGGTTAGTTCCAAAAGAAGCAGGTCTCAGAGGAAGCGGACGACGATCGTGAACGCCTTTGTAGGATGATTAGTGATTCCTTGTTATATCGAAAGTAGAACAACAAAATCACTAGTCTTCCATGCAACGGCGCTCCATTTTAATCCCCAATTTTCTCACGGTGAGCTTCGTGTGTCCTCCGGTCAGTCCACCTTCGATTTCGATCCTCCACCTTCGTTTAGTACCCCCTCGGTCTCTTCGATGCTTTGGTTAGTCGAGGGTGTGTGTTAGTTCCTCGTGCGGGATGTATGGTTCGATGAGAAGCGACTTTTTATTTACCATACGCATTACTTATTCCAATGATTAATAAAATAAATAAACCAACATTCAGCCGTTTATAGAGGGATTAAGGTTTTATGTTGTTAGTCTTTCATATACAAAGATTTATACAATGATTTTTTGCAGCCTATGTTATATCCACATAAATGAGCGATGGATGTAAATCTGAGATTGTTTGCGCATATATTATCGGATGGAATATGTTATATGTTAATTGCTTGGCTAATAGTCCGGTTAATTCTTTTAGTAAGAAAAACGTACAGATATTCGCAGATAAGGATGACGAAGCGATGGATAAACAATTACCTCTGCTGAAGCAGGTACTGAGCCATCTGTATCTGACTTGGTAACCCGGTTATAGTAATAATGCGATCGTTGCTACCAGGCAAAGGTTCGTCTATGGTGATCCCAGCACCGCTGTCTGATCTGATTTTCCGGATTCTGGCTCCTCCTTTGCCGATTATGGCCCCCGCAAGCTGTTAACAGAAGAGTAATTAAAAATCAACCGATACTTACCCATCAGCTCACACTCAGCTTCTTTACTCACGTCTTTAGGAATGGTGACTTGAGTGCTGGTCTTGCTCCCTCCCATGTTGCCCTGATTTCCTTGATTGTTACCACTCATGGGTGGGCCACTCATTGCTGAATTGGCACCTCCACCGCCGCCACCGCCACCACCTCCACCCCCGCCCAAACCGTTTGGTGCTCCTCCTTGCATTCCCCATCCGTCACCTATACAGAAGATTAACAAAAATTCGCTAATAAGTATCTGTGTATCCAGCTGCTACATTTTCCCTTCGTTCTAAATAGCATCCTTAAAGTGAAACTGTTTACCGTTATAGTTTCCTCCGCCATAAGGTGGCGGGCCACCCCTGTTTCCTCCATAACCGCCTCGTCCACCTTCATAACCGCCCCCGCCACCACCTCCTCCGCGCGAATTACCCCCGTAGCCACGGTCTGCTGGTCCACCGGACATTCCACCACCGCCACCGCCTCCGCCACGTGGTCCACCCCTCGGTGGGGGTGGGAAACCGCGATTCATATCGCCGGGTCCACCGCCACGATTGTCCCGTCTCGGTGGCATGCCTCCTCCGCCCCCACCGCCGCCTCCACCACCACCACCGCGACCTCCTGGACCGCCGAAACCACCACCTTTACCTTGACCACCATCACCACTTCCATAACCCCCATAGTCATCCGCGTAATAGTCGTCGAAGTTGTGCGGATCGTAGGGATTGTTCACACCTTTCAATGGAGACTGAAACATGAATTACAAACAGTTGATTTAATAGAATAGGGCTAGAAGGAGGCTGAATCAATCTTGAAGAACTTTACTCACAGTTTTAATGGTGGCGATCAGCTCACGGATGCAGTCGATGCAGGTGGTTGGTTTTCCGCAAATACTGATCAATCGATCGGTGCTGTGAGGGCAGCAGTGGGAATAGATCTTGATCCTGGCGCCAGTTTTCTGTAACAGAAAAGAACGACTTCAAGTTAGATCATCATTTCCTAGTGTATCGAGCGGCGAAATTTTAAAATTCCAACAGAGGAAAATCCAAAGATTTTTCCAAGGTAACTTCACGTGGTCGAACGAGCTCGAGTGGACAGAGAAAGTGAAACTTTAATCGCACGATCAGCCCCTCGGCGTTTCTTTCGTTCGATAACTCGACGCGAAGCGATTGTTAGGCGCGAATGAGCGGATTGCGTGCTCCAAGTTGCTTAAGCTGACAACCAACCCCTTCGTTTCTCGAGATATTGTTCTCGCAGAGACAGTTAGGGTTGGCTTGAAAACCGGCGAACGTAGCTATTCGGTCACCATGCGATCTTTTCTCCACACAGTCCAGCCGTTTTTTATTCCCTTTTTTTCTTTCAAGAAACTCACGCTTTAATAACGCATTTACCGTTCCGAGGCTCGCAGAAATATCGTGGCAAGGCTGACAGTAATTAAAATTAACCCTCGCACGAATTCAACTTAACTTCCAGTTGAAACGACAACACCTCTTACAAGATTTCGTTTTACCTTATTTTTTCTCCCTTTTCCATCTTAATAAATCTACGAGAGGATGTTAGGAACGAGTTCGAAACAAAGTTACTTCACGTAACCACGATTTCGATGGACTTAGCGTAATTATTTGCGATGATAAGAGCGAGGGTTGTGCATTAGAGGGAAACAAGAGGGAGTAAAAAATAACCTCGGGTCAGGTTTGACGTTTTATTTTTGTCTTTTCAATGATAACGAGAAAGTTTATTGTACTTTGCTATTGCTCTTAATTCTGATTAAGAGATCGCGTAGTATTACAAAATTTGAGCCACCAATTTGCGAAGTTGAACACAGAATAAATTATTATAAAATTCTTTCAGACCTGCATTAAATTTCCAACGATATTAACTCGGCATGAAGCATGAATATACTAAATTCTTTTAATCTCAGCTAATTGTTCTTTCGCGAAAGAATGATTGCCGGACAATGTGATTAAAATAATAAGCAATTTTTCCGGCGAATTTTTCGTCTGAAAGCGTTTACCAAAGACACAGGTAACATAGTCGCGGAGTAATCAGCTCGTTGGAAAAGCAAGCCATCGATTTGACACAGGCGTCGTCTGCTTGGGATGAATGGAACCAGCACTCGCTTTGATCTACGTAATTAAACAGTGCAATTTGCACACAATGCTATATATCCACTGACTCGTTTGTATCTACAGATTGGATTGCTTTTTCGCCTATCTTTCGCGAACATTTATTACCTGCTTCTCTGTCTTCCCTCGAGGTATAAACGATACTGACGTTGTTTCCTCGACGAGAAATGGAATTTTAAGCGTGACAGAGACTCAACTTGTTCGAACGTAAATTAAATTAAGTGCCAATATACGAAATTAGAAAGGTGGAAATTATAGTTGTTGTTCACTAGATTTTCCAATCATACAAACTAGATGCGATGACTTTGTGACCGGCAACTCATTAACAATTTATCGATCGCTAACGCAATTCCATTCTATGCAAATGAATATACTCATGAATTCTTATCAAATCAGTGTCCGAAGACAAGGGCATGAGCAAGGGGATTTGTAGTATCAGTTGATTTTTAACTTCCATTCGATTCGCATCGAGTATTCTTCAAGTTGTAAATTCGAAAACGCAGGTGAGTTTTTTATGAGAATCGAAAAGAAAATCGCGGGAAAATGCGTGACGAAGAGAGGGAGTGTCGAGAAATGAACTTTCACTGAAGCAAAGAGGAGGAAAAAGGGGACATCGACTCGTCGAAACGTTTCGCGGTACATTCCATCGGTGATTTTCCCCTTCGGGCACAATGTCACGAGTATCGAGATCGAACGCGCGATAGATCTCGTTCAAGGTCGGTGTTCACGAAATTTTCTGCGATCAATCGATTTTACTTCAGTTTCGACTTTGAACACGGGGGAAGGATACAAGTGAAATCGAATTTTAAAGTGTAATTCTCACGGTTGCGACTCGAGCCTCGGTGCTTATCAATTCGAAAGCGTTATTTCTGTTGCCTGATTTCTAATACCCTATAGAATTTTCTTTTAATCGTCCTAATTTGATTTTTCAGATTCACAAAAATGTCGAATATTTACACAGCCGAGGAGGTGTCGAAGCACAATAGTGAGAAAGATTTATGGATCGTGTACAAGGATGGTGTGTACGATATAACAAAATTCGTGAAAGAACATCCGGGTGGTGAAGAGGTGTTAATCAATTTAGCTGGAAAGGATGCTACCGCGTGTTTCGACGATATAGGACACACGGTGGAGGCTATACAACTTCGAGAGACCTATAAAATTGGAACAGTGTCCGGTACCCTATCCAGCACACCGGTTTCCGATGGTACGTGCAACAAGGTTTTGTAAACTAATCTCAGTTTTCGATTGACATTCGAGACTAGTGGAAAATTGAATACTCGAACCGGGAACGATTGTAATGGTCGAAAAGTGCATTTTTTAGTTTCTTCTGTGGTTCATTAGGTGTACAAGACACGACGACAGACGACGACAACTGGGAATACGAGCCACCGAAACAAGAAACGTCACTCTGGCTTCCGGTGTTCATCGCAGCTGGTGTTGCCATATACGGCTACATGTTTTATTATTTTTGGCTCTCATAAGAGCTAGTCTAAATGTAATTATCGGGTTAATAGAACAAAATGCTTATTTATTTCTAGAAATATTGAATATCTAAATTGTAATAATATAGTAAAATGATTTATTTTCGTGAAAGTGATTTTCCTATTATTTTACAATATACGTGCACTGAGTGTAGCCACAGAAATTTGTGGATATAACGTGTTCGAAGCAGCCGACGAGAACAAAATTTCCTTGTCATCGTGACTGGCACTTTTCAACGAGCCGCGCGCTCCACATTCTACCTGAATCTGTTTCATTGCACGCTTCCGCTTGCATTATCTATGCGTTACGAAATTTCATCAACGCAGACGAATTTAAAAAGGAAGAAAATAAAGATATTCTTGTCACTTTTATCAACTTCAAAACATAGAAAATCTGACAGAATTTCTTGACATAAAAGTGCCAAAAAATGGCACTCGTGGTACATCATTATAATGAAAGTTTTAAATAAAGATTTTTAAAAAAATTTCATGCTTGTTGCAGGTACGTCATTTCTATTAATCGTCAGATAGATGACGCGGTAAATACCTATTTCATTTGCAATTAGCAATCATCAAACACAGAAAGCGGAACTTTCATCAGATATAACTCGATGCGTGTTCACGTCTCATGAGAACGATCCTAACAGTCGAATCGCAAAGCTCTCGGATGCATAATAAAGCCACATTCACAGTGGATGCGGTCATAGTACACGGTCAGCGCGTTCGCATTGAATGCAGTTGCATGCGGCTAATGCAGCTCCGCATGCGATGATGCACCGGTTCGCGATCAATACGCGAGACGTTCAAATCCAGCCTGATTCGTCGTCTCTCTAGAATCCTCCGGCTCTCGTGTGTGAAAACGACCCGATAAGAATAGTTTAAAATACAATATCGTCAACTGTAAACGGTATGTATTCGTTCGTGTGCATACATGGTGAGTCATCGTGATACTAATATACCTAGTGTATAATTTCAGGAATGACTTAAGGTTATATTTACAATGTAAAAAATTGTGTTCGAAGTGGTAATAACAGTGTTAGGGATTTTTCAATTCGTACTTCGACAGATTAATATTGATAAAAATTAATGAAGTTTTTAAATTTTACCTTATAATCTACAGCAAGTCGAGCTGACTAATGTCTTTTTCCAGGTATTAAAATTAGTCTAACGGTATAAACTACGTTCGCAATTACTCAGGGAACGAGCCGGTGATAATTACAATTTCAAAACGTTACTTAACCTTGCTGGATCCTCTTTAGGTCGCTAGGGAGAAGAAGAAAGCACGATAAATATCTTTCGTGCAGAAGCGGAAAGAAATATTTCCAGCGCGAAAATGGCGACGTCGTAACCCAGTTTAACGTCGATTCACAGGCGGCCAGAAAATCTTATTAAACGACCGCCAGGATGAATACCAATTTCGTAGTCGCCGTTGTCGCGGCAACGTAATCGTCCAATTCGCGTCTTATCGACGGCAAAATTGTTGGTTTTTATTTATAGAACGACACTTGATAAGAAAATTGCGCGCGTTCCACCTGCCCGGTTGCATTCTTTTCTATGGTGAATCCCAATGATTTTGAAAAGGACTCGTGTATTAAATTCTTGAACGTGAGAGTCACGAAGAACGATCATTTTTTAAGGGAAAAAAAAAATGTTTTGCTTTCTGTTGGAAAAAAAATCAAACACAAGTGATTTGTTTAGAAAATGATCGTTTGCCATCCAGTGACTTAGAACACCTTTTTGTTATCTTCGGCCATCGAATGCTTCAGAATACCTTTAAAAATGAAAATTTTTCAAGCGATCATTATAATGCGATATTCGTGGATACATTGATAGTAAAATATTCTAAAAGCCAGCGAACGTGCTCTCATCCGCGAGACTTGGAGCAGAGCGAGCTGGTGTAAGCAGTGGGAGCCGAAGATGATAAAAGGGGCCCATGTGGTAGGGGCAGCATCTAGAGGGGGCAAGAATAAAGGTACTACGAGCTGACCTGAATCGAGCAGTGTTTGTGCTGTTGCAGCTTCACAAGGGATCTCGCTTGTGTGAATAATTTCTAAATAAATCGTGTTCATTCCTCGCGAAATATAAATAATAAGATCGCAGGATCTTTAAAAAGGAATTCAAGGATCCTAGAAGAAACATTCGCTGAAACATCGTCCGATTTATCGTGCGCGTTGTCGAGCTGACACGTAAGCAACAAGGTACGTCGTTGGTTTGAGTTTTAAACACGACCGGCATAACACGGTTCGTGTTAGAGAAACCACAGTGTCAGAGGAGTGAATATGTAAAGTTAAACGTGCCTGTTCTTCGTCTACTCTTTTTTATCCGTGAAAAATGTGTAGCAGTAACATTCAGAACGAGGCTGAGAGGAAGGCGATTGATTTTCTACGAGAATACACACAGTTCGATGACGACGACACGTGTTAGAATATCTCCGGACAAATGTATTGCGCAGTTGTGATTAACCGAGACGAGATATAGACGTGAAATAAAATAGCTGAAAGAATTTAATGGTTCTATAATTGAAGATAATATCATGATTAATTTAAACGTTCCAAGACGATCCGTTTTATTTCACTCTTCTCTAATTTTTATTTTTATTGGAAAAAAATTTTTAACTATGCAGGATTCAGGTGAATATATGAATTAAAAAATGTAGAGATAACAGAAATGATCGGTTTTTCGAGAAACTTGTGTAGGTTTCTACATGGATCAAGACATATTTCGGGTTCAGTCATGAAATTCATTGGTATAACATGAAGACGAGTTGAGAACCATTAGAGATTCCTTTTGCTCCAGTTTGGAATTCTTCAGACAACTGGTCGACTCAGTGCCTCCTCGTGCGTCTTTCTACGCTTCTTTCTAACCATCCTCGTTTCAAATATTAAACTTCCAGAAGAATATCCTTTAATATCATGCTGTTATCTGATAACTTTGAGTTGATTTTCTTTTTTACAGTTTGAGAGTTTCCATTATTTATTTTGGTCTCCTTTAGGCTCTTATTAGAATCCGAGATTTTTTTATCTGGAAGATATTTTATAGAAAACTATAGAGTTGGAGGGCACGATGAGAAACTAAGCACAGCACTGGCGCTCGAAAAAGCTAAGAATCATCGTTCAACGTAGGATGATTACGTAATCCCGATAACCTTCGTCTAATCATGCCCAGTGGCGTCAAAAATCTTTCAAACCAGTTGAGAATTATACATAAATCTAGCAATTTATCATTTTTTTCCTACTTTCTATTTTTCATTTTAAACACTGACCAATAGATTTCGTGGAATCTTTGACTCTTTTAATTATAACTTCCTGTTGATTTACAAGCAAAGGATGTCAAATATTTGTTCCAATAAAATAATTTTTTGTATGACGTAAAGTGTGTATAACAAATTCAATTGCATCTCATTTACATAATTACCTGCTTGAGTTGTCACTCAGCACTTAAAAGATATGTTAATACTGAGTAGGAGTAAAAGTAAAAAACATTTTAAAAAATGGTATAAGTAAATAAAAAGCTGAAATAAATTAATATTGTAATCAACTGACAAAGTTCAGTCCACGTGTTAATTGTACAATTAAAAATTCTTTAAAAATCCATTTACCAATTTTGATTATTATTAGAAAGAAATCTCGCCCCTTTTACTGCAGTAATCTCAATCTAAAAAAAGATTAAATGTCTAGAGAAAGTAAAGGAACTTTATCATCCTTGTCATTATCTGAGGAGAGAAAATGGCAGGGATTGATCGTTACATAATAAAACATTTTGCGAAATGTTTATCGCATCGTGAGTTCTCGAAACGAGAACAATAAACTGTGCAAACAGAGAACGATAAAATCGCGGCTCTATCGGTTATTTGCCGAAAGGAAGGTACGTTTTGCTGACTAAGGAAACAAATGGAAAACAGCTAGAAAAACAAAATGATTAAACATTCAATTCGACGTTCCAATTTCTCTTTAATGCAGACTAAAATAAAGGAAACTGGAAGTATTCGATTGAGGACAAAATGAGTTTAGAGAGTGTATTGGTAAGGTTAACGAACCTGATATTGTTGTCTACAATAAAAATACTTTAATTCAAATGCTAAATCCAGATTGGAAATTAACAATTAATTTGTAAATAAACAATTAATTAGAAGATCCACAGATAAAGTGGAATATAATTTAACATGATACAATGAAACTGATCTATTCAATTCTTAGAGATACTTGCTATAAATAATAATCAAGGACTAAACGTGACATGACTGTATACATTTCAAGGATGACTGTTTCTTATATTCATTGACTATCAAAGGAAATCACACGTTCGTGTCAAGAAATATTCTTATCATTTCACACAATCTGGCTTTTATCTATTCTAAATGTTTACTAACTATGGATTTTGAAGCTTCTAAAGTTGAATATCCTATGATTAACACAGTAGTAATACCACTGTAATTATTTATTGAATTTAAAAAATATCTTATCCACAGCAAAGCTTTCAAAGAAGAGATAAGAGAAAAGTAGATTCAGCAGAATTCAATCATCGATGATTATCTAATTTCACGAATACATTGAGTGTATTCAATGCGTTTCTTTTACAAAACATTTTCCACTTGTATTCTATTTTTCTTTAAGACCAATACATATTTATCGACGAAGGATCAAAAGGTGATACGCATATCTCATGTTTCTATTGTTAGATGAAATTCTTTAACACAATGAAATAGTACGAATCTACAGAAACTGATAACTGACAAATGATATATTTTGATTTTTCTATTTTTAAATAATTTTTCTGATAAGACTAAAATGACTAATCATCGAATGATGTGTGCAAAGTTATGAAATTATGAATAATTATGATTAGATAGTAGAAACTATTTTGCACGAAGTTTTATTTTTAAAAGAGAATTTCTATCAAATCAAGAACAAAATATTCAATCGTCGTTCCAGATAAAAAGCGTACAATATGTCTTGAAACATTGAATTAGTGTCATCTTCGTGACAAGTATTACGCAGCTGTCATCTAGATAACTGCAAACAGTAATTAACTGCAGGAATAAATAAACGGTTGCGCCGGAAAGCCAGACAACCTCGGGAATATTCATTCGCTTTTAATAAAATTCGATCGCTCCTCGTCGAACAAAACTTTTTCAACTACCGATCCGTTTCTTTGATCTAACTTTCGACGCTGCTTATTAAGATCCTCGTGAATATTCAAATTTTCATTTCACCTTGCCTACGAACTACCTGACTTCCCAATTTCGACCGAGAAGATCGCTCGAAAGAGACTCGGAACTATTTCTCGAGAAACGTTGAAGAAATTAGGAAACGTTTATCGAATTAATGACAATTTTCTAATTACTCCTTTCGAAACAATTTAAAAACTGAACGACACTAAAGATTTTCAATTAATATTATAACAAACCCCTATTAAATTGATCTACCTTTGCCCACAGGTTTCTCATTGACGTACAAAGTACTCCAGGCGAAAGGATGAGCAAGCAGCACACGAGGAGTGAGGTTGCCAACAGCAACGACAAGGATAAGACTCTGATAATCCTGCACGACAAGGTGTACGACGTAAAGAGCTTCTTGAACGAGCATCCTGGCGGAGAAGAGATCCTGTTGGAACACCAGGGTAAGGATGCTTCCGAGGATTTCGACGATGTGGGCCACTCGAAGGACGCGTTCGACTTGATGAAGAAATACCAGGTCGGCGAGTTGGTCGAGTCGGAAAGGTCGAATACGACCCCGAAGCTAAGTTGGGGATCACCGGACACCTTGAAATCGGACAACCAGGATCAAGGAATGTCTTCGTTGGTGGCGGTTGCCTTTTTCGTCGTCCTCGCTGCTCTCGCCTACTACGTTTATTTCTAATTAACCCTTTCGCTGCCATCACGCGCCATTATCAATGCCAAACGTTCGCTGGTGATATCGCGAGCACAGCAGCAGAACTTAGAGTATAATTTAAGCGAGAACAGGCAAATGTGCGAAGAAACTTAGTTGTATGCGATCGATACCTGATTGATTGATTTACTTCTCCCTTTATGTGGTTCCTTCTAACTTTCCAGGAATATTTTAAGATATTTGTAAAATAAGAGATGCGTTCTTGCACGTTGATGTGATTGATATTGTATCGAGGAAGAGATATAGCTAGAAATTAGCGATTCTTCTCTATGTAATGACTGCGTCAGACGTTTTTAAGTCGTATGCGATGTTTTAGCGAAATAAATGCACTTTTTACGTTTACGTTTGAGAGTTGATGAGATGAAAGCTAAAATTCGCGGTACATTAAGATTTGTAAGAAGAAGTCAAAACAGAATTTGCGTAAAAAGAAATAATTTTGCATTTTTTCGTCTGGCTTCAGCCAAGACTGGTAGAAAGGAAAACCACGATTCCATTCATCGTGACTGACCCGGGAGGATAAAACGAAATTCGCGATTGAACCACGGATTCCTCTCGAGCGGTCTTAATCGTTAAATCGGTCGATTCCAAGCAGACTGTCAAGAAGAAACATCCCGTCGGGCATTTGCATTCGAATGGCTCCTATTACAAAAGCCTCGTTACAGGTTTTCAATGAGCGGAAGAACCGAGAAAGCGACGAGATACGATCGATAGAATTCTCCTTTGCTTAGAAGTTCTATCGGTGAATACTCAACTTCATATTACTCGTGAAAATTCATGATCCTTAACGCGGCATTCAAGTATTAAAGAAAATTCTCCAGTCATAGTTTTTAATTATAATTATCGTCAATTTCATTCGCAAAAAGTATCAATCACCTGATGAAATCAAGCCATCATTCTGACCTGTTTGTCTTCGCGAAACCGGAAGAGACCAGTACACATGGCAATAAGTAATTCAATTTCCGGTGGATCGTGAACGTAAACAGGTTCGATCAATTCCCTTTTACTTTATCTGAGAAAAGGCAACGGGGTGAGTCTCGGACAAGAAGTAAGGATAATTGAGAAACGAGAAAAGCGGCTTCATCGTGTCTCGAAAACGTGGGTATAATCGATCGGGGATGTTGTATCGACCCTCTCTCGATTGCAGAATGTTTAATAATGCTTTTTAACCCTTTGTCACGTGACGAATCCATCGTTCGTCTTCGAGGAGTATCTCTGGCTCGATTGTTGTTAATCGAACGGTTGACATCGATTCCAGGGTAAAATACACGACTCTCGTCCCGTGCAGCTCGTTTGCACACGAAAGGAAAGTATCGAAAAACCTTACTTGGACATTTGTTGCTTTTCCAGACAGGATTCGTTATTCTATCTCGCGTCGAGAGGGTAAGACTTTAACCCTTTGCATTGCGATCTATTCTTATCGTTAAATAAGAATGTTAACATTAAAATAGGTAATCGAATTTTTTCATGATTTCTTCATAAACAAAATAACACATTCTTCCATGAATCTAATGAAAAATGAGATTGATCAGAATTAAGGATATCGAGAAGATAATATCATAAGTACGATTTCACGCTACTTTTACTTCATGAAATGTGTAGGTGCGATTAAATAGCTATCAAAGAATGAAATGAAGTTTCGATTCTATTTAGCGTCGCACATTCAACGGGCGAATAATTTCAGCCGACTAATTGGTAAAAAATCAAAGGAAACAAACCGAGCGAAGGCATCAACTGGAGCGAGAGAATTTAACAACGCGACGAGTAAGGTCGAAGAGAGGGGTGGAACATCCGAGGGTGGACAGAAATCATCGAAAGAAAAATGATCCTACTACGTGGACGGTAGATTTCTTCTTAACAGTTTGATCCTAAAGGTCAGGGGATCTCCCCTGTTTACTATTATAACTTTATCTTAACGATCTGATGGCCGCGTATTTCCTAGAATCTAATAAAAAGAATTCCGAGAAGGAAACCGTCAAGTGTACGGGGAATTAAGAACCATTGATCGTGGTAAAACGAAATAGGAGGAAGAAGAACGACGATCGGAAGAGTCGATTCGAACATCGGTCGGAAGTGGTCACGGAAGGCAGATGGTGTTCGCCCGACAGGAAGGATGTGTGGTTTTCCACATGTGTCAGCCGTTCGATCGGTATCGGACCATACCCGAGGGTCGAGGTGGCCAGTTCAATGAAACGATCGCGATGACGTGGTTACATTAGCCTTCTATGAGAACAGTACTCATATATAAATTCAATAATTAGCACCGTTCAACGAGATTTCAATTCATCATTTCGCGATGCGTCGACGAAAGGATAATGTGCAATCAGATCTGGATGAAATTTCACGGTGTCCTGTTTCCAGAAGGAAACTTCCTCCGTGGACAGTCTAATATCGCTAAAAGCTTTTTAATAAACAGTCTTTGAGCTGGTTACTTGCGTAAGAACACGAGGGGTTGCCTCACTCGTGAGAATCTCTCTATTGCTCTTCCTCTTACAAAGTGGAACAGGGAGGTGAATTCAATGGGGTAACTCGGAAGAAACCGAGAAGCAAGGGGAAGAATTTGAAGAGGAAAGGGATAAAGGAATCTAGTATGATGGAAATGGAATTAAAATAAGGGATGGAGAATGGAAGAAAAGATGGAAGTTCAGCTACGTAGGGAAGAAATAGAACATGGAAACAAAGGCATAGATAAACAGAAAATTTTTGACAGAAGATCCGGAAAAGAATTTAAACTAGCTCGTAGAAAAGTAAAATGGAGCCCAATGTAGGACTAAAAAGATACAATCAAAAGGAAAAAAGGTAAAGATTGGGGGGGGCAAAAAATAATGAAAAAGAAGATATCAGAATGAAAGCACGTAGCCAGAGTTTACCCTTAGCGAGTAACCGCCGCAAGGGGTTGCAAGGGGTTCGAGCAAGAAACGTATGAAAATGTGTAGCCCCGGAAAAGCGAAGGAAGAAGAAGAAAGAGGAGTGAGAGGAGGGTTGCTGTTTATTTTACGAAGTAGCTAAGACATACGATATTGTCCCTGGCAAAGTGGTTCCCGTTTCGTCTCTCACCCCCTTCCACCCCATGTCTGTCTGTCTTTAGTTTCCCACACCCTTACAGCAGCTTTTCTGCGAAAAGCATAAATTACCGTCGAGAATTATGGTGAAATGACACGCGAGATCTCGTTCGCTTATCTCTTTCCTCGCGAACCCACCCTCTCTTGGGGAGTTGGTCACCAACAGGGTGCCAAGCACACTTTTTTTTTCACCTTCGCGACTTTACGTTTCGCCGTTAAAGGGTGTACACCGCGTATTATGTAATTATCAGAGGGAAAACGCGTCGAACGAGATCTCGAGATTACAAGAGCGTGTTATTTCGCGAGGAACTTTGAAGAAAAAAGAACACATTGCTACCTGTGAAACAATTGACATGTTCTTCCACGAATCGAATACGGGGTTTTAGGGTAATCTCAGGGTAACTTTTGAAAATCGTCCAAGGTAAGAACGTGCGCGCTCGCAGGGTTGCTTTCTTGAAGAGAATTTCTGTTATTGCAATTTCAATTACCTCTGAATAATACACCTTGTGATTGTAAGTGAATTACCGAGCTGTTTTTAGGGTGTGTAGTTTCGGATGAATTTCCGTCAGTTGATTTTATAACAAAGTACGTTCACCTTTTAAAAATAAATAGCATGTTAAACGAAGCGACTAAGCACGGGGTTACACGGGTGCATAGGTAATCCAGGTCCAAGTAATTTTCGAACAGACATTTCATCTCTGAAGTGGCGTGCTTTACGATTCCACGAAGCTGCACAAACGACCACGTGGAATATTAGAAATTTAGCCGAGCTCGTTACGAGATGTTCATCCTCCAGAGGAAGCCAAGAAACTCGATTCGAGAGTTTCATCTAGATGGAATTCATAAGAATAAAAATACTACCAGACATTTCCCAACTAAATTTCTCTCCAGGCACAGCAAATTCCAACGTCAACTCGGTGACGTTTAGTTTGAAAAAAAAAAAATTCAATCCTGAATTTCAATTTCAACGGATTAAACGAGATCTGTGACAATTTTTAAAAAGAATTTAGGAAATCCAAATGTGCGAACGAGAATGGAGGAGAATTGGTAGGAAAACGTGGCAAATAGAAAGTGGAACAGAGGAAAGCGATAAGATCGAAAAACCTCCCCTGCAAAGGCCTCTTCTTCGAGGAAGGTTTCTCCTTCGTTTTACTCCTACGTGCTTCTGATTCGCCTACTTTGACACGATTAAATGAATTACATCACGAATTACGCCATCGTCTCGCTAATTTGTGGAGGATGAATTTAATTGTGTCGGTGATTATGAAAATTGTGCCAGCCGCATACTTCACAAAATTCAACACTACGTTTTTAGGCCAATTTATTCACACGTTCGATTCAGTAATTTCCCAGCTGTCGGGAAATAATAAATATTCAACTTGAAATGAATAATATATCTCGAAGGGGCTTTATTCCGAAGAATCCACGTGGACGAGTTAAAGCAAGAAACAGTTAAAAGAAGAAGGGAAAAAAAGAAGCATTCAACTGAAAGCCTTCACTGCACAGAAGAAAGAATGGCTGGAGCAATTACAACGTGTTTGTTTCGAGAAACTTTCCCAGTTTCAGCCAATCCCGCCAACAGCAAGAGAAACCCAGAAAGAAATCTCTTAAAGACTTCTCCTTTTTCCCTCCCAGGCAAACTTCCAACCGCCTACCGAGAGTTAAAAGAAAAATCCGATCGAAATCAAATCAACGTGCGAGCACTACCGGAATGTAACACGTGTTTCTGTAGTACCTTTGATAAAACAGTCTCTTTTCCCAATGGATTCAAATAGGGATTGAAAAATTACCACAAATCAACAAACTCGAAAAATGAAATATAAAATGTTTTTAGAGAACTTGTATGATAAATATTAAAAAAAAAAAAAAAGAATTAAATTGAAAGACACGTACCCATTTTCGTGGAAAATCCCATGAAAAATGAAAATTCCAATCGCAACGTTGATAAGGCACCAAAAGAAACGAATCGTGATAATTGAAAGAAAAGCTGGAATAGTAAAATGGAACACGAAGAGGTCAGCTGGTGGATCCTCTCGCGTGCACGACCGACCGGCGACTGAAAAGGCAGAGGGTTCGAAGGACTGTCATGCGCCCCTGATTCCGCTTCGTTCGCTGTTCAGACTCCACCCACCTTCATTCATCCAGGAAGGGAATTACCAGCGGTTGCTTTTCATTATTCCAGTCTTAACGTGTAGCTTTGCAGCCTGCCCTGAACACCATAACCCTCGGGAAAAGGGAAAGTTTTACCCTGACGGTTACTGGGGGGTGCAGAGACGGGTGGTACTTCCTGCTTCTTCAAAGTACTAAGCATAACATCCTTAGGGTGATGTTTGAAATTTCTAACTAATTTTGGTACTTGAATTCACAAAACAAACCCGGTAATTTTCACGCGTACTCTGTTATATTACAAGAACCATGAACCCCATAAAATATGAACGAATTCCAAAATGAATTCAACTGGCGAACGTGTTAATCTTGTCCTACGACATTTTTATTACAATGGGACCAGCGTGTAAAATGAAAATTAGTAAAGACCACCAGGTTTCTCGGAACGAAAAGGCAAGCAGGGAAAATCGAAGGAAGGTGGTCGCACGTGAAAAGCTCCTGTTGCCGCGTGTCACAAGGTCCGAGAGGAGGCATTTGCACCTGGCGATAGCAGCTGTTGGAAACCGTCCGTTACCTGGTTCGCCAGCAGCAGCACCTGTTCGGATTGCGTGCCGCGTGGACCTTTGAGAACTGGCCCATAGCAACACATGTTGCTGAGGAAAAGCTGAAGCCTGTCCTATTAGGGAAGCCACGATAAATATCCTCGACCAACGAAACCTGATACTTTTGCCTCTTTTTTTGGATAAATGAAAAAAATACAAAATGACTTTTCCGGAAAATTTTCCACCCTACGTGTATTTTGTTTCTCGATAAATTTGAGAACGGCCCTCGAGTTCGACTCTCAGACAATACGTCGGCGGCAGATAATAAATGTATCGCGTGTGTATAATTATGCGGCTGGTATTTTCCTGGAATTAATTTCGAGCTTCCCTGGGAAGAGGCTTTTTTCACCAGCTGCTTCGCGAACCACGCGGCCAACCCCTGCCGTGTCGCGCGGTTATTTAGGAAGCACGAGAGAAAAGCCACACCGAAGGGGGTTGAAGAAGAAACGCATCGCGAGAAGCAATTCCGCGCTTTTTACGCTCGTGCCGCGGTTCCCATGGAATATTTCCAGCTGGAACTTCGACCAGACGTTCGAATCGTCCTTTTTCTTTTCATTCACGTTACTCAAAGAGAGTGTTCGTCTTGTTAAATAAATAATGTGACACGCGAACAGTTTGAGACGCTTCAGAAACGCAAAATAGAAAAGCAATTCGTATTCACCTGTGACTCGACGTCGCTCGAAACAACCAATTTCGTATCAAGAAATCGAGAAGAGAGTCTCGTCTCGCAAACGGCAAGTTTTATTGCTAGCATCGGCAAAGATATCCGGAATCGGTATCACAATAGGCGTCTCTATCGAAGCAGAACTACTCGAAAGATTGCATGCGTGTTAAGGGTGCGTCGGTTATTGTTGATAGACGCTTTGGCAAAATTGAAAGAAGAGAGTGTTGCAACCGATCGACGTAACTAGCGTCGAGTACAAAAGGGAAATGTACAGACAACGGTATGAAAACGGATCCCAGAGAACCGCGAGGCCATTAAAGTTGAGATTAAGTTCATAGCTGGCTTGACACGGATCACCCACCCCCTTTACTCCTCTGACGACACTCTTCGAGTTTCCTTTGTTTGCCTGGAAATTCCTTCGAATTTACCGAAACTAACAACCCCTTTGATTGTTTCCAAGCACGAGTACCTTGATCTTTCTTTACATTACGCGTATCACAATCAGAGTATCAATATCAATTTAACGCTTTTCGATAAAAGATTTTCCAGTCCATATTTCGCTAGTTTAGCAAAGAATAGGGGATGAATCTTGGAAGGAAAAAAAACGAGGAATCATTCAGAGTCGATAAAGTTACCCGTTCCAAGTAGCGATCGAAATAAAACGATTCGGCGACGTCGCCGAGTGGCGGTGCCGTTTCTTCATCCCCTTACCCTTAGAATAGCAGAACAGGGGGTGGTTATCATTTGCAACCGCTGCTTTCATTATCTTCGACACACGGTTTTCGAGACACGTGTAGCCGGTAATCTTGAGAATAATTAATTCAGGTCGCGTGAATCGATTTTACGTCGTTCTAAAGGAATCTCGAGGGTGTGAAATCTAATGGGACAAGAGGGATATCGAAATCTTTTTCAAATATAGTTCAATGTAAAGAAAAAAGGGATTAAGAGAGATCGTGGAAACACTTTGGGTGCTCGAAAAAATCGCGGCGAGTGTGTCAAGAATCGAGGAAAGAAACGAGAGAAAAGGGAGATGGCGGACGTAGTTTAGAAGAAAAGTCGTGGCACTCGAGAATGGCCAGGACAAAAGGTCTGCATCGTTCGGTTTTACCTCTTCTCTGTGAAACGCGAAAAAACGTAACGAGCCACTTGGCCACGTTGCATATTCCACAGGCCGGATATTCCAGCCTCGTTGTTACGTAAAATCTGGCCACCATTCCTACCTGAGGACTCGCTAATTGAAAGGGGCTTAATTGTCATTTTCGACTGCTTTGTTTGTCAACCTCAGACTTTCTCTGTTTGTTTAAAAAGCTTCGACTCGGTCTTGGAATTCTTTCAACGATAGTCAAGACGCGTACACACGCACACACTCTGATAAACTTTCATTTTAATTCATCCACTCATCAGTTTTTATACAATGAACATCTTAAATTTACTTACTTACGAATGGAAAAACATCCAACACCGAGAAAAGACATATTTTATTTCTTCCTTCGAGTTTTATTACTATGATTGGACATATGTCCATTAACGTTCCGCCAAATTTTCCATGCAATGGTAATTGAACGCAAATCGAATGAAAGAAACGGTTATATTAAGTCGTAAAAATGAGGAAAACGACAGGAAATGTTGAACGATTTCCTCATTATCCTCGTACTCGGTGAATACATAGATTTATTAGCGAGTCTTGTGCAACTGACTGTTCAAGTTGAGGCAGAAACAGCGAGGAATCTGATTCCTTAAGCAGGAAATACCGATCATTCTGAACGTTTACTCGTGTCAAAATCTTAGAAAACGTTCTTGAATTTTACGAGGTAATATTTCGTACTAATATCAAGTAAACTCTACTCTTTTCTGTATTTAAGATAAAATATCTGTGGCCTCAATAGTGTATACGTTGAAGGCCTTGGCACAAGTCGAACATGACAATCGCAAAAACTACGTTAAATGGAAAATGACTCACCTCGCGAAGCTCCTTGATCTTTAGCCCTCCTTTGCCAATAATGCATCCAGCTTGGCTCTGGTGCACCAGCATACGTACATCGATTTCATCGCTGCCATGGCGCGATCCATTCTGAAAATTAATTAATCAAATACTATATTAAGCTGAAGAGAAATTAAAATTGCAGCTTTGTCTTGAAATGCTCATTAATTCACATAACGCAAGAACAATGCATCAACCTTTTATTAAAATGCTTCAAAGGAGCACACCCATTCACATTCTCTTATCAAAATTTCATTAACGATCGAATGGAAATTCTAAAATTACTACCATTGTTCTAATTGATTCTATTATTCCTACACGGGCATAGACTAAAGACATCGTTTGTGTTTCAATGGTCTGTAGTATAGAAAAGTTCTATTTTTCTTTTTTTGACAATCTACGTCTATCTACAGATCAAATACAATCATTCAATTATCGAACGTGTACAGGATGGATCAGTATTTTGGCTGAAGGGAAATTAATTAAAACATATTTAAAACGAAAATTGAACTTTCACCCTACATGTTATCCTTTGATCATGACGCTTTAAAAATTAATTAACATGTTAATTAATTACTGAACCAGCCTGTATGCAATTTGTCCCATGCAGTTGAACCAAGCTTCAAACAAAAACACAAAGTAAAATTACCTATTTTCTTCCATAATTAAAATTTCATACTCAAAGTTCAAGCATCATCTAAAATAATAAACATGAAAAATTATAAAATGAAATTTAAATGCTGTATGATCAGTTCAAACCGCACAGGACAATTCTCTACATTATGAACGACCGTTTGAACGAGAACTCTACTAAGATAAGAAGAAAACAATGTGAAAAGTCTCACGATTGAGTCATTTCTTTTCCCGTGTGATCCTCTTCTGGTAGCAACACTCACCTCCTCGAGATTAGGTACGACCTCGTTCAACACCTGAAGAACAGTGGGCAGATCCGAGCTGATTGTAAGCACCCTAGAATCAAAAGAACTCCGACAATCATTCCGGTTCTCGATCAATTAACACGCTTATCATATAATTGTTCCTTTCAATTTTCTTTTATTTTAAGCCAGCTTTATCGAATCGCGCCAATGAAATTCCACGGAACCCTCTTCTCCCATTTCGTGGAAAATCAATCGAGGATTCAGTATCCCTTGAAGAGGTTCGTAAGATGATTAAAATTTAGAAAAATTTTATAATTTTGACTGATACGATTATCGAATGGTATTGAGAAGTTTTTCAAACCTGAATTTGGAAGGAGAAACAATTTTCTCACTGGAATATTTTTCAGGCAATATCGAATAACAAAAGTTGTATTTTTGAGAAAAGATTTTTCAAAATTGAATTTTGAACAAGAGACAACATTTCATATGAATGTTTTGAGTATCGAGAAAAGAAGATCGATCAGTATTTTCCATGCACCCTTTCGAAATTGAACAGAACAGCGACTTTTATCAGAGAGAAGTTCGAGGAATTTTTCACTGAAGGGAGAGAATCGTAGTGATTTTATTGTTCGCGATTCGATAAATCGCGAAATGATTTTATTTGTTGCTCTGAATTTCAAGATGCACTCGAAGGAATACAAAAATTTGATTTTTCTATTTAGAAGGATCTGTAATGATCTGACAATTTTGAAGTAAATTAGTTTTCAATTGCTATTTCTGATAATTATTATAATTAGAAATAACAATTAACAAAGTTATCAAGACTGATAAGTTTCTTAAAAATGTAAAATATATTAAATTTGTAAAGCTAAACACTTTCACAAAAGAAATGAATTCCTTCAAACGCATTGTTCATTTTCGTAATCTTCTTTAACACCCTTTCCTCGATCCCTTTTCAGCAAAACCGATCGAGAATCGCTTCGAGATCGTTTCTCGTATCAAACGAGTAAGAAAAACGTGAAAATCGTTTCTAAATCTCAAGCTTCGAGCACTCACGAATGGTGTACAATTTCTCGCGTGGTTACTTGTTAATGTTAACCATCGTCTGGACAAAGACTAGCGTTAGAACCAGCAACCATGTACCTCCAAAATTTCTATGCTTTACCTTCTATTCATATTCTATATGAAATCGATTCTGTTTCAACAATGTCTCGTTAATTCAGTGTTAATTCGAGTAGTCACGTATTCGTTGAAAACAGAGGAAAAAAATGGAATAGTATCGAAGAAAATTCGTTTTAAATCGAAACAGTTACTTTAGAGAGGAAAATTTTTGGCGAAATTAAGAAACATTCGATCATCGAAATTAAATTACAATTTATTGCGAAACCTTTTGGGACGCATCGAGATGAAAAACTGAAATGTCCCTTTCTTTTTTTGGATCTGTTCAAAGATTCTTGCTGATTAATCTGTAATGAACGTGCTCGGCTATAGACAGCCGCTAATTGGGTCTGATTGGATCTTGAAAAGACTTCTTTCGGATCGTTTATCCGGAGAAGAAATCCTTGAGACTGGTAGAAACGATTGAATACTGGGTCGATGGATCAATGGCAAAGAGTTTGCAAATCGTTTTAAAATCATATCTGATATATTCTGAATAAAATTGTCCAAGTTTTTAAGAAGTAGTATTAATTTTACAGACTTGTTGCTCTCCTTTTAATATGGAACAAGCGAATAGAACGAGTCATTACATCGAGGATTTCATCAGTAATTGCTCTCATCGACTAATTTAATTAAGTAGGGCATTCGTAAACTGATAGCTTATTTTATTGACTGGACAGTATTAAGATATTTATCGAAGAATTTACAGAGAATTTAATTCGCTTATTACTGTAATTCCACGTATTTATAAAATAATTAATCTAATTATTGTGATTACTGCTGCTGGCCTGCTGTTTATCGACGGAAAAAAAAAACGTATAATTTCCAATCAAATTCAATCGTGTCTACCATTCTCGTAAATCCCAAATTTCCCCACAGCGATGCGGAAATCCTCTCAAGAAGGATTAAAACTCGATTGGGTATTCGCCACGTTTATGGTCCCCCCAAAAAAGAACACGAAAACAAGCGTGCATTATTTTCAACCCTCTCGTTGCTGCTCGACTAACCCTTCTAATTGCTGCTCAATGAATCGTAAGATATGCAGAAGAAAAATAAAGATGCCTGACACTTAATCTACCGGAAGCTTACTAATAAACTTTTCGATACCAGCAGTTATTGATTGAAAAGGCAATTAACAGATGCTTTGGTTATTAACCTTTTAAGCGATGTGGATGTATACAGGGTGTTCGATTGCGAATGGAAATCCCTTGAGGGGTTGGTAGCTGGGATGATGTTGAATAATTTCTTCCTTCACCGGAATGCTTGTTGAATATTAATATTTAAATTATTAATTAAAAACACTGAATAATCAAAACACACATAGAGCATAGGCTCAACTGCGCGAGTATCAGCTACGAGAACCTGCCTCGGCCGTAGTTGTTTACAAACTAATCGGCGATGCGTCGCGCTCGGTTCGCAGCCAACACTCCCGTGGCTGAGCATGCGCGCTATGCTATACTCGGTGTGTTTCATTAATAATTCGAAAACCAAGCTCTAATGAGAATTTTGGCAAAGGAAAAAAATATTAAGAATCACCCCAACTACCACCCGTAATCGAACACCCTGTATACAATTATCAAAAAATAACTATTCGGCAACGAAAGGATGAAACACTATCTTTCAGAATAAATATTATTAAAAATATGAAATATTTATCCAGCACACTATTTCATTTCACAAACCGTGAATCGTTTGTGGCACCCACGTGTCACCCTTTAAGTAAAGGGTTCGAATGCTGTGAAAGCACGCACAGACATAACATGTCGTTAATAACTTTTAACTGTAGGATGTTCAACCCTTTCATCGCAAACCGCGTATATATGCGTCTTAAAAAATTTGACGAATATCATTGCAATCGAAACGAGAGTAACGAACGATGTTTGGCCGATCGATTTGCGATTGAAAGGGTTAATCGGCAAAGCGTATCGTTGGCAGGACGACGATGACGATCAGCGAATTGGCCGCTGATCGTGGGCGTACCTAAAAAAAGTAAGCGTGTCAAGTCGACAATTAAGCGTGGAATATCGGCAACAGTTTGCCTTGTTCCACGGATTAGCAGCATCCGTGTTAGCCACAATATATTAGAGAGAGACACAACGGTGATAACGTATCCCCGACAATAAATATATCGTGAGTGTGGTTTTCTGCGTGTGTGGTGTCGGGCGTGTCGTTCGCGGCGCGAGACGATCCGTACAGAGAAACGGATAAAACAAAGAGAGAAAGACCGTGAAGAGATACACAAACAGAAACAGACATAGAAACAGAGAGAGAGAGAGAGAGAGGAAGGAGAGAAATTTTATAAAAGAACGGAACGATCGAGGAATAATGGAGAAGAAAGGGTGTTACTCGCGTGTCTGTGCATGTTTTCCTCATTTTTAAAATTCCTCCTAAAATTTGGTCATCAGTATCATTGGCCGAGTCGTCCAGGAAGTAGAATTCCTTCTGGACGATATCCTGGTGAGAACGAAGGACAACCAAGAAGAAGAGGAGAAAGTCGCTCGGCGAACAAAGAAGAGGCAACAGACATTATCCGACCCCTCCTTTTGATGGACCTTCGATCCTTGCCAGGTTTGTTCCCAACAAAAGCTACAGGACAGATCGCGGATTCAGAGACACGGTGAGCAACAGAGAACAAGATGAAGAAGAATCCGAGGAGACGAGGAGAAAGGAGAGAGTGGATTCAAGTGGTGGAGGACATGCAACCGCAGGTGGTGTGGCAGGTGCGGTCACGAAAAACACATCGTCCAGGATATACGCGTCTCGTGTGCTGCTACTCGTTGAAAAGCATCGCTTATAAAGGTCAATCAACTAATCGCTCGCAATGAATCATCGTGAAGAGGATAATAATCGAGGACGCGTAAAACGAGGTTCAGAGATGCTCAGGCGGAAGACGAACACAATACTTTCAGCATTATGAAGAAAGGTCGCTTAACACCTTATTAATTTCTCAAAAAATATATCTTCTTTTTTATATCGAACAAGAAAAAGGTTAACAGGTTTCGTACCACGTGGTCCACAGATGGTTAATCTATTCACTGTGGTATTTCCTTTACCACGAATCGTTCACTTCAAATTTGATAAATTATTTATTTATTAATACGTTTCGATCTTTCGCCATGAGCCGCGAATGGTTCGCCGCATGGAACGTGTTAAAACGAGGCAAAGGCAGACAGGTACAAGAAAAGAAAACTAAGGAAGACAGTGAAGGTAGGACAATACACAAAAAGAGAATCACAGAAAAAAGAAAATAGAGAAACAAAAAGAAACAGACAGAGAGAAAAATAGAGAATAATAAACGTGGATACCGTTCGACTGATACAACACAGCGATCCACGTATCGCTGCTAATTAAGATATTCTTTTTTTTTTTTTTTAATTAGAGACAAAGAAAAATAAGACATTAAGTAGTGGTGTTGGTCATTACCGTTCGGGTCCGGGGCAATCGGGTACAATGATTGAGGCTTTGTACTGTCGGGCCGTGGTGGTTGGTGGTTGGTTCATTGGTGGTTGGTTGGTGGTTGTTGTCGATTGTTGGTAGGGTGGTCCATTTGCCGATCGAGTCAGGGTCCGTCGTTCCGGGCAGGGCAACGGCAGGGCAACGGCAGGGCAACACCAGGGGGGCAACGCCGGGGTTGGGGCGGGGCCAGGGCACAAATCATCAACCAAGTTAGACATCACGTCTCTCACGGATGGATTATAATCGCGGCTTAATCTTCTAAATCCCTCCTCTCCTTTCCGCGGATTTCTTACGCGATATCCCACCCATTCCTACCTACGTTTATTTCTATTTTATTTTTTAAGTGATCGGAGAAACATTTGCAAATTCGATCGTACGGTTAGACAACAATGGTCTGCGAGGAATCCAAGCCCATTATTTTCCGGGTACTTGTAAATATTCTGTAAACGCTTTTAAAGCCCATCCCACCTTTCCTTTCCGCAGTTAATTGACGCTGGCTGAACCTCGACGTCGATGCTCGCAACGGCATTTCAATTGCTAACGAAGCCCGCTTAAGCGTGGCTAATTAAAGGAAGTTTTAATAATTAACTTGCAATTTCGCGGAGCGCTCGGACCCTTCCTACTCCGAGGCTCGTCGACTACGTGGCTCGAATTATGAATCTGCTAATCGTTTACCGCAAAGTGTCAACCCTTTCGCAGATAATCAAATTATTTCTATGCGCTCTGTAATTCTAATAAATCCACTTAAATTTACAATATCGTTTGCAAATATTTCTCCATGTTAATGTATGCACGCGGCGAGTATCGCGAATGTTTCCGAATCCTAATCGTCCAACGCTGTCTAACAACACAAGCAAAACCATAAAATTCTCCCACAGCGACGCACACGATTTCCCCATACACATTTAACGCGACAATCGCTACGGGGGAGCTCGCTGCAAAGGGAACCACCTCTATATATGTACACTTAAAAAAAGAAAAAAAAAAAAGAAAATTGTTTCCCCGGTGAGACTCCATTTTCCCAGAGATTTTCTTCTCTCTCTCTTTCGCTCTTGAAGGATACCTGGCCTTCCACCTTTGGGTCACGCAGGTGCGTTTACCTACGAATCTCAAAATTGACACGCGAAACATCGCCTCTCGGCCGTATTATTTTTTACGATCAGGGACAAAATTAAGCGGAGATGGGTGGTTTGTATTTGCTTAATTTTCCTTCTTTTTTATTCTAAATAATACAAAGCGACCCGCGTATCAAAGATACATTAATTATCATTAAGCAATCTCGTTGCTCAACAATTATGTGCCAAGGTGTACAACTTAGTTTCCTCACAGAAATATTTATTCAAAGCTTTTTAATTATCAAATTAAACAAACACATTTCCCACGTCGAGTCCAGTCCCCGATTTGTCCCTGATCTTATTTCTTATCGCTGTCTATCGTGTATAATTAAAAAGAAAAAAAAGGAAAAAAAAAACAAAAAGAAATAATCGTGTGTATGGTGTTCGCGATCGAATGTGATCTGCATATGGGTGGTTTTCGTGTGTTCCTCCTCGAAATCGAAACACGAGTTTAAGGACCGTCTAAGAGAGCTTAAGCTCGCGTTTGAAACCGCTTCGGTTAATTGTCGAAAGCGTTTTCGAAGCATGGCCCCCGCAAGCGAGAAGCTCGCGATTCGGGGCTGATTACCTCGCGTGCCCTACTTTTACGCTCTGTTCCTCTTGATCATTTGGTTCGTGTGTAGGGTGTCTCTTTGGTGTCTCAAGGCCGGCGATAAATAAAAAATTGCAATGAAAAACAATCGACGTTACGCAAGGAAACCGATCGACAGGCTAGCGAGCGTAAAAACCTGTTGCAGGATTCAATCGAATCGAACATACGTGGAAATAAATGTTTAATACATGATATGTTGATAATCTGACGCGACTGGCCTTGAAAATGTCGTTCAAACTGAAAGTTGATGAATGTCAAGCGGTGAAATTTTGATTTTATACGAAAAATTTGCGAGTTTTTCGAATTTCAAATCCTGTTTTCGATTCGCGCGATAGAGCAACAGGCCTTACTCGGACGCTCGAGCCTTTTTAATCAAGCGTTCAGGGACGAATGCAGTATAACACGTCCACCGTGTTTTCTTGGATCACGATCGTCTCGATTGCACCGTAAAGGCCTCTGTAACACGATCGAGAATCAAGGAAGTAATCAAGCGAACGCAACGTGTCGAGCACGAATTATTAGACGCGCAGGAAACTGCCTACTTCAAGAACCAAATGCTCGATGAAGATATTTCATACACGTACGATGCATTTATTGAATTACATTGAATTACATCGTACGTAGACGCACACGCTCATACATGTACACACGATATCCGAAATTTCCCTAAGATTCCAGCTAACTAAATCGACCGAGAATCGACGAGAAATACGGTTCGCCTGATCGAACATATCGCGAGAAGCTCGTGAAAATAAATATTCTCATCGATGCGGAGAGGATGAAAAATCAATCGAACGCTGAATCAAGGAATCGATCGTGTCTAACTTTAACATTCTATTCTCACGATCTTCTTCTTTCGTCTATAATATATATTGCCCTCTTTCGTCCTTCGAGAATCTGATCCCGAGGGAAGAAGAAGGGATAGGAATAAATCGATGAAGGTACAAAAAGGCTTACCTGACTTCTCAGTTTGGTGATGTTTTGGCCACCCTTGCCGATTATCGAACCGGCTACCTGTAACAAAAGATTGTCGCATATTTTGCTTAAAATTAGAGAAAATCAGGTTGCGATTTGAAAGGTTTGATCGTTTAAAAATTCCTTAGAACTTGAAAAGTTAATTTTAATTTCCTCCTTTCGAATTTCGTGGGAATGAGAAAGATAGCAGAAGGTCGGATCGGTGGGATAAGTTGAAGGTGCGCAGGTTCCAGTGATTAGAGGCGATAAGTTGATCAGGCTATTGCAAAAGAGCACGCAACGGAGGTGCGCACAATCCACGATAATTGCCTTCTCCGTCACCGTGAATGAGTTCACTCTGAAAAGGAACGATCCCAACTTCCATACACTCGATTGACCCTGACACCGACACGGGGATCCGAAGATTGCGTGGTCAACGACGATCAACCGCGATCGATATTGTGTTCGATCATTGGTGCGTAACCACCTGTGCCTCGGCATCGAGATATCGATGAGAAAGCGAACGAACGGAACGAAAGAATCGATGAAAAATCCAATCCTCGTCGCGATGACTGCGCGTTTCATTATCGAACGATGAGATTTTCATTAAAAAAGAAAGCGGAAACACGGTTAGAACGAAAGGAAAATTATGAACGTGTCACCGCGAGTTGGCACAAGCGTCAGCGAACTTTTACTTTAACAATAACGTGTACGAGCTATCGGAAAATCAAATGGAAAACGGTGAGAAAAATGGTAGAGTTACACGCAGATATATCAGGAAGCCTTGTACGGCGAGGTGAAACGGCTGGAAAACTTCTCCTTTGGAGATTCAACGGGAAAAACATTTCCCATTGCTCCGGACATCGTGAACATCGGTCAAAGCGAAACGTGAAAGTAAAAGTTTGCTTTCTTCGGTACAACAGCTATTCGATACATCATTCAACAGAAATACGAATCATAAGAAGAGTTCTTTTCGATTCGATCACCAGCGGAAAGAGCTACGTTTATTTCAATTTGAAAAGCTTCCAGGAAAAACGCTATTTTCCTATTCTAAATTGACCGGAATGCTTACCTTGCTGGGAATAAGAAGACGGAGTTCATCGTCACCCTGTCTGTAACGCTTGTGAGGACTTGTTGGCCCTCCAGAACCTGTCATGGCGCCTGCATCAGCTTCTCTCTTCATTATACCTGTAACAAAAACATTTAATCACCGTTCAATCCATCTAACAACGATCAAGGACCGACATCAAAGATAATAAATTAATGTTCACAGCGGCGATTGAAGATGAAAATCATCCATGTGGTCCAATTAAATACCGTGACCCAGAAATTGAAATTTAATCCAGATAACTCCGGCAAAGGAGTTCAATTAAAAGTTTACGCCGCGTCTAATTTTTAATCGCATCCGTAGCGGAAAGTATAACGAATGGACGATGTAATTGGACAATAAATACACGCGACACGATCGAAATTTGTCCCCGGTCAAGAGGAAACAGAGCTTCCCCTCGATTTCCAGCTACGCACGATGGCTCGACCCGGTCCGGAAACAGCGACGTGCACCGCGATTCGTAATAAACCAATAAACACGTTTCGTATTCGCGTAACCCCTCCGTTTGCGGAGAACACTGCATAATTTATTGTCCGTTAAATCGGCTCGGTTGGTTTAATGACGTGGAGAGCATGGAAAACCGATGGAACGCTTCGACCTATTCACGCAGAAACACGATCGTTCGATGGACCCTCTGGAATCTAACTTCTAATGAAATAAATTTCAGAATTTTTAAACGGAGAATCCGCAACCAGAAGTTATGAAAAATTTCACCATTGGAACCAGGCTTTTAGCCGATGATTTAAGAAACCTCGTTTAACCGCTAGAAAGTGTTTCGCGGACGGAGATGTTTCTCTTAAAACACACAGAAAGTGTGGAAACGTTTCCTTCGGTCGATGGATCGATGGAAAAGTTTCGAGGCGCCTAAAAATCACGTCACCGACGAGCTCTGTTTCACCAACGAGGAATGTTCATTAAGCTTTCCAGGTATTTGGGAAGCGAGAAGGTTCGTTAAGAAGATAAGAGCGTAAGAGTGTAATTCTTCGTTAGAAGCTGAGAGCTCTTCACCGTTCGGTCCGTAAAGGTTTCAAAATCCCTTCACCATTAATTTCGTACCCGGAAATCCTTGACCATCGATCCCGGCCGTTAGAAATTATTCATTAGTCGCGCAGGCCTAAAGATCCCCGGTTCAAAATTCGACGATCGATGATGAAACGATCGCGAAGAACTCCCGTACGTTGAAATCGTCTCGAAAACGAAGCGGAACGTGACGGGTTAACGATGATACGCGTTTCGCATGGAAATGAAACCGTGACACGATTACAAACTCGTGAATCAGCACCGACTGATGATTTCGTAGTGTATCAATCTAATTATCTTTCAATTATTAGAGAAAATTTTTCATTTTTTCCACCGGTAATCTGTTTTCGTGATTCGTGCAAAGAGCTTCGGCTAAAAATTGAAGAGACGAGCAGGCATCTACGAAAAGGAAAAAAAGGAAAACGAGTGCTACCGGACGCGAATCGATACTCGAGCAGTCGACACGCGACGTTAATAATTTACCGGAGCGATTCGAAGGGTGACCACCCCCCAGCCAGTGCGATTCGTCGTTTCGATTTCATTGCGGTCGCGGTTCAAGTAAGCGACGGGAAAACCGAGTTCATTTTCTAACCCTTTGCTGAAACTAGCTTGAAAGGGTTGCAGACGACGAAACGAACCGTGTTTCTTTTTCATTATTGTCCGAGAAAACGATGAATATTAATATCTCCGAGGAGATTTCATGGGAAATTCGAGTCGGTAACGTTGTTTACCAATTTCGAACCACGCCTTTTTCGTGAAAAATACGGGCAAGCAATTTCCTGCGGCGTCGAAGCGACGAAAGGAATTTTCGTTCGTTCGAGATCAATTCCGAACGTCTCGAACGCGATCGATCAGCAGATTTCAACCCCCTCGTTGAAACGAGCTTCAAAGGAACACGGATACGAAATACGATTGATGAAGTAGGAGGAATGATTGAGTAGAGTCGAATTTTTTTTCGCCTACCTACGGAGAATAATTAATATCACCGTTTGGTAATTAATTCACGGTGGAATCGGGTTGCGTTCGAATAAAGTTATATAATACAATTCATAGGGAGAGATTGAAATTGTGAAAATACCGAGTGAAACTCGAGTGCATCACACATGGATAACTTTTACTGGGCGTTGCACACAGGCTCGGTTAAACGTGATGCAGTAGAACGCAATTAAATTGAGCGGACAATGACAGCGAACCGGGCTGAAATTTCCCTAAACTAATTTGATACCATTGTTTTAACAGTGAAATTTTCGAGCTCTAATAGAGTTGGAAAATTCAATAAAATTCGACGATGTATCTTACAGATAATGAAAAAATATCGAACTCATTTAAAGCTGAAAAACGATACGAAATCTTTCTCGAATCTCCGCTCTGTTATATTTAAAAAGCGATAAATAATCTTCGCGAATCGACAAGTTTGATCGGAAGCGACGGAAGTTACACGACATTTCTTGGAACATAATTGATTCGCAAACTTGTTCGCGAACAACTAGCCGACTTTCATCGTTATCATACAGAAGAGCAATTTATTTCTGCAAGCACCGTCATGTTTTCAACAAATAAGCAGCGTGCGTGACCGGCTCGTGTCGTGACACGAACTCGAAAAGACCTGCTACGTTTCTGCTCGTCCAGCCATCGCCAGGGGGGGTGTAACCAGTCGATCCGTCGTTACTCGTGGGGGAAAAAACGAATGATAAAATAATAGGGCGATGGGGAGGGTAGTTTTCCGCTTGGTACATCGATATTTAGTGGCGGTGCTGAATTTATGAGCTTCCATACTTTTTCGCGTAAAAACATGCAAGAAACATTCCACCAAACGTGGCAGAGATTTATCACGAGTCTGGGCGATATTTTTCGATGACCCAATTTCAATATTCAATTTAGATTATAAAATTTTCTTCAATCACGGGGCGGAAGTTTATCGAGGTTCAGATTCCCGGTTCAAGTTCACTGAGTTCAAGCTGGTCGTTGCTCGTAATTGCGGTCTCCCTTCGATGCCCTCTATTCGTCGTGTCCCTGTTATCAGCCCTGCGACCCTTGGCGAGTGGCGTGCGTACCGGTTATGGACTGGTTAGTCGATGCACTGCCGTCGCCGTTGGACTCTTCGGCGCCTCACGCTACCCTAGTTGCAGACTCAACGGCGCCCCTTTTCATCCCTTCCTCCATCTCTCTTTTTCTGCCCTTTCACGCAAATATCCCGGTGACGCGTGTCGAGAAAAGCAAACGGGTTGATTAGATTTCCGTTACGAATAATTGATACCTTACCGATTGGAATTGGCTATCAATTGATAGAAAATATAATCCTCCGTTGAATTCGAGTGTACCGGAAGGAGAAAGCAACGAGGAACTATTCCAATTACGTTGGAAATTCGAATGGAAGAGAATCCGTGGAACGCGCGAATCGAGGGTTACCGCCTCTTGTCGCGATAATTCTACTTCTCTTGGTAGTTCTACGGTCCGAGTAATTATTTCAACGTCGAGCAGACGACGGATATCCGGGATAATTGCGGCGAGCGTGACAACGATCCATCCCCGAAATTACTCGCCCCCCCCCCCCCGGCGAAATACGATGTTTGCATGTCTACCCTTTCTTCTCCCGCACCCTTTTTACTACGTGTCGCGCAAGATCGCAACCCGTTGAAAACACCAGCTTGATAACTGTTCGTTTCGCTTATGGGGTGAAGAGAATACGTTTGCGAATTATCGTGACATCGGTTTTGAACGATTCTGTATTTATTAGCGGGTGGTCTCCAGACGTTCGAGCTTGAGAAAGTTCTCTCTGTCGGTAGTATAAACAGTTTCTAAGCACTTTCTCGTAGGAAATGTTAAGCGCTTCTGTACGCCAGATGTGTTGACTCTAGAAATTGCCACCAATTAGAGGCGCTTCGAGGCGACGCTTCTTGATCACCATACACGTTAGAAATTTCCTGTTCGCACCTGAAATTTCTTCAATTTCCCGTAATAACAAAACAAAGAACACATTTTCACCCAGAAGACCAGCATCGAGTTCGAACGAAACCAGGCCTTTTTACGAGATTCGGTTTCAAGTAACTGGGTCAACGAACAATAAGTCGTCGCATTAATTCCAATTAAACGAATAGACGTAATTGGCAACTGTGTTACGTAGCACTCGTTACGTTATTTATACAACCAAATAAGGGTCAATTTTTTAACGCCATCCGTTGTACCAATTAAAGCCAGCGGAATCTACTATTTATAGTTACAACAAGAGGGTTCGAGTGTAAATAATTGAAAAGAAATTGAAGAGGAAGAAGACGGAGGAAAATTCGTGTACCCACAACCGCGATATTACGCGGTTCTCTCTGGTCCCTGCTATTTATCCTCGCCGAGTAAACCGAGAGCAACAGCTAAATTTAATATTCCCGCGACAAACGGTTCTCAAACAGCCGGCTAATTGCACGCTAATTTCCCCGCAACCGCAGCTCGGATTACCCTTTTTAAGCGGCTCCAAAAATATGCTCTCGGCCACAAGAAACCGTAGAAACAGGAAAATGAATACAGAAATCAGAAACAACTTTCCGGTTGCCATAGAAAACTATCCTGGTAAGCCATGAAAGGAACAAAAGGGTGAGAAAAAAAAAATAGGCAACAACGTATACATTGAACACGGAATGAATTGGGAAAACTACAACTCGACGGAAAAAGCTTGTTTACCGTTTTTCCTACAACCTCTCATCTGATCCTTCCTCTTGTCCCAGCCTTGTTCACCCTTTTTACTTCCCCTAACGATGAATCTCAGACAAAGTTTTCCTTGTCATTTCATCAAGTACCAGATATTATTATCGATTTTTTTTTTTTTAATTTTGCAAATATAAATTTCACGCGAGAGATATTCGAGTTGGCGGAGACGAGGATCGAAGGTACCCTGTCAGGTGAGTCGAGATTATTGGCTTCGTCTGAGACTAAACGGAGTTGGCTTAGAAATTCGACGCTTTGACGTCATACCGCCGCCCCGGCTTTCCATCGGCTTCTTTAAATAGAGTGATCAATGATATTGCTGATTGGACGCTCGAACTTTCGCTCGAACAACCCCTCGAAATTCTTAGAAAATTTTAACCCTTTGTCTTGGGCTTTGTTTCGTAAGAAATTCTCTTTGACCCAATTCGATCGAAAAATGATAAGAAAACAGGAATCAAGTGATTTCCTTTAATTGCGCTTTTGTCGGTCAACGATCAAAGGAAAGTTTATTAGACATTTCGAGGGAAAATACAATAGAAAGTCACGGCAAAGGGAATCGCGCTGCTAATTTACACAATTAGACTGGTGGATCCTCCCAGAAACGCTCATTAATATCATTGAGGACACAGTGCGCCTATTCAAAGCGTTAACGAGGACTGGTTCACCGAGTTAATACAAGACAAGACGACGGAGCTGCTATGCTTTGTGCAATTCTCGCTAATTTCTGCGGCCAAAGGAATGCATTTTAGCAAACTTCCGTGTATTTACCGTGAATTCTACCACTGATGCGCGCAATCGTTCTTGCGTGAAGAAAAATGGTAATAAATTGAAATTTTTGTACGTGAACGAAATAATAAAAGACAAATTGGTAACATAAATAACGAATGTCCTTAATTTTCGTATAAATCGTCCCTGTATAACGTATACTTAAAAATCAACCCGTACATTTGTCCACGTGACAATGCTTTGTGATATACGAACGTTCGGGATGCTCGATGATTCGCTGATTAATCGTTTCGAATGGCTTTCCAGCTTTTCCACGGGACGAACGGGTTTAATATTGCAACAGAACGAGTGCAAAATCCGCTCGAATTGAATGGTCGTCGATATCGAAAGTTTTACGGCCGAAATGAATGAGGATTTTGCGTTGAATGTCGCGTGTGCGAGATTCTTTCATGGAAAAACATAAAGCTGAATGAAAAAAATGTAAGCATCATTGTGAGGCTCGAATGAAAACTTCGATTGGATTGAAATCTACCTCTGAAACGAATAAAAAAAGTTATTCGAATCAATTTTCAATAATTCAGAACAATGTTAATTAGCGCATTGAATAAGTAATTCTAACAAAATTTCATGACACAAAAGTATGAGAAAATGGCACTTATGGCGCATCAAATTGAAGCTTAAAATTTTCTAAAAATTGATCGATCGATACTCCCGACTATAAGTCTGGCCAAAATTAGAATGGTCGATAGACAGGATACGCTTTTCTTCGAGCATGTTCATTTCTTATATGGAAGTTCCATCGTTTTCTCGTTCCATTGTTCGTCGATGACGTGCAATCCTCGAAGAATGTTATTCGGAATTTTCTTTGAACCTCTTCATCGTTCGTTTCCACGCTCTTATTCACCGGCTTTCGACGACGCGAATTAGTTGCTTTGAATTGCGAATTTTCTCAAACTATTACGCGCTTCGATAGAGACTCGACGAATTAAAATCTACAAACTCTAATTTTTAAGGTAACCCGATTTTACTCAACGGGTTGATTGTCCAGAAGCATTCTGATTAATTAGGACATCAATACCCGTGGCTGCGATTGAAATGAACAGGAAGTGGAATCAATTTCAACTGGCCACGTGTTTTCTGCGTTTGACGGTTCAATTATTTCCATAAGACTAGCATCTAACGAGTCGTCGTGTCAGCGGTTCGTCGGTTTGGCCGAGTTTAAAATTAGATTCGACGAAAGGAACGGCAAAGCCGGAAGAGGCCACCGGGCAGCAAATTTATTTCGCGCCACGTGAAAATTCCATCGCGAAAATGTTCATTCATTATCCGTACGTTGAACGAGCAGCCTCGAAAATCAGGATTATAAATAAATGAATTAAGACGCGAATCGCTAACGTTGCATTAATTACACAAAGTGGCATGTGGAAGGTTCGGTAAGTGGTGTAGCGTGTCTAACCACGGCTACACGCGTGTGTATTCACCGTGCCAGCGTAAATACCATGATGTGTCAGCGCATGATGCATTCAGGCGAATATAACGACGCATGGACACGTCATGGATACGGTAATCTTTGAAATATTACTACCAACTTCTATTCCAGAAGTATGTCTGAACGGAGAGTCCTGGTTGAACGCTTCAGACGTTGTACGGAGCGAAAGGACAAGCTTCGAGGAAGAAGGTAGCGAAAGGACCCGAAGGGTGAAGAGAGGCGATAGTGGTCAGACTGGTGTAACAGGACGTTACTCGACCATCGGAAAGACAGCCTGCTCTTCTTGTATTATTCGTCCGTCTCTTTCGATCCTCTCGGGAGGCTAAGTCTAAGCGCGCGGAATGCCGCGGGTACAGGAGGGAAGGAAGGAAGGAAGGGTTAGCGTACGGATAAAAGACCCTTCTCGGCGTGCTACACGCTCGAGGGTTCTCGTCGCAGGGTCAAGGAACGCGAGTGATACCGCTCTGTAGACGGTTTCGCGGTGTTTACGCAAGTCGATCGTACCGTTAGCATAATCGCGGCTCGTGCACGCTGAACGCTCTGCAATTCGTTCATAAATCATTTCTTTTTTCAACACCTTGCAAGATAAGGTGATCCTACATTTCGAGGAATTTTTGATTTACTTAATTTTTGTAAAAGAAAATAAAAATGATGAATTAAGACGGGAAACGTTAACGTTGGCACGTGGAAGGTTCGGTAAGTGGTGTAGCGTGTCTGAAGAATGAAGAAAATCGATAAATCGGATTGTGATAACATTGGTGGGAATGGTTTTCCCTGCGTTTATTGTACCAACGATACTTACGATGTTAAATGATATGGTAATGCATGTATTTGGAATTAGAATGGAAAAACGATTGCGTTGGAAAAACATCGTATGACGACACCGGTTCGTGGCCCGCTTTTCGCGATCTGAATTTCATTCAGCTCGGCCTCGGTCACGTTTGTTTGCATTCGCGTAGCGCGAGAAAGGTGTCCGCGTAACAGAGGAGACGATTAGGAGAAAACAAGTTTTCCGCCGGTCAAACGTCTCGATGATTAATGTACGATCATCAGCAGAAATGAAAGCTTCAAACGTTATTACTATCGTACCAATAATGCAAAGTAGTCGATTGAAAACTTAAACGATGACAGTCGATGTATTAACGCGACGGGGCTCATTAATCAACGCTGTGTATTCAATTACATAATTGGAAAATAATGAAAAGAGAACATTTTGAAATATAAAATTGAATATTCAAGGATAGGAGTGAAAAACAAAAGGATCGTGGTCACTGGTATAATAGCGAACGTGTCGAGCATTGAGTTTCACTAACCATAAAATTAAATAAACGTTCAGTGTCCATGTTTCACGATCCCTAGATAGACGTTCGTCGCTTTTATGCACGCGTAAATCGTACTCGGGGACGACTTAAGGAGGCCGTTCTTGGCCGATTGTCGTCCACTGAATTCCACGAGCGCGTGTCTTGCATGCGGAATGAAAGCCGATTGCATTCTTGCCGCGTCAACGTAAAACTGTTACTCACCGATAATGGTGTTCGCCGCTGCAACCTCCGGGATGGATCGGCAGTGAACCCTGCACAAACAAAACAACCCTCCCTTTAATCCTCTTCCATTGTAACTCACTCGCGATCTATTCTACAATATATACGATACGCAACACGCTTTTCACTACGATCGACGTAGTATTACGTTCGGTTTTTTACCGGGTGAAAGTTGAGTCCTAGTTTTCTGATGTTACACTGCTAACTGAATTTAAAGAAAAATAGAATTGCACCAAGTACAAGAGGCGTTGGGCAAGGATTTGTTAACTACTCTGGTAATACTACGCCGGTGGTTCTATGCTAAGCTAACTTTTAAATTCAACTAAAACTTCGACGTAGTACTACGTTCGCTCGTCAGTGAAAGTCCTTTAACGCGCCCAGTAATCCCTTAGTTATAAACGTAATACCGCGTCTTTCGGTCACGGAAACCTGACACTAATTAACTTCAACCAACTGTGAATTCACGCTCCGAAACGGAAGGTGTCGATAATATCTATCGCTTCGATTATTCGCCTGGAATCTACCATTTAATCACTCGTTCATTAAAATCGTTGTATTCGCGTTCGACAGGCTTCTTACGATATCATTCCTCGTTCAATCGTGACCGAGACCTACAAACAGTATCCAAACTTCGAACAAGCTAACTGAGAACTTGGAGTCATTAATTGTTAGAATAACCTTTCCAAAGTCCGTTATCAACTAAATACCGTTAGAAGTTCAATAAACTCTATCGAAAACAGCGATAATCGATGGAACACTAGGTCGGATAATCCACACTGTGCTCACTTTTTCACTAGTTCCACGATCACAGAAGAGGCACGTGCACTGGTCCAGAAGGAAAGCGATCCAAGATTACCGAAGCAGACAAGGTCGCGAGTAGCACTGCTATAAACGGTTCCGAACGATCAAAGCCAGCGTTGTCCCAATCTCTAGACTCGTAGCAGACTACGATCCGCAAGGTCGACAAAGATCGAGAGGAGACAGGTAGGTCATGGTCAATCAAAAGAATCGTACCTTTCGATCTAGCCACGGTCGATGATAAGCGTGCGAAGTCGTTTAGCGAGGTAAGAAAAGCGACGGTAAACGAACGTAGTCGAGTTAGCGAACAGTGGTGAGCCTGGTTCTTCGTACGCGAGTAGCAAGTCGGGTCTAACAACACCTCCCTTCCTTCTTGGCCACCATCTACCTCCTCTTCGTCGCGAAGAGGCCAGCAACTTCTTCTGGTGGGAGGGCAGATCGCGAGAAGGGAGAGATCGTAGGAGACGACGAGGAGAGGATGAAAATGCACATGTGTGTACGTAAGTGCACTCGGCCTGCGAGCGGTGCAACGTGAACGAATAATCCGGATGCAACCGGAGGCAAGGAGAGGACGACAGGAGAGGGAGAGTTCGAAGTCAATGAACGACTTCGCTGCAATCGCCACGCGGTGAGAGAATTTCACGGTTGCCGGCTTCTCCGCGTCCCAACCCCCTTCTTCCATCAGTTTTTCCATCGATTTTGCACCGAGCTATTTGATAAATGACCGCGTCGATAGGTAATACACCGTAGGGATCACCGGAGAACGTTTCGGTACTCGGTTAAATAAACGCGGTGAAAATTTGTTACGATGAATAATAGGAAAATTATTTTATCATCCAGGGTTTTCCGAACAACCTTTCCACTCGGAGATACCTCCTCCCACATGAAAAAGCAATTTCGAATAATCAACCACGTAGCGAGATAACAGCGATGCTCTAATAAACAATGTCTACAGATAAAGTACATTTACAATGATTTAATGCGTTCAGAGCTGACGATAAAACTTTTGAAAGCAAAGTACGAAAAAAATGCGAATTTAATTTAGCGATTTCTGACATCAAAAGGAACGAATCTAGCACGACGAGCCTCTCGAATGATGTTCATCGTCCAAAATTTCTACACCAGATGTTGCTGCTCTCTTCTCGAGCATCGATCATTAAAATCGATACTTACGATGACCGAAAGACTTCGTTTAATTCGAACTCGAAATATCGATTTAAAAAACGCGTATGAAGGAGGGAAAAAAGGGGCATATGGAACTCGTTACCGAACGGAATTCGTTGGCGAAATTTCCAAATTAAATTTAAATTCCATTCAAGTTTATCGTTCAGTGACGAGTCGGATGTTGCAACGACGACGAAAATACGCCGGTCTCGCCCACTCGGTTGAGAAAACGCGTTAAAACGTGGTCGCCTAGCTCTCGTGTACGAGCTTCTGAAATTATCCGCGCGCCCTGTTTAGGATCGCTCCGAATAATTTTCCGTGTATCGACACCGAGGATTCAAGTTTTAATTGCACCCTGTTCGAAACCTTAACTTTCGGCAAATTCAGTACACACGAAAAACGTGTTCACTGAAATTAATTCTGTTTGAAATAGTTCGAGTGGAATATCTCTGTTCTAACCACGTATGCTGTGCTACCTTTTCTTTTTTTTTCTTCTTCTTTTTCGTTTCGAAACTTTCCCGATACAAGCGCGTAAATTTCAATATTTTGCATATTTTATTTCTGTAGCTGACTGGTAACAATAGATGTTGGAATTTCGATTGCTTTAAACGAGTGACGTGATTATTTTTACTACACGCGATTTGTATCTTAAGGACAGCTGGGTAAACTGAATGGATGATTTAAGAGGTTTAGCTTGAAATAAGAGGATATTCATCACGCGGAAAACGCGTAGACTTGTTCAAAATTATTATCTGTGAACGACGTGTACACGTGTATCGGAGCCAGACAATGCAGCTTGGAAGCAACTGCAACTTTGCACAACAAGCTCGAGCAAATCGACGACCTAAAACGCCGAGAATATCGGATTCTAACACGGAAAGCTATCCTACGCAGTCTGTGGTGTTGCGGTAACTAACGCGATCGAATAATGAAAAATATCGTCGGCGAATGATATTTGTTTCACTGGAGTCAGGTTGGAAAATTAACAGCGTAAGCTTGCTCCGAGTTCTCTTGATACGAAACGCGAAACGTGACTCATGACTTCCTATCGGTCTTGGGAATATTCCCGGTGATGCGTGTTTTTCTGACCCTTGATAATCGCTTGAACGTACTAATTAATTAACGCGCACCAGCCTAGAATCAACCAGCAAGGAATAAAGAAATATAGTTTTCGAATTTTTCCCCCAGAAAGAACCACCGTGATCACTGAACCAACGAATAAAAATGAATTTAACCTCCACCTCGGGTATGGAAAGTTAAATGAAATTTCTCAGTTACCCTCTAACCACGAATCAGCCTGGAATCGGCGCTCGTCAGCCTCGAAACAAGCACGGGCATCACGCGACAACGCGTCGGAGGGTAGAATTACGAGACCGTACCTCCTGCGTACGTTCCTCCACCGCGAGTTCCCGTGTTCCCGTTGCAGACGAACGAATGCCCACGGTATCCCGTCGTTCGTACACGTTCGAAAATTCTGGCACGCGTAACGAGGACTCGCGCGATGCGTGACATGCGTGTGTCGCTCCGTATGACGTGGCGTGTGTGCGGAAGTATATTGATCAGCTGATGGTCGGGTGGATACTGGGCTGTTTCAGAGAATTCACCATATTGTTGCGTCAGCGCGCTTGCGCCGAGCCCTTCGTTCACCCTTTTCCTGCAGCCCAACCACCCCAACCCCCCATCCAGCCGCCCGTTCCGCGGCACGCCGCGCTTCTTGCTCTATTGTTCAATGAAAAATGTGGAAAAAAAAAAAAGAGAGGCGATATCACGGAAGAAATAAATTCACCGTTTCGAGACCGGGAACGCTCGTTAATAAAGTGGCGCAAAATCGATGATGGAGCACGAAACGTACGATGGTTATATAACTCTTAGGATCGCTGTTGCTTTCGATTTTCTTAGCTACGGAGAATTCTACCTGTAGGAAATACTATGATATTTCTAATATACGTTAGGACGATACGATAAAATCGTATTCGTGAAATCTAAACGGGAATCTGACGGAGAAAGCCAAGAATTTCATAGGCGGTGTGTGCCATGTCCACGACGCTTTCTAAAACTGCAGCAACGTTGCTCGAAACGCTTAGGAAATTGCATTTCTGTTCAGTCCAACGGAATGAAATGTGCAATTAGCACGCCTCGTATTGCATGGCCCACTGATGACCTACTACGGTCATCGCGGCAGAGAAAACTATCGTTAAAGATGGTAAAAATTCTGAAATGTGACGAACGTCCGGGGAAGAAAGCGTGTCTACGTTCAATGAACCGCGACGAAAAAAGAAGATGATACACTATGACTCGTTTTGCCGGGAAGATATTCGACGAACGAACCTCGTGACACAATGCCGCGATCAAAGAACCTCGTTAACAACAGACGCACGTGGACTCCGCTGAATATTCGAGGATCGGAACCGTGTTAACCATCCCATCGTGTTTCCCTTTCACATTCAAATCGCCGGAATCGTTTCGCCTTCGAGAATAATGGCAACGAAATATCTTTACAGGAGAAAAAAAAATAAAATAAAATGATATTTTTGCGAGTGGGTCCATTATCTATCTAAACTAAAAATGAATTTTTCAAATTGGGTTATTTCATGGCGTGTTCCAAGGGTGGACGATACCCATACATATTTTAGCTCGAATTTATGGTATTTTCCCGTCAACAAAAGCCCAGAGCACGATGAGTGTCTCATAATTTTCCTGACACGTGGAACGGTCGGAAAATTCGTGGAAAACAGGATGAGAAGGGAGAGAGAACGAAACGAAGTCATAAAACACACAGGCTGAAAAGCGAGGTCCAGCCTCGGCTGTTATTTCATGGTTGAGACACGCGTTAGGATTCACAGTCACGCACCGTGATTTCGCCTCTCGATCTACGGGCAAAGAAACGGAAAGCTTTGTTTCATCCTAGCGCCGAAATAGCGTTTGTCAGTTTCCAGTTGCAACAGGAGTTGCATATTTCAACCACTGACCGGAAGAAGCTGGATATCTATAGGTAAATTCAACTTCCCGGTTCATCAGTCGCAGGAAATGAATTGGAAATCTTTGACGAATACCGGTCTGGACTAGAAGGAAAACAGGCACGACGCGTTCTGGGCGCCTTAAAAAGATGCACAAGTTGCAAATGAACTTTCTAACCGCGCCATTCATTCGCCGGGCCTTCGTGAGAATACGTTATTGCACATGAAGGAAGGAACAACACGCGGAGGTGGCCGTTATCTTTCGACGTGGCTCTCATTTTTCTGTTCATTCGAATGCAACCCGCGAGGCTCGTCTAACGGACACGTTATCTTTACGTGATCGGCAAACGGCCGTTTCGAAACATTCCGTTTCGTATCGCGTGGAAATTCGCCTACGGAAAAGCGCCGATTAGAATTCGATTACGAATGAAACCGAGTTATTTCATTCTACTTTGATTTCGTGGAGGGTTGAAAACCTCTGAGACGAACAATGGAGACGTTAATCGCTCTTATCGAGAGATCATTATAAATGAGGAAGAGTGCGAAACCGTGGTGTAATTAACAATTAAAGAGATACCTGTCTGGCGTCGTTGCAACTGGCGCTCATTTGCAATCCACGAAGGACCTGGGGGACAACCTTTCGCGTATCTCGTGTTTGAAAGGAGAGGAGTTTAATTAACGACTGCAAAGACGACACTCGCTTACAATCGCTACGATTTTCCCTTCGAACCGCGCGAAAATTACTACCGCGAATTTAATTATTCGTTTTAGTATGCAAAGAGAGAAATTATTTTTCATGGACGATTAAACTTTTCGCTTTACTTCGGAACTCACGGGAACGGTACGTTCCTTTAATTAATACAGGTATTCTTAAAATTAAACACCGAGCGCGAGTTGATTAAGCTTTGATAGTGGTAGACAGGAAAGTTTTAAACTTCTGAAACTTCAGATTCGAGACGATAAGTTAACGTGAAAATTTAATATAATAACTAATTTTATTTTATCTTATTTTCGAGCGTAAAAATATATTTTTTTAACATGTATTTGATTTTATTCTGACTCACCTTCGGAGCTACCAGCTACGTTTCACACTCGCAACCCCCTCAAGTTTCCTGTAACAAACAAAAGCAAAAACTTAGATGCGGTTCCAATACATAAATGATAACACTGTTGATGAATAAATTTATTAATGTCAGAAAAAAAATTTATGGAGCACCGAACCTATTTTCAGAAGATCAATCAACACGTTTTTCAATTTTATTTTCCACAACATCTATTTATAATCTAATACAAAATATATCAACATTTCAATCGACTCGAATCGATCGAAAGAACCATTAAACCGTCAGGAAAAGACATCGGAGCAAAAGGACACTGAGAAGGGTTGTTTTTCGAGCTGGTTGGCGCCAAAACATCGAAACGATAATGAAATAACTTAATTTACCCGGTGGAGCAAACACATAGATCAAGTTGGCTCCAAAGGAGGGTAAAATATGCGCTCTCGAGCGGTGAGAAGCGTGTTAGAGTGGTCCCGCGAACACGCTCGTAATCCACTTTGCCTGTTTCCACGAGCGAACGGCTCGCGTGCCCGACCAGAAACGTCGATGAATAGTTAATCAGAGCCGACTTCCGGCAGACGCTCGATTTACATAATATTCTTTGCCTGCAACTAGGATTCCAAATCCCAGGAAAAAGCAACGGATTGATTCGATGGATCGAGCAAGTTCGCGTTTCTCGCTGCAAGTTCAACCGATTGCTTTACGAATAAAACTTAAGATCCTTAATGATTTGGGCTAAAACTTATGAGGCAACTCCATTAACTTTCATAATATTATTATCATCAGTCCAAATAAAAAATGTAAAAAAATGGTGTAAAATCTAGCAGCCAATCCCCGAGGAATCTCCCAGGAGAGAAAGGAAAATCAACGTAGACCCAGTTTGGTCCATGAAATTGGACTGGTTCGAAGTTGGTCGACAGAGGACAATCCTCTAACTGAGAAATGGTGCCAGAGTGGAAACGCGAACTGGGACAATGGGAACAAAGAGGGACCAAAGACAAAGCTGTGTCCAGTTCGGTGAAGGCCTACTGGCAAGATGTGCTGGGTGCCGAGGATCTAGTTCCAAGTTGGTGAACGATCAACGAGAAACGAACTAAAGGAACCACCCCGGTGGGGGGGGATCGAACAGACGAGATCCAAGTGCGGTGTTAAGTGCAAGATCTACGAAAACGCAGGCCGATGCTGACGATGGTGCGCAACATGGAAGCGTGAAAGAGAAGCTTACGCGCAAAAAGGACACCTGTGATATCTCGAGGATCTGTGACCGAGAGAATCCAAATCCAACCAATGACGAAGAAGCGGAGACGAAGAGGAAGAAGGATGCATCCGGTGAACTTGGTCGGCGAACGCGTAAAAGTCAGCAGCCACTTGTGAAAGTCCGGGGAGGACGATGGGCTCCGTCCGCTCGGTGTCTCGAGGCCCGTTTGTGGGTCTCCGCGGCCTCCAACTGCCCTCTTATCCCTGGTATCGCCCAATCAAAAAACCGACAGCACACCGTACGCCGATTGGTCGGCCACGGCCACCGTGAACACTGCAATTGGTCAATCGGGCCGAGTCACCCATGGTTACCGTTTGCATCAACAACATCTACGGTCGATATCACCACCTTGCCTCTATACCTTCCTTTTTGTCTCTCCCTCGCGCGTACACACGCTCGATCCCTTCTTCTCTCCCCGTTCACGCACGCCACCCTCGCGATTAGCTGGAACCACGGCCCGCAATTCTCCAGAGCAACCACCAGCCTCTTTTTTATCCACCACCATCGAACTCTCTTCGAACATGTGAACGGGGTTTGGTCCCATCGAAACATGGGCGATTTTCGGGTGGAGGGTGGTGGGTTCAGGTGTTCGGCAAGATCCCCTTGGGTTTGGGAGGCTGGTCGAGGATTCTGGTACCACTTGGTACCAAAGATAAAGGAATGCCCCCTGAAGAACCACCTTATCATTTCCGCCAGGATTTCGAATAAAGCGACAGCCTTAATTCTACCATTCTGAAGGAAGACACGACACTCGTTGTTTTCAGCCGAGAAGAAACGATCCTGAGAAGAAATCGCGGAAGCGAACCGCGAAGGGACAACAATGCGATGAAGCGGCAGTCGAGAGGCTGATGACCGGAAAAGGGTGAACGAACGGAAATCGCGAGTAACTGCTGGGAGAGAAAGGGAGAGTGTAGTTGGTAAGAGAAAGGTGAACCAGCAAGAAGAGGAGGCGGAGGAAGGGATAGAGAATGAGGCGAAGAGAATTTATTGTCGTTTCGGTTACTTTGTTTTGTACGCGTAAAACGTTGAAGACATCGTCATTGACGCGCTTTATCGTCCCACCAAGAACCAGGATGCGATTTTACACCGCTAAATAAGCCGCCTCGAGAGAAAAACGGGCCATCTACGTTGGTCGAGCAAGAAAAAGGTACCTAAAAGTAAATGTACCTTGAAGATACTCCGCAGAGATTCAGAGAATTCTAAACGAGTTGGAATTTCGCAACAATTTTCAGACGTTTTTATTTCTATTTCCCGAATTCTTTCGAAAAATCGAATAGCAATTAAAAATTATAGACCAAACGATTTCCAAAGAGCAGCCTGCCACACAATGCGATCGACTAGCGAAACAATGACACAATGGTGTAGGGAGGTTCGAAGATCACTAGTAGATAGTGGTTTTCGCACGAAGCGTGAAGTTGCGGCAGCAGGAAGACGAACAGGTCCATTGTCCTGCACCGGAGTCCATCGTCGTCCAGTCGAGCCGGTTTGCAAAGCCGAAAAAAATCCTAGCCAGGTAGAGTTTGCGAGGGTGGGGACGAATCAACGGAAAAGAAACACCGACCGCGGTTTGTTGCCTTTGCTCGTGGCTAGTCCTAGGAAAACCGAACGGAGAATCTTTCTCACGGCCCCAGGGCATCCTTCGACGACCGCAGAAAGTCTTAAGAACTTCTTCGAACGAGAGAGAGAGAGAGAGGGAGAGAAGAGATTCTACTCTCTAGTATCCAGTACATTCTATCCATCCTGAGTTATTGACACACCCACTTTAATTAACAATGAAATATTATTGTCTAGCTTCGTTTGTAGAATTCAGATATCGGTTTAAAAAGAAATTCGTAATAGAAATTAATTAATTAGGTGCGTCTTACAATACGCGCCCATTGTCACCGAATCAGCCAACCTGTTAACTACGGAATCTCTCTCCAATTAACTTCGACCCTCCTTCAACTATCTATCGAATAATTTCCCCCATGGGTGCAACCAACCGAAAGAAAAGATTTCTTCAAACATCAGACACGACGTTCGTCTCCAAAATTCAGTCTTATTTTATTTTTTTATCACGAAACAGAATCGTTCGATCATTAAACGAATTTCCGTCGATCGAATTTTTATTTTTTCTTCTTTCATCCCTATTTTTCGACGAAGTATCGACGCTCCGTCGAACATAGAACAATCGAGAGCCTTCGTATACACACATAGGACACCCTCTTTCAACCCCTATCGAAATAGCATGGCAATAGCCGAGCTGAAGAATAGAGAACGATTATAGTAGTAGTATGTTCGAGGTATCAATATTTTAGATGGGGGGCACGTTTCTCCGTCGATCGAAACTTTTCTGCATAATTAATCGCGCTTCATCCCTTGCCAACCCTCGCCCCCTTACCTACCTTTCTTCCGACGAATCTTGCGAATCGAATCGACCGCGTCAAATTTAAATGTATTTCGATCGAATTTAAGAAGTAACCAAGTGCACTTGCTCTGCTATCTAATTTCTAATTGCCTGGACACCCTTTACAAACAGAATTGATGAGGATGGTTCAACCTTTGTAGAAGTTAATTTAACTCTAGTCATTTTATGAATGCATAAGTCACCCTGTAACGAAAAGGCCTTGGGGAAAACTTCATCGGGTTTAGACGAGCTCTACCATGGATTGCCTTTTCGTTGGTCGATTTTTTTCTTCTTCCTTTAAAAGGGGTGCAACGAAACGTAGTAGAAGTGCGATGAATAAATAAAGGGAAATAGTTTGGTCGAGTTTCACTGCGACGCGATTTCCTCCGAGTTAACGTGGAATCGATGTAATTGGTGAAAAACGGAAAAGTTTGGTGTTGTTATCGTGCGCGATTTGCTGAAAAGCAACGGGGTTAAGATTTATATTTAGAAGAGGAGAGGATAATAATGCTGTGTAAAATTTTCAGAGACGTAATTTCAACGTAGACACCTCGCAAATGATACCTCGAGTTAATTGAACCGCCATTCCCTTTAATTATTCATGCAAATCCTAGGAAATAACTTTAGACCGACAGCTAATGAATTGAAAGCCTTTAATTTTAACCGCAATCAGCCCCAATTCTAATAATCGTGTACAGAATTATCGAACGATAAGTTGACGGGTCAATATCAAACGGAATTAAGAGAAAAGTCGTAAGTCGATCGAAAAACGGGACGCAGGAAGGAAGTGCTGATCGAAAGGATGTAGGAAGGCGTTTCACCGGCTAAGGTTCAATATTTAAACGCGGATAACCCGAAGGGGATGCAGAGACTCTAAAGGTCTTCCTGGAGGAGTGACGCCAGCAACGAAAGCAATGAATAAATTGGATTCCCGTGGCTTCGATCATTCCAGTGTTCGACTCAATCAACCAACGACTCTCTTACATTTCTCTTGTAAATGACTCGTAAATTAATCGTCGTTCTCGATAAAAACAAAACAATGAAATGAAATACTAAAAAAAATTCAACCCCTCATCAGAGTCCAAATTCTTATCGCTTCGAACTATACCTCGTGGCACCCGTTCCGCATTGTCATTATTCCATTTGCGACCCTGTCATTAGCCCAACGCGTATCCCCTTTCATCTACCTTGCCATCCTCCCTCGATAAAGAAACTTTTCGATATTTAAAAAAAAGAGAGAAATCTAACGATGACGTTAGATTACCACCTTTCGGGCCTGAAAAATACAGGTGTCGCGAGCCGGATGGCAGCTCTTCAGAGTACGTGAACTCTCGATGGCACGGAGGCCATGCAACACGCTGGAAACTGTAATTACACGACGGGAAAAAAAGGAGACCGCCAGCAGGTCCGCGAAGCACGAAGACGAACAGAGGGACGGGAGGCATATACAGGGTGAAACAGGGTGAAGGAGAAAGAGGAAAGAGAGAAACGAAGAATGGCAAACTACTGTGGGACGACGCATCTGTCCAAGCATATTTGATGTCCACCCTCTCCTTCGACGCCACCTCCTCCACGGAATAACCCCTCACCTGTTCCGCTCTCTATTCTGCTCTAGCACCCTACGCTCTCCCATTTTTCTACAGGGTGTACGTGATAACTAAATGAAACCCTTCGATGGATTTTTATAAATTTTTCTAGGATTTTAAAGTTCGACTTTGTGTCAAGGTACTCGTCGAAGCATGTACCCTTATAGGTAGCAAAATCTCGTCCGGAAGGGATTTAGACTCTGGATTAGAGAACTTATTATTTAGAAACAAAATTACGCAGATACTAATATCTCTCTAAATAACAATCGTTAATGTTTCAAAGAAAATTACGGTATTACGTTAATAATATCTTTTGTCTGCCATTGTGGAGAGACACGGGCTGCACAAACGTAAGAGGGTATAATTTTAGTTCACGATGGGGATGGACGTAAGTAATATGCTAGGAAAGTATTGCGTAATTGGCGTGTGCAAGAAATGGTAGAATGAGAGGAGGGATATATCGTGGTGGAAAGCCAGAGGGGATGATTCGACTGGTTTTCCTTTTACCTGAAGGTTTGATGGGATTGCAATTGAAGAGAATCGAGCATGAAATCGTTCCTGTTTGTTCTCCCTTTTGATGTTCAAATGGCTTGAAAGTGAAGCAAATTAAGGGTTTTCCTGGTGAAATTCAGACACGATGAATAATGGAAGATTATAGAGAGAAATGAATTTTACTGATAAATTATTTCTTCCATCGCGTAAGAGAAAAACTTGAGTAACAGATTCTATTTAAAGCACTGATCTAAGATACCACGATGATTATACTGATTCTCAGCTGGAAAACACGTCAGTAATACCGCGCATACCCGAGGAAAATAGTTTATTCAAGAAATTCTGTATTCGATACTCGTCGGGAGTATGCTGATTAATTAGCAAAGAGCAATCTATAATCGTGTTGCAAATCAAACACACGTCATCGGTGGACGATTACTCAAGCGATCACCTCGCTCCAGTCCAAACGATTCATTCACCACGCAGTTCACTTTTCACAATTACGAAATCCCTTAGCAAAGAACATTCTTTTTCCCGGGTTACATGTATATTGCCATTTTCATCGCGTCCGCAGCCAACCACGAGGATTACTTAACACTTCGGCTACCACACATTTTCTGGAAATGACCCTCGCAATTTCACGATAAGAATTTATTCGTATTTTTTTATTTTATTTTTCACGGAAAATTTTATCATCGC